AAGTAATTTTAATCCATTGAATTTGCCATGACTCTTTTATTTTTAATTCAAAATGTTTTTCCTATTATATATTCTTTATTATGTATGTTTCTTTTAAATATTCTACAATGTCTTTTATGCTTTTATTATGTCTCAAATTGTATATTTTTCATAAATAAACACCTCGTTAAACTAATTATATCCTTTTATTTCCTTAATGATATTAATTTTAAAGCTTTGTGGCAACACAGAATACAAAATTGTATAATGTTGGTTGCCTATTTTTACAAGAGCCATATATTCACGGGCATGCGCACATGGGATGTATGCTGTTAAATACATAGGCAACCAATATTACGCATTAGTGTATTCGATGTTGCCTATCAACTACAAATTTTTTAATATTTAAATAATAATTACCATAGAGATAAACGGAAAAAGAGCACTCAATCCAGCTACCTTGTATAATTCAGGACAACCTAAAATTAATTTCGATACCTACTCGCTCTTCTATTATCTTGATACAAAGTTCCAAATTCAAAAAGATCCAATTTTTTCAATAACATTTTGATAACAGAAGAGAGTAAGTATTTTGAAAGGGGCATTTTCATGCAAAATACCTTGTCGCTTTTCTGTTATCCTGATACCAAAATTTTATTGACAAAATTGAATCTTTTCGAATTCGGAACTTTGTATCAGGATAATAGAAAAGCGAGGAGATATCGAAATTTTCTATTTTTGCTCATATCTTTTTAAATATTGCTGCTAGAAAAAAACTGAGCGTATTTTTGAGATCTACATGTGATCCTCTATCCGTATGCAAATTTAAACAATTTTTTATTTTTTCAAAAAAATTTTTTTTTTGTCTCAGATTTTGATGAAAATTGGGGTACGTATAAAGGAAAGCACGAGCAATTAAGGGGTGAACTCAGTTGCTCCCTATCTATAAGGGTTAACTTTTTTTTGGTAATTCCTTAGTTAATAATGATCGATTTATTCCATAAATTCACATAAAGGTGGAGCCGGACGGATAGTTTAAAATGCCCTTTGCCACTTGCCTCTATCTTGCGCCGTTTAGTAGTTATTCACATTTAAAAATAAGTCAAATACCTTGTCGCGTTTCTGCTATCCTCATACCAAAATTTTGTAGACAAAATTGGATCTTTTCGAATTCGGAACTTTGTATCAGGATAATAGAAACGCGAGGAGATATTGAAAATTTTTATTTTGGCCATAACTTTTTTAATATTGCTGTTAGAACAAAACTGAGTGTATTTTTGAGATCTACATGTAACCCTCTATCCGTATGCAAATTTAAACAATTTTTTATGTTTTCAAAAAAATCGAAAGGGTATAGCCTTCCAAATTTTTTGACAAAAATTTTTTTTGTCTCAGATCTTGATGAAAATTGGGGTACATATAAAGGAAAGAACGAGCTATTAAGGGGTGAACTCTGTTGCTCCCTAGCTATAAGGGTTAACTTTTTTTTTTGTAATTCCTCAGTTAATAATGAACGAATTATTCCATCAATTCACACAAAGTTAGAGACGGACGGATAGTTTAAAATGCCCTTTGCCGCTTGCCTCTATCTTGCGCCGTTTAGTAGTTATTCACATTTAAAAATAAGTCAAATACCTTGTCGCTTTTCTGCTATCCTGATACCAATATTTTTCATATTGAAGTAGCGATTTTGGTACTCGGATCTTTGTATCAGGATAACAGAAATGCGAAGAAGTATTTTAGGAAGGTCGATAAAACGGCAAAAATTTAATTTCTGTTCAGATCTTGACGAAAATTTGTATAAATAATAAAGAAGGCACAAGAAAATACTGTGTACAGTCCATAATATTTTTGCTATTTTCACATAGTTACTAACAGTTGCATTATCTAAAAGTATAGATTAGAGTGCTCTTTACTGTTTATCTTTATCTTAAGCTGTTTAAGAGCTTTTAAAGTTTAAAAACTTTGTAATTGACCGGCAACACAGAATACACAAATTTGTATGGCGATTGCCTATATTTTTAAAAGCATCAATACTTTGTTGATTGGCACTACAAAATACACCAATGTGTAATGGTGGTTGCCCGTATTTTCAAAAGCCCCATCTATTGGCAAACATCCAACAATATTAGCGGGTTTTATTCATTTTTAAAAACCAAAATGCTTAAGATTTAACAAATTGTTAATTTTGGAAATAAATAAAACAAAGTCTATTAACCAAATGTTTATTTATGAAAAATACATAAATTACAGAATTAAAAGTAATGGGTCATACCAAACAAATAATTTTATGTAATTAAAAAACAGGTCAATATAGATTAAAATTACATCATTAAAATCAGTACCGTCTTAAGCCCAATGGGTATATCTCAATTTTTTCCCATATTTATTATTTTACTCTCTACAGACTCATTAAGGCCTAGCCGATCACTTATTTTGCCGAATCTCATCGTTCTATGTCTTCTAAAGAACGATGAGATTCGGACAATTTTGTTATTAAAGTAAATATCTAGGTAATAGAGTCTGTAAATTTAGGATCTGATTACAATAAAGATAAATATCAATTGGCTCCTTTCTAAGAAAACACATTTTTAATTGTAAGAATTGGCATTTTCAAAAATTGATTTGTTAGAATTGAAACCATGCATAGCACTATTTCTATTCAACCAACTTATTCGTCTTCATCCTCAAAGTCCGTCTCTGGAAGACAGTCTCGTACATTTGCTGAGTGAGTACATTTTGGACACTTTAAGAATGTACTATTACATTAGAATTCCATATGATTTCAGTTTTTAATGAATCTAAGACCATATATAACTCCATCCATTTTACCGTACTACCACTATTTGTAAACTGTTTAATGTCCTTTGAGTTTTATTGAGATAAAGCTATAACTGTAAGCCTTTGCAAGGATACAAGAACATTTCTTCGTCTGACGATAGATGCAATGGTACTATGTACAGTGTCAGCACTTATGTTAGTATGCCCTCTTAATAAAAATGTAATTCTTATACTCTGTTACAGAGTTTAAAGTTTGTGCTGCATGGTGTAGATCATTTCAAAAATACTTTTATATTATGTCCTGAACAGTTATCGCAATACAGAAGGATATCTATCTACTTCATTAGGAGCATAACAATTAAAATCAATACAGTATACTTAAATGGCTGCTGACACTGTGCATGCATTGCACCATTTCATATTTCATAAAAAGAACAAATGTTTTTTGCACCATCGCAGTGACCAACAGTTATACAAATAGTTGTAGTAAAATAAAATTGATGGAGTTATACGGTCTTAGATTCATTAAAAACTTAAAATAACTGGCAATATAGAATTCCAATACAATAGCACAAGGAGGAAGCCTTGAAAACCTAAGGCGTTGCAAAATGTCTTTGAATGATATCGAAATTGGAAAGGTGTATCGCTTAAAGTTACCCATCACTGAGGAAAAGTGTAAAGATTTAATAACATTTTGCAACAAAGCCATATCACTCCAATCGAGTTTCAAGAATATAAAAAACAGGAGACTGACATTGAGGATGAAGACGAATAAATGACATTTTTTTGTCATTTTCAATAAATGATTCAGAATCGGGTAATTTATTTTCCTTCTATTAATATTAGTTGAATAAAGAAATACACATGAATTCGCCCCTGACACATCAAAGTTTGAAAATGCCAATTTTTAACAATTAAAGTAGTTTGTTATCCCCTTTTTGTAATAAAAAATGTGATTTTTAAAAAGAAGCCAAGTGAGATTTTTCTCTAAATATTAAAATGTTTTTAAAACAAAATAATGTCCTTAGTTTAAGCTGTTATTTTAATATCCAAAAAAGGTTTGTTAATCATTTGTAATATATAAAAATTTACAGAACATAACAATTAGCCAATTTTATTATTTACCTTTTACTGTAAAAATATCTACTTGCTGTAATTAGCCTATTCTTACAAAACTGAGAAGATATGTAAAAAGGGTCCAAGTGATGGAAGGATTTTTTTTGAATATCAATCATGCAAACAGAAATAATAATATAACACAATAATTGTCAGTTAGGCCCCAGTCATATTTGCCTTGCAATTTGGATTTATAACAACACAATAATGTAACTATTCCAATTTACAAACAAGTGTTAGTTGGCCCCTCTTACAAAATAGGAATGATATATATTTGAAATAAATGTTATCAGTATAATGTTCCTTATTGTGATTTTACTCTAACAGAAACACACTAATATTACACAATATATAAGTCAAGCATCAAACGCCTTTTAATAATCCGAATAATCTTGTTATTGTCATTAAATGATAAAACCACAAAAATCCGTTGTCTTTCAACAGACGATCAGCACTGAATTGGGTGAAAGCGAAAAAAACGCTCTACTAAGCTAAATTTCAGTGAAACTGTTACAGAAAATACAATAATGATGAAATATATAAACATCTAGCACAAGTATTTTAAATATTCAAGATTATCTGTAAAGGCACTCATTTTCTTCTGAAAGTACGACTTGGATGCGTGACTTAATTAGAACAAAATTAGGATGATATCGATAACTCTGTAAAAAACGAAACAATCAGAGTGTCTCAAATTTAATATTACAATATAAATTTGAAAAGCAGATTGAATACTATCGAAATGGAAGTAATTTCTAGAATAAGATGTTTTTCCTCCGAGCTGCTGTTATGCTGAATAAATCATTCTTGACTCAATCATTTTACTGCTGGATGATCAAAGTTCAACTTCTGAAATCATAAATATTTAGTGTTAATACATAAAAACATGGCAAAAGAAATATATATAAAGTTTTAGGGCCGATCTTTTCACCTCTGAGTAAAGTTACATGTAACTTGACAGATTAACAAACAATAATCACACAATAATATCATAGTTTAATCAACTTTACTCAACAATTTCAAACAGTCGGGAGCAAGACTTAAAACAGTCCCTGAAGAGTTAGCTGGGTAAATTGTCTCATGGACACAGCCCATTAAAAGAAAAGAAGAAGAACCAGAACAAACCTAACCTTAAATATTTTTTATTTTTCGGTTTGGCCTGATAAAGGAAAATATAATAGAAAATAGAAAGATAATTTTAAGTTATAAAATAATCCATCCACATAATCTATCGATGGTATTTAAGTAGAAAGTATCTAAACTCAACAATGACTAACCTACAGTTTTAATTTCAGGAATACTTAATTTAAGGATTCCTGGAAGTTATCTTCGTCTTTAGATATAAAAAAATGGTTGCATGTATGTATTAAAGTTTATATTTTTGTCATTGCTTGAAATTCTGAAATTTATTTTGTAGATTCTTGTAATGATAACATGACTGGAGCATCAACTTTTTTTACTGATTATCACGGGGTTCAGCAATTAAAAGAAACAACCAACCAATATTCCCCAGCAGAGTATGTTAATATTTTACATTGAATAATACGTTAATATGTTAAAATTACTTATTTTTAGATGTGAATATGATAGACTAGAAAATGTTTTGAAAAGTACAGTGGAAGGTTTGGTATATTTGAAGTATTTAAAAAATATTATTAAGAAGCAAATATTAGTGAGAATTCAAGATGATATTCCCCTAAATACTGTTATTTGCAATGTCTTAATTCGTTTGGTTAGAGATTACCATCAAAATAGGGTTCTTGATAAACAATTATTTTCGGGAGTACCTCAACTTCATTTAAAGGAAATTGAGAAGGTTGATTTATTTTTATTTTTACATTATACATTATGATGAAAATTTGTTTTTAGTTACTAGAAAAATTAGTTGAAAGAATACCAAATGAATTCTATAAAGTTAAAAAAAGTAATTTACAAAGATTTACTAAACATAAGAATATTGAAGTGAAAATAACAGATCCTATTTTTTACATTCCATTAAAAGAAGAATTCCCAGAACTTGATAAATATTTCGAGAAGCAACAGGACAATTTTTCTTTGTTGTATGTCAAACCAAAAATTGTTGATGCAAAATCTAGACATGAAGATAATGGATATTCTTTGGAAACTATGTTTGAATGTTACAGGCAATCAATATCTGGATATGATTATAGGGATTTTAAGACTATTGTGCATAATGAGCTTAATTCTAACAAAACTAATGATGAAATTATGGATTATTTTCTAGAAACTTTTGGTTATGGTGCAATTGACTTTTTAACTGAATTAATTGAACATCGTTACAAGAAAATTAATTATAATTCACAAATAAGTGGTAAGGATGTTTTATATTTTACTTTAAAGTATAAACAATCTTACAAAAATATTTATTTATTTCCTTTATTTAGCTAGTTTGCTAATATCACAATCTACAAATTTAGCAAATATCTCATATATATGAACATACAAGTCAAAACATAGACAATACAAATACAATTAAAACTAACTAACCAACCAACCAACCAACCCTGCTACTGTTTCTGAGATTCATCAATTAAATAATTGTGACTTGGATTTTAAATGTAGTTACAGATTTAATTTTTGTCTGGCAGTGTTATAGAGATCTAGGATTTATACCTTTAAAAAATAATAAATTTTGTGTCTCATAATAGTTTCAATATAGAAGTTATTTCTATTCTGCATTTCTCTTGATTTTAACCAGTGTCAACCCAATTAACATTGTTTTATATATTATTACAGACTGTCAGTGGCACGCCATTGACTTTTCTTGTAATAAAAAAAAATATTTTTAAAATCCTTATTTTTTTTATGAACAGATTTGTTCTCTTGGACTGTTTTTAGACTGAGACACGGTTTTGGTCTGAAAAAATAAAATCTATTTATCTGCATTGTGATATTGTCAGTAATAACAATATTGTTATGACCATACAGAGAAACGATTTTCATTTTTCTAAGCAAAAACCATACTTTGGACTGAAAAAAATTAAGTGATCTAATTTGCTTAGAAATGGGGATTTCAAAAATGATTTTTATTTAAGAGAAATGATTGTTTTTACATGAGCAGGCTTAAGGGATAAATATACCAACTATTTTTACATAAGCAGACTGAATGGATAAAAAACCCAAATATTTGTATGCAGGCGAGCTTAAGCGGCATATATTTTTACATGGGCAGGCTTAGGGGGTAAAGAGACCTAATATTTTTCATGGGAAGGCGCAAAGGAAAAAGGGTCCAAATATTTTCACATGTGCTAGATGACTCTTCAAAAGGAATCAATTATTTTCAAATTTAACGAGATTTATCTCAGACAGAATTATTAATTACTTAGAAAAAAGTTAATAAAATTAAAAATTGATAATATATTGAATTATAATTATTTTACTTTAGGTAATGAAAGTCGGACTAGTAATAGGCAAAATCCTGCAGAAGTATTAGCTGGTCAGGTTATTGTTCAATCAGAGAAGGAAACTATATTATCAAAAAAGTTAAGAAAAATGGAGAAAAAGGATAAGTCAAAATATTCAGGCACAGAGATTAAACAGTAAGTATAGATATTAGGGTGCAAGTGTTTGGGTATAGTTTTCAAGAAAAATACAAAGACAGAAATTGGGAAAAGAAGTAAAAGAGGCTGTTGATGATAATCTTGGTAGGTACTGATAATGTTAGTACTGAAATAAGGGTAATGATAATTTAGATTGAAATAGCACAGTAGCAGGGAAAAATGTATTACATTAAAAAAGGTTTTCCTAATATTAATTTATTACTAATATATGAATGTATAATTATTTTTAAGAACTGAAATTGAATATGAAGTAGCCAAAAGTACTCCAATTTTCCGAAAAGCTGCACCTCAGTCACTTGACCCTGAAGAATATCCTCATATCCATGATCAACTAAGGAATCATATGATTACAAGTAATTATTATTCTTTCAAACTAATATGCAATTTAATTTCTATTGTAGCAGGGACAGAAGTTGGAAAGGCTTCTCGCAGTTCTCCCACTTCACACACATAAATTGACAGTTTTACAGCAGAGCTAAACGAAGTAGACGCGATACATTGGAGTACAATATTATTTTTTGGATGTTAATAACAATTTCGGGTAAATAGTTTACTAAATTGTGATGGCTGTTGAAATTTTGTAGAATTATGATTTTGATATTATAATACATGTTTAATAATTATTTATAGTCCATAAATACATGCGATTGTCCGGTTCCGCCGGTAACAATTTAAAATTACTCTATGAAAAGACACTGGCAGATAAACATTACTGTGAAATTCTCGAAGTCGTCCGACGTGGTTTGACATTTACCCCTCTCTACCTACCAAAAGTCTTTCCAACTTCTGCCCCTGCTATAACTAAATTAATTCACCATACAATTTATAATGTACAGTGAAAAAAAGGTATGATAATTGTCTTTCAGCTAAATATGACGGTGTCACCATTACTCAACCTGAGAATGCTGTAAAAGTGGTAACTCCAGATTATGCCGAATTTACTATTCCTGGAGGAAAAAAAGGGGACGTGAAAGACTTGGAACCAATTAAAGTTTCTTCGCTGGATCCGACTGGGCAGCTAGTGTTTAGAGACATCAAAGAATTCAATAGGATACAATCGGAAGTATTTCCTGTGGCCTATCATTCCAATGAAAATATGTTGGTGTGCGCACCCACAGGAGCTGGTAAAACGAATATCGCTCTTTTGAGTATTGTACACCAAATTAAATGTCACATGGAAGGAAGTGTGATACGAAAAAATGATTTCAAGGTAATACAAATTCGTAACCAGTGTGAAGTTAGTAATGAAAAGCTGGTATCTCACTTAGCACCCTTCAAAGGGGCAACAATCACGCCCCATTTTCATAAAAAATGAAGTCGATACGTTTAGAAAATGTTATCAAGATTTGTATTGATTATTTTTAATATAAATAATCACTACTTAAGAGTGAAATCGCTTAGCGGTCTTTAAGGCATTAAATAATCGATTATTCAATTAATCGATTTTTTCGAGGCATACTCGCTTAGCGGCCTTCTAAGGGATAGTAATCACACAACATTTTAAAAAAAATATTTTGACAGGATTAGAAAAAGATAAGTTAATATTTATAGAGATTATTGTTTTTCAAATATTTAATTCGATTTGAAAGAGATATCAAGACAACATTTATATAGATTATTTTTTAATATAAACAATCACTATTTAAAAGCAGAATCGCTTAGCGGCCTCTTAAGGGCTAGCAACCATGTCCAATTTTCATTAAAATGAATTTGACAAGATTAGAAAGATATATCAAGTTAAGATTTACATAAATTGTAGTTTTTAATATAAACATTCAAATCATTTTACATTTCTCATGTCTTTTTTTAGATAATTTATGTTTGCCCAATGAAAGCACTGGCCACAGAAATGGTGGTGAATTTTTCAAAAAAATTAGCTCCAATAGGAATTTCCGTCAAGGAATGTACCGGCGACATGCAGTTAACAAAAAAAGAAATAGCAGAAACTCAGATGCTCGTTACTACGCCAGAAAAATGGGATGTTATCACAAGGAAAGGAGCAGGTATATAATACCAGCGATTTTAGAAAATTATTAAACGATAAATTTGACTTTTTATTGCTTGTGCAGCGCTTCTGATTTAATTTTTACCAGCTTTAAAATGTTATACTTTAAAGTGGTAAGTACTAAGTCAACCCAGAACTCCCACGTGGAGTTGTGTGCCCATCGAGTTCCACCCACAATGCATTCGATATTGCCCCCCTTCTTAAACGCCGTCGTGCCCTGTTTAATTTTGATTTAATAGTCTTAATTTTTTTTTTCTTTGCCTTGTATATCGATTTCTTATAAACAATATTTAAAATCAGTTAAATTTTTAGCAATCGAGTAATAATACTGATTACATTTTTTAATTTTTTTTATATATTATTATTTCAGTGGATACAGAAGTCGTGGGTTTAGTTAAACTTTTAATAATCGACGAAGTGCACTTGTTAAACGGCAGCAGAGGTCCAGTTATAGAAGCGCTCGTCGCCAGAACTCTTAGACAAGTCGTCAGCAGTCAAAGCATGATAAGAATAGTCGCGTTGTCTGCCACTTTGCCTGGTTATTTGGACGTAGCGACGTTTCTGAAGGTTAACACGCGTTCCGGACTGTTCTTCTTCGATAATCGTTTCAGATCCGTACCGTTAACGACCAGTTTTATCGGTTGCAAGAAGAAAAACGAAAACGAAACAATGGACATGGTTTGCTACAAAAAAGTGGTTCATTTTATTAGAGAAGGACATCAGGTACTTTTACTTTATACGTTTATTGTATTAAATAGTATAAAACAAAGTCGCTGTCTGTTTTTCTGGTTACTTCTTGTAAACCACGCAAAGAAATTTGATACGGTTTTTACTAATAGAAAAAGCGAAAAACGACGAAGGTTTGTGTGTATAATTTGTAAATATTTGTACAAAATGGCTGAATTATGACGGAGTTTTATCAAAAAAACTGTTTTCGTATGCTTACATGGCAAATGCTGGCCACATTTTATGATAGATATCAAAACAATGTACTAGCAAATTGTAGGTCTTTAAAACAAGTAATTCTGATACAAAATTTCAAAAGAGGTAAATTAAATATGAAAAATAAAAAAAAAATAACCGTAAAACTCAAACATTTGTTATAATACAGACAGGAATCAAAAGAAAACCTTTTGAACTAGTCGTTTCAAGTATTAAAACGCTAAATAGGTGTAAAATAGAACTTCATTGTAAAATAGCCGAATATTTCATCTGTTTGTCAATCATTACCTCTAAGTATTTAGACTTTTCTACTAACGGTATAGATTTTCCTCCAATTGCGATATTATATTGTTTATCAACAAACTGCACACAGTTGTAGTTGTTACTTATCAGCGTACATTTTGTTTGTCTTGATTTTTAACAAATTATTATTTCAACACCATTTATAAACATTTTTCAGAGTTTCATTAACAACTCTTTCTAAGTTATTTGGGTCCTTACAAGTAAAATATATAAGGACATCATCAGCAAATAGGTGAATATCACATTGGCCCTTGACATCAATAATGTCATTGATATAAACTAAAAATAACAGGGGACCTAGAATACTTCCCTGTGGAAAGCCTTTGCTGTAGTTAATATCTTCTGGCTTTGGTAGATAACAGGTCCTCAAGGTACCAAAAAAATATATGGCAAAAACAACGTTATAGTATGCAATCTGATTTTTTAATATGTTTAACTGGATGACATTATAATCTTCAATCAACAATTGCCGGACACTTTTCGTAGAGGGTTACGTCTGTCAGACGCTTTCAACGTGTCGAAAAATGATTATACACTTTATAGAAACATTTTTTATTGTTAATTTCTCAGAAAATGTTATTCTTGATAAAAGTTAGTAAACGACCTAAAAACCATTACAAACTCGATACATAAAAATTGAATCATACACGAGGGAAGTAAATAAATATGAATTTAGCTGAAGAGTAAAGAATGGAAAGTTTATCGTACTCGCATGTTTCTTGTATCGCTCGGCTCATAATCTCGAGACTAGTTCAATGAAGAATCACTTTGCTGACTTGGCACTTAAATAACTATAATTCTTTTCTTATAAAAAAAAAATATCGTTATTATTCATTTTTAGGCTATGGTTTTCGTAACTTCTAGAAACGCCACGGCAACCGTAGCTAAAAAGCTAATAGAATTAGCACAAGAAAAAGGCACATTGCCTCTGTTCGAACCGGAAAAGTCTATAAAAATTAATAGAGCTGGATATAAAAGCGGCGATTTAGGGTATTTGGTGCCTCAAGGCTTTGGAATACACCATGCAGGTATTTATTTATGAAATTCGATTATCCACTGGTGAATTTTAAAAAATGTCCTAACATTTTTATTAACAGACTTCAAAAAAGGAGGAGGTTCTCAATTCGACGCATTTTTTTTATGTATGTTCAGCGATAATTCTTTAACACGATGTCCGATTTTAATGATTCTTTTTTTTTATTATTTTAAAGGGGGTACTTCCCCATATAAATTTGGTCAAAATCTAATAATTGGGTCCATGAGAAAATCCACAAACTCTTCATTTTTTATGTATGTTTAGCGATAATGCTTTACCACCTTGTCCGATTTATATGATTCTTTTTTTGTTAGTAAGGGGGTACCTCAGGGGTAGTCCCATATAAATTTGGTTAAGATGTGGTGATGGCATCTGCACGTTTTTGAAGTCGGTTTTTTTTTTAATTTTTAATTTCTAATACTTGTTGAGTACTAATATACCAAATAAGTCATTACGTCAAAATGCTCGCAAACAGTGGCAGTTGAACACGTGTAATATTTCAATAATAATGAACGATCGAGAAAATGTATTGGAGTGAGCTGTGAAATTTAAATGTTTTGGGTTGATACTATAACCGCTTTTCATTGCAAATCAAGTTTATTACCTTGAAATGATACTGCAATAAAAAAATCTCAAAAAATTCTCACCTCTTGTGGTATTATTATAGATATACAGGGTGGTTTATAAGGAATGGTAAAAATTTTAACTTCACAATATTAATATTTTGCTAAATAACACTGAGTAAAATGTCAGCTACATCTGAGAAGTAAAAATTTATTTTTGTTTTTTTTGCAATATTGTTATTTAACGTATGGGCTAGTAAATCATAAGCTTGTTATCAATTTTGCGATTAGACAGAGGTCGCCAACTACGCTTTCCTACTTTCAAGATATGTTTCTGTTATTTATGATTAGAAAAGAAAATTCTTTGAATAAAAGTTGTCTGTAATGTCGTCAATCTCTAGAGTTTCTATAATATACATTATTTATCTAAAATGGACTGTTATGGAGAAATTTGAGGAAAATTTCAAAATTTGTTTTTTCTAAATATTTTCGTTGGCAGTGAAGATATGAAAATGTTTAGATTTTTTTCATATTCGAGAACTTTTTATTAAATGGGCCGTACTCAATATATTTTTTGATAAATTTATGAAAAAGTTGCATATTGGACAAATCAAATAATTTATCCGTTTTTAAGTTATTATGGATACAGATATAGGGGTCTATTATGTAACAATTCCTTTATATTTAACGGCCTTTAAAAATATTGGTGGCCTTAAATATATTTTCGTATTCGTTAATTTACTTCTGTCATTATTTAAACAGATTTCTTTAAGATAGTCCTCTAATGTATTTTAAAGATCCGTTTAAATAATGACAGAAGTAAAGAAGAAAATATTTTTAAAGGCCGTTAAATATAAAAGAATTGTTACAGAATAGACCCCATAGACATTCATTTTTTAATATTTAGTTTAATATTATTGTGAATCAAGAGCTTCATTTAAATATTTACTTATTTCATCAAAACAATTTCTGCTTTTAAAAATCGTCTGACTGCTTTTAATTTTGGGTACGTTTCAAAATTCACTTTATTTTATATGGAAATGACGATTCTTGACATAGAATACATTGCGTAAAATGATGCAGGTTTGAATTGTTCCATAAGTTCCCCAAAATATGCCAAAAGCACATTCTCAAAGAATTAGTATGCATTGTTTTTTATAGGTCATTCTACTGCGTATTGGATCATAATAAACTTACACACAAAAATAACAACGCGTTTACAAAAAAATGTGAATTTGTAACCGTTCACTCTCTCTCGAAAACCGAACCAAATCAAACACCCGTTGATACTAATTGATTAATTTTAATTTTTATCGTACAGAATTGTTCGTTGATAATGCACTTTTTTTTTCTTTCACATAAAAGAAACTACATAATACATTATAATAATAATAATGCAGCCGATTGGAATATTTTATTTTACTGAATTTTTATTCACGTTTTATTTTTAAAATTATTATATTGTTATACAGTATACATGATGTCCTAAAATTCGCGTGTGGGTTTAGTGTTGCTTGTGATGTCGTTCTCTATAATTTTTGCTCTATACATCATTTCCTTAAAATAGACCGTATTCGATTAATTTGAGGAAAAGTGAAAAATTCGAATTTTGAAAATAACTTGAAAACGGATAGAGAAAAACAAAATATTGAACTTAAACTTTAATCCATCCTGCGGTGAGTCGATTAGATTTTGTGTGTAGTTGTAACAACCAGTTATGTCTAATGACCAACGCTCGTCACCAAATGTAACAACCAGTTTGCCTAATGACCATTTACAACTACTGATAGGTCTTTAGCTACTGTTACTATACTATTAAGGGATAAAGGCAGCGCTTGTCACCAGCCCTAGGGTCCTGGAGTCCTGAAGGAACATCCATTCGCCAGTTGCAAAATAAAATAATAAAAATACAAAAAAAAAACATCCCTTAATAGCATATGTCGAGCGGTTTTGGCAACTGACTTAAGACCCTCAAGTCCTTAAGGGTAGGAACGCCGAGGCTTAACATGCTCGGAATATTTCTTACTGGTTTTTGGAAAGAGGTGAGAATAAAATAGGTTAATGAACAATAACATGTATATTTAAATATAAGTAAAAAATGATTAACAATTTCAATAAATCAAAACAATCTCTATTTTTGAAATAAGACAGCAAGAATTACTACCCACAATTGTAAATCTTTATTATGATAAACCATGCTAATATAATATAATCTATGATGAAACTTTGATATAATGAAACCTTTTACATCACAAAACATTTTAATATAAAAAAACTCTTTATATGATAAAACCCTTAAAACTGATAAACATTTAATAAGTAAACTTGGGACGAAAATGAAAGAATTGGCATTTGAAGAAAGACTAATGAACTGTTTTAAAATACATAACCCAAACAAGAGATTTAAACATGTTAAAATAAAATAGATATTACCTTTGAAACTAAAACACTACACACACACTTTACTATATATAATAAATACTAATAATTACTAAGTTCCATTTTTGGGCATAGGTTTGGCCCAACGGCCGCCCCTCGAGTCTTTTTGTGTCAACGATTGACTCTCTATTTATATCAATCTTAACGTGATTATTTTAAAAAGAAACTCGACTTATTTATTTTTAATGATTATTCGCACGATTTGTCCTTTAATTTTCTAGTACAATGAACTATTTCTAATTGTTTGGTTTTAATAAATATGTTGTGTTAATTTAATAGATATTAAAAATATTAGATATTTTTGTTAAATTCTTTATATTTTAAAAATAATAATGCCAATTATTACATAGTCGGAAAATCTGGCGGAATAGGGGGTCGTTTTACTATTTTACGTAATATCTGTTATTTACGATTGGAGAAGAAAATTCTTTAAATAAAAGGGGATGAATTGTTGATAGGACCAGAGAATAGGCTTTTAGATCAAATTTGGGGGAATTTTAACACAAAAATCAGGGTTTTTGTTAAAGTATCTCAGCAACTGTTTGAGAAACAAAAAATAATATAAAATAGAAATGAAAATCAATCAGAACCAATTAATTATGAAGAACAGGAAGATACGGTTGCTTGTGATGTTATTCTCTATTATCCTTGTCCTTGTAGATGATTTTCCTAAAATGGATCGTATTCGAGATATTTGAGGAAAAGTGCAAAATTCGAATATTTAGGACTAGTTAAAATTTGGTTTTCCGATTGAATTTGATCAATAGGTTAAAATGTTATTCCGTGGAAGTGGCTAAAGTACCAACCTAACAAATTTAAATTTCACAACCAATTCCTGGTTAGTTTATTCAAAACAATGATACATTTTGTGCACAGGCATGGTCAGATCAGACAGATTGGAAGTAGAACGACTTTTTCGTGACGGCGAATTAAAGGTCATTGTTTGCACTACTACGCTGGCTTGGGGAGTCAACTTACCCGCTCATGCAGTCATTATAAGAGTAAGAAATATCGGTTTTTATTTTTTTTAAATATCCAGCGGTTAAAATTTTAAACTCGTTTGTATATTTTAGGGAACTCTTCATTACGATGCACAAAAATCCTCATTCGTCGATATGGATATGTTAGACGTTCAACAGATATTCGGAAGAGCTGGTAGACCTCAATATGACACTTCCGGACATGGTATTATTATAACATCAATGGCAAATATGTCTAAATACATGGGACTAATGTTATCACAAGTTCCTATTGAAAGTCAGTTCTTGAACTGCATACCAGATAATCTAAATGCAGAAGTAAGTTCGGGTTGTGTTATAAGCATTCAAAATCTTATTATTCCTGCTAGGAAACGAACCTACGTTTTCTTTCCTGTCAAATGTCTTAACCCTTCAACTATTAATTTCCATTTTTTTGTTGGTAGATTATTTTAGGAACCGTTTCTAATATAAAAGAAGCAATGGAGTGGCTAGCAAATACATTTTTATTCGTGCGCATTAAAAAAAATCCATTGGTTTATGGATTGACATTTAACGAAATTTGGGTAAGTAGTAAATAATAGATCTGAAAAGGTCGAGGTGGGGGAGGCCACATGGCTCACAGTCCTAATTAAATCTAATCTAAATAATGTTAATTAACAGTAATTTAATTTGAAGAATAAATACTCTTTACAGATCCGAAAACTAAAGAATGCATTTGAAATTGTGCAAATAAAGACCCCTATTATCCTTAGAAAATCAAGGAATCCATTCCCACAACCCTGAAATGAAAATAAAACAAAAATTATTGCACAGATTGTTTCACTAGTTGTTCAGTTTAACCTGGACACATTTTTGTTTTATGTTTTAAAAATAATTCGTTGCTATCAAATTATTATTTAGCTTCTGTCATAATCTTAGATTTTTTGATAACTATGGCAGATGCGTTGTTGCAGTGATAGGAGAAATTGGTATCATCTGCGTACATGGTAGTTAATAATTCAGTATAATTTGAATTTATACATGAGGAAAGATCATTGGTGTATATTAAAAATAATAGAGGGCCTAGTATAGATCCTTGTGAAACGTCTATTTTCGTTATTACAGGTTTACTAAGTTTATTTCTGTAATATACACTTTGTTGTTTGTTTTGTAAATAGGAAGCAATCATCTTATTTGCAACTGTTCCAGTGATTTACAGTCAAATGTTTTAGACAAATCAGCGATTTATTTTGCAAATGCAATAATTCCATTTCTTTGTTTTCTTTAAGGATATCAACCAATTTAATCAGTTCTTACAATACCAACTAGATACGGCAGCTAAAACGTTGGAAAGGTCTCAAATGATTCGATTTGATACGACTTTAGGTGAATTACGACCTACAAATTTCGGTCGAATCGCTAGTTTTTATTATATATCTTATAAAACCATGGAAATGTTTTATGAAAAGTTTGATAGGAATACACCAGAATCCGCTCTTATACAGTTAATCAGCGAAGCTTCGGAATTTGCACAAATACAGGTAAATAATACATTTTCGATTTTTTTCAATGTTTTAACTTATTCTTTTCTACTAGGTTAGAATGGATGAAATACACGAATTAGATAGGTTGCGGGATTATAATGAATATAACATTAATTTAGATTTTTCGAACTCGGTGGATAAAGTAATTATTTTGATTCAAGCAAATATAAGTAGAGCATTAATTAGAGTTTCATCTTTGGTATCAGATTCTCAATTCATTATGCAGGTAAGAAAAATATTCGAATTATTCTAATTCACCAAATCAATATTGTTTTATTAACTTTAACAGACTGTCACGAGATTAGCGAGAGCCTTGTTCGAAATCGCAAAAGACAGAGACTTTGCTCTTCAAGTATCGCGGACTTTAGTCCTAGCCCAAATGCTGGAGAAACAAATTTGGCCGGAAACTCATCCTTTGATGCTTTTCAAAGAACTGACTCCTCATTTGAACACGCATCGTTCTTCGGAAATTCTCAATATACCATTATGGGAACTCGGAGAAATGTCGGAAAGAGAATTGGAATCCCTTTTTCGCAGCAAACATATTGGAAATAGAGTTAAACATTTTTGTCAGATATTTCCGCAGGTAATTTTGATTTAATCTAAAAAAATTATGCCTCATACAAAAGTATTTTATTTTACAGTATGTCACAAATAAGGTTGATCAATTTTAAACGTAAACGAACAACTTATTAAAATTTTAAATAAATTAAAATTGATCACTCTTATTTACTCACTCATTCTTTCTTATCTATTAATTTCAATTATTATTTCTAATAATTTCTCTTAATTTATGTCCGTCCTTTTGTCTCGTCCATCTATCAGTCCGTCCGTTCATCTGTCTATGGCCCTTTTGACAATGCATTTTCCTTATAAATACCAACTAAATGATGTTACGGGTATATTAATTAATTTTACCTTTAGGTCGAAGTTGAATTTATCGTTAAACCGATAACGGAAGGTGTTATAAAAGTAAAATTATTTATATTTCCGAAATTTAAATGGGATCATAGCGTTCACGGGACTGTTCAGCATTTTTATGCTTGGATAGAAGATCCGCAACATGACAGCATTTACCATATGGAATCGTTTATTATTACAAAAAGAATGTGCTTGAATGAGGAACCCATTGAACTAGCTTTGACTGTACCTTTGACGAAACCGTTGTCCTTGGAATATTTCATTCGGGTAGTAAACAGCCAATTTTTACGTAAGTTTATCATATTGTAATCTAGAATACCTCAGAAGATCATTTTTATTGGATTGTCCCATGAATTATCCTGCCAGTTTTTTTTATTTTTTCAAAACTTATCACTGATAATTACTATGATTTTTTACGAAGTTCTAATTCCTAATTTTTGACAAAAAAGGCTCAAAATTTAGAATGTTTTTTTCATTGTGTCTTTCATAGATTTTGAGGTGTACATTTCAAAAATGTATATTTTTTTGTCTATTTTTATGGGAAGTGCTTCAAACTCGATGGTAAACATTTTTTGCAGCCTTTAATATGGGAAACAAAAATATTTTTTTTAATGGTAATTTTTATAACAGAAAATGAATTTTTTAGATTCCGAACGAATTGAAGTGATAAATCTACAAGATTTGAAATTATTCACGGCCGACTCATTCCAAACTAAAATATTGGACTTGCAACCTCTACCGAAAACCGTTTTACAAAATACCTCGTTCGAAGATCTTTATTCTTTTACTCATTTCAATGCCGTACAGAGTCAGGTGTTCCACTCGTGTTATTATACAGACACGCCTGTGATACTTGGAGCTCCAACCGGTTCGGGTAAAACTATAGTTGCTGAATTATGTATTCTACGATTATTCAATAATTCTCCAAAACTAAAGGTAAATATACCCACAATCAAACTTACATGGTGTGTCTACAATAGCATATGGAAAACTTGTTCATTATTAATTTTAGACAAAAAAGTTATTGTTCATAAAAAACTGTGGATGATCTAAAACCTAAAATTCAACCATCTGATATCAAATTTTATTAGTAGTATACGAGGTTTGTCAAAAAATTAAGGTACTTTACGCTTGAGCAAAATCATATTCTCTGATAAACCTCGTATACGACTGATGAAATTTGATATCACATTGTGTAAGTTTGGGTTTTAGACTATTTTTTATGAATAACTTTTCTTGCATAAAATTGCTAATAAAAAAGTTATCCATATTATGCCAACTTACGTAGACAGACACACACTGTATGTTTATTGTCAAAGCTACAACTAATAGACAAACACAAAAATTTAATGAAATTAATAAAAACATTTAAAAGAACGTTAATTATAAAATTAACATTGCAATTTAAATATGGAATAACATGATTTTTTCTTTAAAGAAAAAACTACTTTGCTTCGTCATGACTTTTTGATGATCCTGTATACCAATTTGTCTTTATTGTAATAGATTTTAAAATACCTTAAAATGTTTGTATTTTTTAGGTCGTATATATAGCGCCGATGAAAGCTTTGGTAAGAGAAAGGGTTCTAGATTGGGCTAAAAAATTTGCTAAAATATCTAAAAAAGTAATCGAAGTCACCGGAGATATTACACCACGTTCCGAATTTATACGTTCCGCAAACATCATTATAACCACGCCGGAAAAATGGGATGCGATGAGTCGAAATTGGACCGAAAAAGATTTCGTAAAAGACGTCGGTTTGATAGTTATCGACGAAATTCATCTTTTAGGAGAGGACAGAGGTCCCGTTTTGGAGGTTATCGTGTCTAGAATGAATTATATTAATATGAAAACCAAAAAGAGTGTTAGAATAGTTGGATTATCTACTGCAATGGCAAATCCCGGCGATTTGGCGTATTGGTTGATGGCTGATAAGGTAAGAAGATTAAGATTACTTTTTATTATACCTCAAATTGGTTTGTCCTTTTAAATAATGAACAAACCGTTGGCGTACAGTCAAAACCTCGTATCATAAAATTTCCATGTTTTCAGGAAACCCTAAAAACTTTTTTTTGTAGGTAATTGTTAATTTTATAAAAGTAGATTTTTTTTGTAATAGAAAAAGGCCAGTCAAAAAGATGACAAATGGTTAAAGATTTACATTTTTATAATTAATCTCTCTAAAAAATTACATTCAATTACGCCAAAATATGAGTTACGAGGTTTTGACTCTACAACGACGAAATATTTTTGGGTTCACTTCTCATTTTAAAATTTTTTTGGGTCTCCAAAATAATTTTCACTCTTATCAACCAAACTTTGGAACTTCCAAACTGATCTTAAAGCAGACTGGCAGCAACTAGGGCTGCTTCTCCTTATGTAACGAGTGGCCTAAGCATATTATAACCTTTATTTATTTTCACTAAAAAAACATTTATTTATTAACTAAATTTGATATGATTTTTTAAAATCTGTTTTCACAGCAAGATGTATATCAGAAAAGTCAACATATAAAAAATAATTTCAATTATAATGATACATATGAAAGTTAGGTTTTTTAAATGGAACACTCTGTATTTTATTTTTGAATTGCCCTCTCTTTTCCCATTATAACAATAACAAATATAAGATTATACAGGGTATTTCACATGCTATAAGCAGTTTTATATGAAAATCTTATTGATTTCAACCACCTGTATAGTGCAAAAGAAACAATTGAAAACCTTTGCGGTAAAAGGTTTTTAATATTAGTCAACATTTATGCCGATGCACTACTTTTTTCAATTAAAAACAAATTTGTACAGGGTGAGTCAAAATTCAAATACATCATTTTTTTTAAATTGTCTATCCTGAATTTTATATCACCATTTAAAAGTATTTTCATTTGAGTTAAGCATTCCCTATACCTCAAGTTTATAATTTTGAGATTATTAAATTTAAAAGAAAAAATAAAGATAATTCAGAAAATACTCTACTTTTAACTGGTCACTGGTTAATAGGAAATAGACTGTTTGGTAATTGGTAATTCGAAATTAATTGGGTGCATTTGGTATTTATTTTTAATCGAGTGTTGTTCTATTAAAAATTGTCAAAAACTATTTTAGTCAATAATAAATTACAGCTGGTTAAATTATAATTACTAATTAAGTCTATTTCCTGTTAACCAGTGACCAGTTAAAATTAAACTATTTTGTGAACTATTTTTTTTTGTCATTTAGATTTAAGAGTCTCCCAAAATTATTAACTTTAGGTTGGTAATACTTAACTCAAATAAAACTTTAATTAAGATACTTTTAAATGGCAATATAAAATCAATGCGCTAGTTCAGTGAGATGTCATTTTGGTTCCACTGACATTTAATTCTAACCAAACTTTTAACAAAAACATCAATAAATTTGACATATACGTTTTTACTGTTTTAACTTTATTTTTAATTATTGTTTACAAGTCATAAAAAATAGTTTAAAGGTATGCAATTTGTAACTAAACGATTGTATATTTGATGCATGTTATATACTTACTTTAGGAATATATTTATAAAAGTGAAAAAACGATATAATTTAGGTAAACAAAACGCACTCAAATCTACTGTCACTTTAATTGTCAGTGGAACCATAATTACATCATCACTGAACTAGTACATAAAAAAAATAAGAAAATGATGTATGTGTGATATTTTTATAATTTGATCAAATTAACTTTTCGTTAAGAAAAATGAAATCGACATATTGCTATATGAAAGAAAAAAGATATTTTTTCAATAACATTAAAAAAACTCATTAAAAAGGCTTTTTCCGCTTAGTACACCAGCTTATTTACAATTATTACAGTTAATCTAATAGTTTTAAAGTAAAGGTTTTTGTTTGGGAAATATAACACCGGTCTTAAGAAATAACAAAAAAATTTGATACGACAGAACTTTGGTTAATCAGACTAGGACCAGCATTGTTGATTCGGGAAGATTTAGGATAACTCTTATAGAAATATTATAGCAAACAGCATTTTTAATATTTGAATATATTTTCATTATTTTAAAACGTATTGTCAAAAGTTTAAAGTTGGACTTAACACGGGTATTTCTTAAATATTCTAAAGGATCATTAGGAGATTTAAAATTATTAGTTATATTTTCAACAATTAAGCAATAATACTGATTGAATGTTGTATTATTTGAATTTTTAATTCTAGAGTACTATTTTTTAAAAACAACCTTATATATTTTTCTGTACTGGAGGTAATAGATCATCTTGGACATATTTTTTAAAATAATGAAGGGATCGTATTCTTTTAGCCGTAAACCATGCCCGTTTTTAGTATTTTTATATTTTAGTTTGTAAACTTCCTGGACTGATGTATAGACAACGTTACTAAATAACCAATCGATGTAATTGTCTTAATTGTCTTTTATTTTAGAGAGGGATCTTTAACTTCAGTTCCGCAGTCAGACCAGTACCATTAGAGATTCACTTGCAAGGTTTCACAGCTAAACACTTTTGCCCTCGGATGGCCGCTATGAACAAACCGTGTTATCAAGCGATCTGTCAATATGCAACTGAGAGTTCAACATTGATATTCGTCGCTTCGCGTAAACAGACTAGAATTACCGGATACGAATTAATGAAGTTTTTATTGTCCGAAAATAATCCTCAGAAATGGTTGCACTGTGATGCAAAGGAAATCGAAAGTATCAAGCAACGGTGAGTTAATAAGAGTTAAAATGAAATTTATTTATAGAAATATCATAACCAGCACTTATCGTGATTTAATGAAAGTTCTGATAAAAGGGCGGATTGTATTTCAAATAATGTTTTACTAACATACTTTGAGATTTATTTTACATTTCAGGATAATCGATCAAGATTTATCCCAACTGTTAACATTCGGTATAGGAATCCATCATGCAGCCCTTACAGACACTGATAGAACCATTGTAGAGCAATTGTTCGTTAACAGAAAGATTCAAGTTCTTGTAGCTACCGCCACTTTAGCGTGGGGCGTAAATCTTCCAGCTAAATTAGTTATAGTTAAAGGAACAGAATATTTTGACGGCGCCACGAAGCGCTACGTTGACATGCCCATTACGGATGTCATTCAAATGGTAGGACGAGCAGGTGAGTCAACTATGTTATTTATTCAGTTGACATTTAAATAATTGATACTGGAGTTAGCCATGTGTAAGTTCATTTTTCATCCCTGACACAATGTTTTTCTAGTTTTTATTTTTAATTATGCAGGTAACTAATGTGACCCCCTTTTTATTATAAAATTTAGATTTTCATCCCCGTTGTCAGATGTACTTTTAATGAATTTTAAAGAAATTAGTCCAAAGTCCAAGAAATGAAGCACAATATTACTTGCAGCCGAATTTGAGAGTTCTTTTAAGGATTATTTATTTGGGACACCCTGTATATATTTGTTTTCTTCGTCTATTTAAATTATTATCAACATTTTTTTTTTCATTCATTCTTTTAGGTCGTCCACAATTTGATAATAGTGGCATAGCTTGTGTTATGGTTCAAGAAAACAAGAAAAACTTCTATAGAAAATTCCTATTCGAACCGTTTCCGGTAGAATCTAATCTTTTAGAATTTTTGCCTGATCACGTGAACGCCGAAGTTTATAATGGCAACATAACGAATAAGGTTCAACTCATGGACTTCATTCAATCTACATTTTTCTATAGAAGGCTATTGAGGAATCCTTCGTATTATCAGATGAATTCCAATTCGACTCCTGATCAATATGTTGATGAATTAGCGGAGTCGGTCATAAATACTTTACGAGAACACGATTGTGTTGTTACAGAGAAGAATGTAAGTATTTTTGACGAAAAAAGGACATCACAAAATGTGTATATGTGTTATATAATAAAAATCTAAATAGGTATAGATAATATTTGTAGAATATTAAATGCAAATAATGTGCAGTACCGGCAAAATCGGCTAATTAACTAAATAGACGTATTTATTTGACAAAAATGTAATTCAACATTTAATTCTTCGAATTTTTAGGAAATGAAGATTTTCTACGAATCCACAATTTTAGGAATGTTAAGTGCACAATTTTACTTGTCTTATAAAACTTTGCATTTCCTTAGTGAAAATATGCAAGAAAATAGTTCAATTGAAGAATTGTTAGAACTTATCTGTCAAGTCGAAGAATACAAGCTGATGCCTGTACGGCATAATGAAGACAATATAAACAGGTAAGGCTGTCTAAATATAGAAAATGTTTCCTCCATGAGAGAGAGAGATATTCATTAGGCATTATAAACTCCACCCTACCCCACTTTATTTCAATCTACTTTACTCCGCTCTACTCCATTCTGCTTCACTCTGCTCCGCCTTGTATCTTTCAAACAGATTTTTTTTTGTAAACTCAAGGTTAATGTTCTTTTAATAATTTCGTTACACTCTACATGTCCTTGAAAAATCTCCATTCTCGTCAAATATCGGACCGCTGCCTACTCGTCAAGTATCGAACCGCGGCCTAGGAAGTTTAACTTCAAATATCAAATACAATTTTCTCACATGTATCTAAAAATGTTTGGTGTACACTTTATAATGAATTGAGACGTGCTCTTTGGGTACGTCGTTAACAGCAATGTGTATGCGCTAGTTCAGTGATGATGTATTTATGGTTCCACTGACAATTAAAGTGACAGTAGATTTTTTGAGTGCGTTTTGTTCGTTTTGTTTACCTAAATTATATCGTTTTTTTTTTACTTTTATAAATATATTCCTAAAGTAAGTAAATATCATGTATCAAATATGCAATCGTTTAGTTACCAATTACATACCTTTAAACTATTTTTTATGACCTGTAAACAATATTTTGAAATGAAATAAAAACAGTAAAAACGTATATGTCAAATTTATTGATGTTTTTGTTAAAAGTTTGGTTATAATTAAATGTCAGTGGAACCAAAATGACATCACACTGAACTAGCGCATTCAGACATCGTTGTTAACGACGTGCAATCTATTATACAGTGTAACCCAAAAAGTTCTATACACATGAGTAAAAAAAAAAATATTATTCGTAAGAAAGTTCTGCATCACTTGGAATCTTTAATCTAATATAAAATTTTGTAAAATATAGACGGTATAAAAGGGAAAAATAAAATCGTTCCTTTTTCAGAGATTTGGTCAGACACATAGGACTAAATACCACTTTTGCCTATGACTCGCCCTGTTTGAAGGTTTTATTAATGATTAAATACTACCTTTTGGATTTAAATCTACCAAACCAAGAGTACGTTTTGGATTTAAAAAATGTACTGGATCAAATTATCAGAATCATTCATGTAAGTTATATCAAACATGATAAAATAAATATGTCAACACTGTTTTTTTTTAGTCAATGATGAACTTGGCTGCGCATCGGAACTGGTTAAATTGCACGATCAAATTAATATACTTTTGTCAAATGTTAATTCAAGGATACACAATTGACACTTCCAATATTTTAATGCTTCCTTATATCAATCGCGATAATTTAAGATCTTTAAAAGATAAACTTTCGAAAGTAACCTTATCGGATACTAATAGTGTATCGATTCCTCATTTGAGATTAATGTTGTCGAATCGAGATACAGCCAATAAAATAACAAACGTTTTAAACGAAATATTTGATAAAAGTGCCTCTTCAGAAATAATAAAAACTGTAAACGATTTACCAATGTTAAATATTAAAACAACAATCACAAATAGTAATAATAATGAAAAACTTTCATATACATTAAAAGAAAATTTTTATAATTTGGATATAAAGTCTGATTGTCAATGCATTTTTGAACTGAACATTTACAGACAGGGTTGCAGCAAGATGAACGTCTATAGTAAAAAGTTTAATAAACAGAAAGAAGAGTTTTGGTTTTTGATTTTCGTGGAAGAAGATGAAATGACGTTTAGAAAATTTTCATTTTCCAGGAATTTTAAGAAAATTGTTATTCCTGTGAAAATACCCAAAAGAAGAGGTAAGTCGTTTTTACAGACATATTTTTTTTTATTGGTTATTGACTGTAATATACAGGGTGGACACTTTTTAATTGAAATGTAGGTATTACATAAAAGTTGGTCACCTCTCAGCGTCAACTGAACTCGAACGTCAACGAATCAGTTTTATAAATTGAAAGTGAACGTTCTACTTTGTTTATGTTGAACTTGAACAGAGCGTGAACTGAATGAAGTTTTAAATAATTTAATAACAAAAATTTCCCCACTCGACCATTCACTGTTGGACTGTTGGGTTCTAATTAACAGTGCTATTCCTAAAGTGGCGCAAGGAAAATAAAAATGCCTGTCTGTAGGGGGGTAGGAGTATTAGAGTACTAATACTCCTGCACTATGGAGTATTAGACTACTAGTACTCCTGCACTATGGAGTATTAGACTACTAGTACAATCCATAACCTACATAGAACACAAGGCTAATGACCTTAGATGTTGAAGCCAGACATAAAAAAAAAGAAACCTTTTGCCACCTGACAACACCGACCTTGATATTAAATTTAATGGCTCTATGACCTAAACCCTACTCCTAATTTCTAAGCCGACTTGGGTGAAAAAAACGGTAGGTGCACATGACAATTTGGACGCCAGACTGTCAATTTAGAGCATTCTATGTCACGTTTCCCACGTGCGTGCTACGATAAGTTATATTTTTTATTAATAACGGGCTATTTTAATAATATTAGAACATTTGTTTCAGCTGCGTATTAATCAAATATCATTATCAAGTGATTTTCTTAAATTAAATGGTGCGGTAGTTGAATGTAATAAGTGTTAAATTTAATTTTGATGTTCCTTTTTAGTGTATTTCGATACTTAAGTATGGGCGCCACAGTGTCAAATGTCTCGCTATGTAGCTTGATTTTGTTAATCGGCTTTCAGAACCTGAAAAGTCCAAATTTTGCATGATACCGCCATTTTCTGTCCAAAATATAAATCTACTATACCTCTTTTTGAGATATCATTGGTAGATGGCGCTTCTGGCACTCTTCTACAGAAATCTATCAATGGGTTCTATCGTTCGTTGTCAATGCAGTGTCAATTACACCACTTTAGTTACATGTCGAGTGTAATTTTGTCTGAACTTTATATTCTTTTTAATTTGTTCTTAAAACTCTCAATATTTGCAATCAGTCCACTATACCAAAAGTACTTGATAAAACTAATTTCCAATGATTTGTGGCAATGTAAAGCTATATTTGGATTTTTAGAAGTTGTTTAACCTGGTTTCGTATGAATTGCTCTGATGGATGGATGCCTTGCAGAGGTTAAACAAATCGATCCTCTCTATATGGACTTATCAAAGGCGTTTTAGATAATCAAGTTTGAGTAAATTGATAATTTGGTAGCTTGGATATGGTTTTTATACAGAAAGATCAAATCAATAATTTTATCTCATAACAAATTGCAGTTAAGTTCTGGTAATCCCTTCTTATTTTTTTATTAATGATATAACATTGACCATTAAATACTCCAGCCTTATTTTAACTGATGATACCAACGTTTTTAAAACTGGGGAAAAATAGCAATACATTTGAATTAAAAAGCGGACACACTTTACACATATTTACATCTTTTAATTAATATTTCTATTTTTTAGGCGTCTACATTTATCAGTTAATGGTTTTCAGCGACTGTTATATAGGTTTTGATCAAGTTCTAACATACAAAGCAAAAATAGAAAACTAGAAAACGATTGAATATTTGTGATACTAAATTATTACAGAATAAATACTATATTATTTATGCAACTTATTCAACTTTTATAAATGTACTAATCCCCACTCGACCATTCACTGTTGGGTTCTAATTAACAGTGCTGTTCCTAAAGTGGCGCAAGGAAACAGTAACAAGGCCTGTCTGTAGGGGTGTAGGAGTATTAGAGTACTAATACTCCTGCACTATGGAGTATTAGACTACTAATACAATCCATAACCTACATAGAACACTAGGCTAATGACCTTAGATGTTGAAGCCGTACACCAAATAAAAAAAAAAAAAAAAAAAAAAAAAATTTTATTTATATTATTTTTTTTTGTCAAAGACGCTGTTTAAAAAATTGTATAGAAAATTTTGTTGGTTAAGTATCAAACAAATAAAATGTTAAAAACATTATTTTTCACTTGCATTTTATTCAGAAAAATTTGAGACATTATTTACTATAAATAGTTTTATTACACAACTAAAACAGTGAGACCAAACTTCTTAACTAAATCTTAATGTTTACTATACATTCGCTAGAATTAATAAGAATAACAAACACGCAGTCTTTCAGAAAACGAAAATTTACAAATTATTTTAAATCAAAAATTGATTCAATCTTCACTTATGTTGTGAAAAACATTCACATTAATACTAATTCTCTCTTACACCACATTCTAATGTCAAATAATAGAAAAAAAATGTTACTAAAAACGAATCCACTGATCTGATTTAAAAAAAAAAAACTAATATCTTAATAGGGCCGAGATCTATCTCTGCCTCCATCGCGGCCTCCACCACCACCACCTCTGTAATTGAAAAATTATTCAATTAAAACACTGATAATAAAAAAGACAATTTTTTAATGACATGCCAGTGGCACAACAATAAATATTAGACCTAAGAGATATCGACGAGGACTAATTATTCAGTTATTACATTTTTATCATTGTTTTAATATTGACTATTTTCAGATTTTATTGTGGTTTATTAACAGCGTCAGGTATGGAAGAAGAAAAAGCAACAAGACTTATTGCCAATTGTGGACTGCAAAAATAAATCATATACAGGGTGTTCAAAATTCGCTATTACTGCGGTATATCCTAATAAATATGTTGTACAAAATGTTTCGAGATACCCTATATAATGGATTGCAAAGTGCTCCCCGAGCACGTTGATGATAATGACGTTTTAACAATGCAAGATGTCTCAAAAAAAAAATTATACAAATGGCAAAGATATATTATGCTTATGCAAGTTTTGAAACCTGTATACTAAATTGAGAAATCCACCAACAATGTGTAACCAATGTGTTACCAATTACATACCTTTAAACTATTTTTTATGACCTGTAAACAATATTTTGAAATAAAATAAAAACAGTAAAAACGTATATGTCAAATTTATTGATGTTTTTGTTAAAAGTTTGGTTAGAATTAAATGTCAGTGGAACCAAAATGACATCACACTGAACTAGCGCATAAAAACAATATATTCTTGACAAAAAGTCTTGCATTGATTGGAATTTTTTTAATTTTACAAATTCCATGCTTGTTTCCAGGTACAGAACTTTTTAGGAGAATCGTTTTTCTCATGTGTATAAAACTCGACATACAATTCGAGCACGTCGCTAATAACAAATCCTGGGTTAACAACGTTGCAATCCACTGAACAGGGAGGGTGTCACAAAACGTGCGTAAATAAACTTTTTGGGATACCCTATAAAAATATTTAGACCTTCTGCCTCTTAAACCTGCCCCTCTAAAAATATTTGAACCTGTCCTTTACGCCTGTCCATATAAAAAATTTGGGCCCTCTACCCTTGAAGTCTGCTTAGGTATTTGGCCATTTACTTCCGCCCATGTAAAAATATTTGGCCCATCTACTCCTGCTCATGTAAATTGTTTTCTTGTATAAACATCGTTATGGAGATTAGAAAAAAATCCGATGCTTTGTTATAGACCATTGTAAATTGTTCTTAAATTATAAGTTTTTTTAGGTTGTTGACTAGGATTTCAACTAATGTAATATGGTGGTCAGAAATAGCAACAATTTTTCTATACTTGCGCAAGTTCCAAATTTGAAGTAAATAAAAAAATATTTATTAACAATTTCATGAAAAAAGAATTTTAAAAAGTGTAAGATTGGTGAGAATTTGTTTATACCTACATTATGCAGAATTTAATTTATTTTAATCATATTTACAGCTTGAAATTTTTTTTTTTCTTCAAATTTTATTAGACTTGTAGGCACCAAAAATTAAGATTTCTAATAATCATAGCAATTTATAGAATAGTCACTTCATTTAAAAAAAATGTATTTTTACTAACCTTTCAGATGAACAGGAACAAACAGGCTTTGAATTTCATTTTTTTTTTGTCATTTTCGACTCCTAGTTTACTTACCTTTCTAATTTAAGGACCTGCAATGTTGTGCTTTTTGCAGATAATAATTAAATGTAAAAAAAAATCTTATTTTTTTTTGTATTATAAAAATTGTCAGTAATTTTTAAAATGTGGGTTGATCAGAAACAACCCAATAGGAAAATGTTTTAATGATTATTACAGTAAATGTCACATTATTTTAAATTTTGTAAAAAAAAAAAAAAAAAAACAAGTATTAGAAATTAAAAATTAAAAAAAAAAAACAGACTTCAAAAACGTGCAGATGCCATCACCACATCTTAACCAAATTTATATGGGACCACCCCTGAGGTACCCCCTTACTAACAAACAAAGAATCATATAAATCGGACAAAATGGTAAAGCATTATAGCTAAACATACATAAAAAATAAAGAGTGAGGATTTTCTCATGGACCCAATTATTAGATTTTGACCAAATTTTATATGGGACCACCCCTGAAGTAGCCAAAAAAAGAATTATTGAAATCGGACACCGTGTAAAAAAATTATCGCTGTACATACATAAAAAAAAAAAATCGCGACGAATTGATAACCTCCTCCTCGATTAAAAAATAAATATATAATCCGTTTCAGATATTTCGAGAAATAATAGCAAACGCAGTAAATATACAATTTAAGACTATTTTTCCCCTAGTATTCAACAAACACAAACATTTAGTTAGTTTTATAAAATATAGGATGGAAGTTAAATGATTTTGATGGATTAAAAGTCGGACATTTAAAAGATATTTTATTATATATTATACTAAAAGTAAGTCATTAAAATTAATAGTTTTCCACAAAAACGAAAAAAACTCATCAGGTTATGGGGTTCAGTCAGGCAGAACTCCTAGTCGTAAAATCTGAAAATAAAGTTGTTTTTTCGTTACCGAAGCAAATGATACAAAATGGGAGTTAAGTTTATTTACTAAAACTTTGGCTTTATTTACTTTAAATAATAATAATAAAAAAGAATTATTTAAAATTCGATCAATATTAATGATGTTTGTTTCATTATTTGCGATATCCCATACTTTCAAAGAAAACAAACCACAGATGAAATATAAAATAATTTTTAAATATTTTATATTTATAGAAGAAAACGTTCGAGGGTTAAATGCAAAAAGTTCCCAATTATTTTATTTACCTTCCTCCTCCGCCGCCGCCACCTCGTCCACCGCCAAATCCGCCTCCTCGGCCACCACCACGGCCACCTCCAAATCCACCTCCTCCTCCTCTGCTACCGCGGTCTCTAAAACCTCCGCCGCCGCCTCCACGTCTATCTCTGTCACCGCCATCGCGATCTCTACCACCTCCGCTTCGTCTATCGTCTCCACCGCCACCACCGGCGCCTTCGGGCTTGGGTTCGCTACACCTAAAAATTATTCATTGTAAATATTTGCATATCAAATTAAAAAAAATTACAAATCTATAAAAATTAAAGGGCATGTACAGAAAAATCAAAGTTAAAAATATATGTTTCATATTGATTTGATTGTACATAATTATATATTAATTTAATAAAATCAACATTTTTATCGTTCATCAAGATTGAAAAGTTTTCTTTTCCTTTATAATTCTATATAATTTAAGCAATATTTTAACTAAATTTGATTTAATATGGTTAGTGTAAATAAGAGCTTACAGGTAAAGTAAAGTTACAAAATATTCGATTTTTTCGAAACCACATAGAGCAACTAGTCTAGTCTATTATTATTTTGTTTTAAAATAATTCTTACCTATTGCATTGATTTCGCCATGAGAAGTTGGTGTTGTTACAGTCAGGATTCGGACATTTCCAATCGCCTTCACGGCCTTCTCTGTCTCTACCGCCGCCACCGCCACCACCTCGGCCTGTTAAAAGAAAACATATTTTATAGTGGCCCAATTTTTTTTATAAATAGAAATCTAAATTTCATAAAAAAAAAAACATTTTCAGCATCACTTGGAAATCCGCAATCAAGCATGAAATTTGTAAAATTATAAAGTGGGTTAGGATTATTTATTGAATAAAGCAAAACGAAATTACTTAAAAATAAGTGCAATTATTTAAACTTTATCTTTTAATTTCTATTGATGTCTTCAGCTTCGACAACTTAGGACATTGAAATTTAAAAGTATTTTGCTGTTTATTAGAAATAATTATTTTTGTATTTTTCCTGTATATGGTCTACATTTTAATAATTTAATATTTGATTATGGATTTCCAAACGATGCAGAACTTTTTAATAAGAATAATTTTTTATGTGAAAACTAAAATGAAACTTTTATAAAACTTTTTATAATATACTGTATAATGGATTGCATCGATATCTGAATACATATTGCTTATTAATATTATCAAATAAGTAAAACTCACCTCCGCCATCTCTACCGCCTCTGGGTCCACCGAAACCTCCGCCGCCTCGGCGATCGCCCCTATCGCCGCCACCGCCTCTACCACCACCACCTCCTCGGCCGCCACCACCGCCGCCTCCTCCACCACCACCACCACCGCCGCTCCAAGTGTCCTTTTTGGTTGCCAATTGAACTTTGATCGTGGAGCCTTGGAATTCTTTGCCGTCAAACCAAGTGATGGCGGATTGGGCGGCGTTGGGGTCGTCATACGTAACGGTCGCTTCTCCTTTGCTCAGACCCGTCGCTTTGTCCTTGTAGAGCCAAATTTTACGTTTATTCGTCTTCTTGTCAATCTGTAATAATCAAAATAATGATAGAAGGTTGTAATTGAATATGGTAGAGAATGGTGAGTGACAATTTAAAAACTTAACAATGGTTTTATTATTTAAGTATCTAAAATAATTATTTTTGTCAAAAACTATCAATTTTAGGGCTTCTATTTTATAATAACAAATAGTGAAACAATTTACTGGGTTGTTATCACATGTACATACAACAAAATTATTTAAAAAAATAAATAAATATTGAAACGTAATATTTTAGTCTGACATCAATGGTGAAAAAATATACAGGGCGAGTAGTTTAAAAACATCAGCATTCAAGCTGTTCCAATGTAACGGAATACCCTGTATATTTCGCAGTATCTTAGAAATATACAAATAAGCATATTCTCATATTTTTCGCATTAATGAGTCACCCTGTATGTATTTGAAAAAACATTAGACTTTGTTTTATCTTTGAATAAAAATTATGTGACAGAATAAATAATCTCACAATTTAAAAACCAATTTACGAGGAATAGGATTCTGTATTATAATGTAGCGAATATTCAAAATTGGTCTTGAATATAGAGTGATTCAAGCACAGAGTGCAATTCGCATTCAATACAATTTAAAAATGATTTGATGTCAAGTAAAAATAGAAATTTATAATATAGAAATATTTTAAATCAAATTCTGTAACAAGTGAAATAATTCTCATCTTTTATTTCTTTTTATGAGGATATTTAAAAAAGTAAAATATGCCAAAATAGACCACAAAGCTTAGTGCTGTAAAAGCTAGGAAAGTGATTTCACTCGCATCTTGTGGAATTTATTATTGTGCACAATATGTGTAAAAATAAATAAATAGAATATACCTTTATTATACCAATGGAGCCAAAGTGTTGTTCAATATCATCTTCGGTTAAATCAGAATTCATTCCAGATACAAATATTGTATCAACTTGTATTACTAGATTGTCTCCTCCTGAAAAAGCAAAAATTAGATTAGAATTAAGTATTAAAACTTAAATAAATATAATTAGGATATAACGGACCTACTAACACTATCTCAATGTTCTATTTATACCAAAAATCTTAGAAACGCCTAATTCAATCAGTCTCGACATGTTCCCAGACCTGAAAACCTTGGATCTATTTTTTTTTCTACTATGGAAGAAATAGTAACTACCAATCAACTGCCGTTAATTTTTGCTTATTAAACAATTTTTATTGTTTAATGAAGGCGAATCTAGAATAATCAACTCTATACATTAACACTTGATTTAATTTCTAACTTAAAGTGTAAATATCCATCTGTGTTCCTCCAAATTAATCAACTTTGGTATTTGTAAAAATAATCCCAAAACGACGACTGTTCTTTTAAAAAATATTTGATGGAAGTAAGAAAGTTGCAATGAAAAACCTGATTTTTTTTCGGGTATCATTATGAATAACATTGGATAAATTTTTCTTCCTAATTGAAAGAGTTTAAAGTAAATATACCCCTTTGATACTATCATTATTTAAATTAACATTTTAACTTCAATATAGATGTACTTTTTTATATCTTTGCTTTTCACCCTTTCATTTAGATGCATTTCTAAGCAAAAAATGGTCGAAACGAAATTAGACAATAATTGTAATATTACCTTTTTTATGCAATAATAAACCTAATTCGATATTTTATCACACAAAAATAATAATGCGAAATTGACAACCGATTCGAAAAAACACAGTTTTTCTGTTAAATATAAATATATATCATCTTTCATTTATTCGCACCGGATTGAGCTCGAAATTAAACCAATTATGAAAAACCAGATCAAATTTTCAAAAAAGACTGCATTGCCTGAATTGACTGTTCTATAAATGACAAAAAATATGATTATTACACAACAGAGCTGGGGAGGATTCGAATCACATAAGATTCGAATCCTTTTAATGGACCCGCGAGCGGTATTCAAATACTTAAGAAAAAAAAAAAAAAAAAAAGATGTGTGATCTGGATTCGCCAAGGAAATCCTTTTAGAGACCAAACTACGCCGGCGCGAACGGTCAACTCACGCGAAGTGTAAACTGAAACAGACAAACTGAAGACCGAGTTAATATTTAAAAAATACGTAACAATCTACAAATAAATGTAAAAGAAGGCAGCAGAGCACCTTGACAATTTTGAGTTGAAACCTATGCCTTACTTTTAGGCTGTTTTAAGGCTATTTTTATATCCTATTCAAAAATCGTAAGCTCCTCGTTTTTTTGCAAAAATCACCTCGGTTTTTTACAGCTTTTTCCTGAAAACAACAACACTGCATTTTTAGGCTCTTAAAATATTGTAAAACTTTATTAAAAATTGCTATTTTTTTAAAAATACAGAGTGCTTTGTTGGAACAAAGTCAGCAAGATAACCTCGGTTTTTTAGAACTTTCTTTCTAAAAACAATCACACCGCATTTTTAGGATATTTTTATGCTCTTGAAATATTTTAAAACTTTTAAATAATACAGTCTGCTTTTTGGAAACAAGTGCGTTGCAGGTTTCGTTCGTAACTAGCAAACCAACCTGTATTTTTTAAAAATATTTTAAGAGCCTAAAAAGTATCCTAAAAATTGTTGTTGTTTTTGGCAAAAACTTTCAAAAAACTGGTGGTCTGCTGACTTTGTTTGAAGCTAACAGAGCACCTTGATTTTTGCAAAAACAGTTTATTTTTTTTCAACAGCTTGTATCAACCATTTGTATGCAAGTCATAGTCTGTAATAGACACATAGTTGATGTTGATATTAGATTAGGAAGCATACATAATACCATGGTATGACACTGACAGTGATTCTTATTCATGATTCGAATACTTTTTTATTGAAAAAAGGATTTGGGACATAGGATCCGTGATTCGAATCACATCTCTTGATTCGGATTCGTGATTCAAATAAAAATTTTTGAGGATTCGTCCCAGCTCTGTTACACAAGAAGGCTTAGAACATAAGAAGGCAAAACAGTTTTTCATTTTTGGCAGTAAAAATCTGTTACCAAAATAATAGGCAGCTGGAAAATTTCAGGAATGTGTAACAGGATTAGTTGCCATATATTGAAAGAAAAATGTATTTCTTTATAAAAATTATATAAATATAATGTAGCATAACTCTGTAACATAAATAAATTATAATACTTAAGATCATTTGTCTCAGAGGTAAAGTAATAATTTAAATTTGAGGCACGGTATTTAAACCTTAAGACCCAACATGTTCGTAAAATAATGTACATCGACATCCATGCAAAACTAACCCATCTTCTTTAATTTTTTAAACTATTTACGTGAAATTGTTATTAGCATCTATAAAATAATTTTCTCTTTGGTTAGCTCCGCGGCCAAACTGCCAAATCATGTGTATGAAGTGGGATAACTGACAAAAGCTTTTCAAACGTTTGTTCCTGCTGTACACTGTATTATGGATTGGAGCACATCTTTAACAACGATGGCTGGATACACATTGCTGCTAACGACGTGCTTCGAGCACGTCGCAGTCTCATACAGTGTATTCCTAAAAGTTTTATACACACGAGAAACAATTGTATCTTGCATTTTACAAAAAAAAAAACATTCTTGATAAAAAGTTCTGAATCATTTAGGAATCCATAATCAAGAATTAAATATTGTAAAATATACAGTATACATAAAAAAATATAAATTTTTAATGACGAGTAAAATACTTCAGATGTCAGCATTTTATTACACATTTCCAAAATTTTCGCACCATTTGTTATTGTGGTGACGTAGTATATAGTTTTCAAGATTGACTTTACTTTAAGATTTTTTAATGTAAGACAAATTTACGGATTTTCTTAAAATGACAACCAATTGCAGACATAAAAAAAAAATTAACACCATTTCCGAATATAGACTACATTTTTTTTTAAACTACAGGTGTTATTTTTTATCAGATATTTATTTCCTAATAAGTATTTTTTCAAAAAATTCAATGTTAATTACAAATGTATACGAAGAAAAAACAAATACCTCAAAACCTTTTGCATGTTGATTCACTTACATAAAATGTCAATGAAATTGTTTCTATTAATTTTATCATCATTAAAGGATATTTTGAGCGAGAAAAAGCACTTTTCATAGCAACCTTAGCCACAAAAACAAAATTGCCATAATTAGTTTTGTGTTGTTTATGCTAAGATATTGTTTTTACAAGTGTATACCCTTTTTTATGCATTGACGTTATTACCCTTATAAATACAAAATCTCACAGAAATTGTAATATCTAATACTGTAGCACGTTTTAAAATGATTTGGGAGTATTATATTTTCTTACCAGTATCATACATTTGAATTAACAAATTATATAAAAATAATACTTATTAAAAAAAAAAAAAAAAAACATCAATACCTACAGAAAAGTGACACAACTCCAAAAATCGTAACAAAAGATTGGAAAAGTAATGAATCCGTTTTCATAAGAAACTATACATAATATTTGAATTAATTATAAAGCTGCATCACTTTCCTTTAAAAATATATTGACGATATAAAAGTCCACATAAACCCAGACGCGGTAACTCTTTCAAATAAAACATGTAGATAATAATATTGTACAAAAATGCACCATTGTCACAGGACTTGGTGCTTTTACCTTTGTTATAACCACCACCCCTGTTGCCGCCTCTAAAACAGAAATTCATCATCAGTACTCAGTAGGTGATTTTGTGATACCTGGGGGGCGAATATACGCTGCTACGCTAGACCAACACATGTGAAGCATCAAAACGCTTTGTAAAAATACATATCTTCTTCTGAAGGGAACCACGTACCAACCTATATTTTTCGAGTCCGGTCAGTGTTTTGTCTCGTTTGTCAAGTCTGTCAATGTAAACCAAGTAATTATTATGATTATTATTATTATCCCAACAGAATTCTGTATAAAACCTTTAATAGCATTGGAATGCTTTCGTTCAATACGCCAAATTGCTCTTTTTGTAATTAATCTCCATGATTCACAGGTAAATAGTTTTACAATACCAATTTTACCTTTTACCAAACTTGTAACTTAACCTTTTGAGGACACCTAGCCACTTTATGCGCTACTTTAAACAAATAATTTTATAAATCTTGTCAACACTTTGATTCAAGAAGTTCCTATTAACTTTAGACGTATACATGACACATATTTTTTTATAATTTACATACGACGTTATTTCCAAAACTTTTTTTTTGACAAACTTCTAGAAAAGTAAAAGTATACTCAATATTTTTTTACACAATTTCAATAATTTCTCTTCATACAATATCTGTAATCAAATATTTACCATTTAGCAATTTGCGGTTATATTGTTTTGGCCGGTCAATACGGCTATAAAACTAATGTAGAATGCGAATATCCAACTGTAACAGTGAACATTGACCTGTCACTAGACTATTTTTAGGTTTAATATTACTTTTGTTGCGTTATTAACGAATTATTGTTTCAATAGTATAAGGCGAAAAAGAGTAAAAACTAAATTCTTTAAATTTACCCTTTTGAAATGCTTTAAAATATCAATGAGTATTTCTAACTTAAGAAACGTATACTTTGGTACATAAATCTGTATTTAAGTGGAGTTGGTATCCAAAATGTATTAGACACTGCAAACTACAGTTGAAGTTGGGTTTACGTGAATATTGGCGAGAAGAAAGTGCTTGTAAAAACACCTTGATCTTTTATAAAAATAAATGATTTTGTAGGTTCTCAAATTAGTTGACAATAGTTGAAAGAATAGGTTAAGTTGCGAGACAAATTATTTTATTAACTGCCTAATTTAAATTTTCCTAATTACTTTTTAAATTCAACTACACCATAACCTGTATTGTAGTTATATTCTGTATAAATATTGATGCCAATGGATATGTAATAACTATATAATTTGCATTTTGCTTTAAAATAACTTCAATTTTCAATCTCTTTTAATAACCAGTTCAAGGGTATCTATCGCCGCAGAGGGCTTAAATAAATCGATAGATTTCACGAAATGTTTTTATTTCAAATAGAGTTGGGCTATATTTCATAAGCTATTATTTAAGAACTGCAATTAACAATATCTGTAAGTTATTATTTTTATTATTACAATACATGGACTAACCGCCAAATTTAAAAATAGAAAGTAGTAACTCATGATACTTCATTTGAGAGGTATCTTATCTTCATTATCTATTCAAAAGTGCTACGATTTTCAAATTCGCTACATCCTAAACAATTAATAACTAAAAAAGTTTCGTTCTTAATAATGAGAGAGCAAGCAAAAACAATTTTAATGGCCCTTTTCGACGGTATTAACAAAGAATAAGGAGATAAAAGTTTTCAACATACTTCATAGTTGGCATTCTTGATTTCGTTTAAAACGCTTTAGCAACTTGCGGCGTGATTAACCACAATGACATTAATTGCTGTCAGTCTGGCACATTTTAATTTATTAACTTTTTATCAGAAACATGGTTTAACATATTTAAGCATTTCTGTTAAACTGTGTTAATTTTAACAATGTTAAAAATAATTGGCTAAGGAGATCAAACATTTGCACATGACGTTGACAAATTTATATCCTGGTCAAACAAATCTACAAATCGCAGCGAATATGTGATGATTCCAGTAGGATAAAGCGCAACCACATTACCAAAACAATGCCCGGCAATAACCAATTTCTAATTCGGTGGATAGGAATGCGAGAATCGATAAAACGGCCAGTCCGATCACCTGATCTTACGACATCAGACTTTTTCTTATGGGGAAACGGGAAAAAATAACCTATACAAAACTTAACCACGCGATTTAGCTGATTTTGCGATTAGACCGGTCACCCTCTTAAATGTTAATTATTAAAATAGTAATTGCAGTATAAATATAAAATACTCTCCCCAATTTACCACCTTACAAGTGAATTTCAAACCCTGAAGCTGACTGAGTTTGTGTGGGGAAGGGATGGCATTATTATTTTTATTCGCAATAGCGTGATCTTTTAAATATTTCTGTTAATACCTTAGTGTTTTAAGATATGCATAATCACTATGTATATTCGATTTAATTTACTGAACTGGACATACTAGCGGCGCATCTATAAACATATTAAACTTTTAGTACTTTTTAAAATTAAGGGTGCCACCAAAGCCTTAAAATTGAAGTAATTGTCTTATGTGCAACAGTTCAACGATAGGCTGAGAAGTCAGGATATTTTATTTCATAAAATAGTAATTAAAAAATATTTACATACACGGGTATTGTCTCTAGCCCTATTCCATATAGTTCAGAATGTCTTTTTTTTTTTTGGTGTCATCGGCGTCGACTACTACGGCCATTAGCCTCGTGTTCTCTGTAGATAAGAATTTTTATCTATTAGGTATTAGGCTAATGAAACAGAAACGCTAATACTATAGATAAACTGATTTGTTTTTTCTTCTCATCCTTTATTCAAAAGAAGTAAATACCAAACACTTTCTTAATGACACTCGAGAGTACTGTTACTATTCTTACGCCTCGTTAATCAAATATTTTAAGTTTTTTTTGCTATTTTTTTGTTTGTTTATATAACATATTTTTTTTATTTGTTATAAAATGCGGTTTTCCCGTAAATAAATACATTATTTTTAATAATTTTTTCTATTACATACACAACAGGAACACTTTTCTGTCAAGTTACATTATATCTCTTCTTAAAAATAAATGTCTTATACCATTTTTTTATGCATTATATTAGGAGTGTATGCATAAACATGTGTGTATTATTGGCTGCAAAATTCATTAATTGTAAAACCAATCTTCTTGTACCTTTTTTTACTTTACATTTTTTTTTACAGGTCGCACCTTTCAATATACCATATTATTCTTAAATATAATTTATAACTAGGCAGAGTCCTCAAAGGATTAAAATATCGTTTTTATCAATTACCCTATAAACCAGGTACCATTTTATAATCATACAACATATGATTTTAAAAACAAAACCATTAAACCAATTTTTCACTAATATCCAAAAATAAACATTTTTAGATCGTTATGAAAATCCACACCCTATGTTCTTAAGTCATGTCAGAAAAAAAAAAAAGAATAACAACTCTGAAAAGTTAACCACATATTAGCATAATTCAATAAAACATATTCACATTGTTACATTTAAAAATAAATTATATTTTAAGTTCACCTTTCCACTAATTTTTTCCCATACCTGCTAAGCTACCCATATTAACACATCCCATGTAATCAAAAATAGATTTCCTCTTAATAATTATGTACCTACTATATAGAACCAAAATAAAATTACTAACGGCATCTAGAATGGATTTTTTTTTTATTATTAAGGTCTAAATATACCCTTTACATTAATTATTAACCCTATAAACATCCTATTCTTTAAAATATACACCATCTTGGTGACGTACGGACAGTATCTTTTCCATTTTACTTCGATCACTCGTTATGTGTTGCGATTATTTTGATAATAGAATGGGGAATTCTTCTATACAAAGGAAATTCGAAATATTTGGCCCGTTTTTTAGATTTTAAACCTGACCATGTAATTTTTTTAGTTCCTTTGCCCCTGTTGATGTACAAAATATGAAAGCCCTTTTTCCCTTCAGCATGTCCATGTAAAAATATTTAACCCCTTTATACCTTCCCATCTAAATATATTTGGCCCATTTACTCCTTAAGCCACCCCATGGAAAAAATGTTTGATTCTTTTGGCCCTACCGGTGTAAAAATAGTTGGTCCCTTTATCCCCATCTATGTAAAAATATTAGGTCTCTACCCCCAATGAGGTCCGTACATGTAAAAATATTAGGCCTCTGTACCATTCTTAAGCCTGTAAATTTAAAAATATTCGGTACTTTTACCCCTTAAACCTGTCCATGTAAAAATATTTGGTTCTTCCTAAATTTGAATCAGTACTTGAAAGATATAAAAAAAATAGGTAGAGGTCAATTTATTGAATTTTTTTATGTGTACCTACAAGTAAGAAATGTTTGAAATAGCGAGTAAAGTATTGAAATATTAAATTCAGATACGAGCTCCATTCTGGAGTTCGTTAAAACTCGTGCAAAATTCATAGTTAATTCGCCACTTTTTACGTTATTTGCAGCAAATCCATAATTGTATTTCAACTCAAAATAATTATTTTCATATATCACTAATCAGCTTTGTTCGCGGTAAAAATCCTGAACCGAATTATTACTAATAGTAACGATTTCGCAGGCGCACTAGTTAAAAGGCGTTCGCGGAACAAAAAGAACTGAACTATTGGTTCTATTCTGTGTTCGTGGTAAAATTATTATTGAGTTTGAACCACTTGTCTATACCTGGAACACCGAGACATAATTGGGATTGCGCGCGCGGTAAAAATTCAGAATTGATAATGATTCGGGCATGCGCTCAAAGTATGTATTACTAATTCTGAATCAGTTCAGGATTGTTACCGCGAACAAAGCTATTATTATTATTAATATTACACTTAAGGAACTTTTTAAAAAGTTTTTTTTTTTATATGCGCTACAAATTCTTGTAAACGAATAATTCCATTCGCATTTCCTTTTAAAGGCCCTAATAAGTCATACAACTTAGGAGAAGGCACAATGGGCCTAGTGAGGCATAAGTGCCGCTGGGGCAGCCTTTCCTCCACATGTTACACAGATGAAATGCAAGCATAAATTAAATCACCAAACGAAATTACTATACTGCCCGTACGACACCGATTTTTTTTATTAAAATACCCTATAATACTGAAATTCTTCATTGGAAAATGTGGAAAGGTAATTTTATTTAATTGTATAAATTTTAAACCATGCTAAATAATTTCTAAGGAAAAAATTACATAATATACCTGAAGATGTTTTTTTTCTTGCATTCTTTAAAGGATTAAATTCCTTTAAAACATTTTCCATACTCTTGCCATTATCATTCAGGGATCTCAAATTATATATTTTTAAAATTACTAACTTACCCAAAATTATCTCGTCTGCCTACATCTCTATCGCCACGGTCTCGGCCACCTATTATTAAACAAATAAAATACATATAAATCCTCAATGGAAAGGCAACTAAGTAAAGAATAAATAAAACTTCGTAAAAAAATTATTAAATCATTAAAAAAAGCAAGGCTTTTAAAAATTTAGACTGCTTAAAATCACAAAAAATTAATTTAAAAAAAAATTAAAGTGTTTAAAACCACTAAAAATTCTAAACAATGACTTTGCAGTATTTTAATATCCAAAAATATTTTTTTTTATTTCCTATTATTATAATTTGAAATAATCCATTGAAACTTTCAATCTTTGTGTGTATTGTAGAAATAAAAAGGACTACCAGACTTTAATCCTTCCCTCATATATATATTTTTAAATAATATTTAATGTATAAATAACTATGGGAAAACTCATTTAACATTTTACCTAATGAGAGGGTAATTAGATAGGATTAGCACGTTTACCTGCAGTAAACTCGTTTACAATCTTAAACCCCTGAATTGTATAAACATTAACAATATTTTAATACCAAATTTCAGCTAAATGAAAAATTAATGTTTTCTTAGAAAACTAGACATTTACATTGTAAATACTATACAAAGTATTTTGAAGATCGATTTAAAAAGATTAATTTTGAATTTAAGGGAGAAACTGAAAATTTAATAAATCCCCAATATGCAAAATCGGATAGATAAAAATCGAGACAAGCACAATTGAAAAGTGAACAAAATTTCTACAAATAAATTTTTATTTTACCTATTGCATGACTCGTAAACTAAAAAAAAAAATGTTCAAAGGAAGTTCTACCCTTTAAATTATTAAATAAATTAAAGGACTATCATTCCTCATATAATTTACGACATAGAAGGAGGAAGATAAAAATTATATCTTAACTTCCATGCCTATGTCGAATGAGTTATTACCAAATAGGTCACTCATTTTTGTGAAAAAAGATAAATAAAAAATAGGATATCGATAAATTTTAAACACTAAAAATTATTAATAAATATGTGATACTTTGGTACACTTAATATCTTACCTCCATAACCACCTCCACCACCGCCTCCATATCCTCCTCCTCCACCTCCGCCGTAACTATTGCCATTTCCATAGCCTCCTCCTCCTCCACCACTACCTCCTCCAGAGCCATAACTACTGGTTTGGTAACCTCCTGTAAAAAAAGAATTTAACTATAGAAGGACTCATAAATAAAGATTGCCTTTCCAATTAAAAGCAATTATCAATAAAAAAATAATAAAGATAATTTAAAATATAAATAAGTAGAAGTAAATGAAGATTTAAATGGTCGAAAAATTATTCCTTCTATTAATATAATTTCCAAAGATTTATTGACCAAATAATTTATTTTCACATGGTGATCAATTTATAAAAACTATTCTATCTAGTGTCGTAAAAGTTGCCACCAAATCTGACCACTAGATAAAATGAACCAAAATTGTGTCCAATGTTATGACTTTATTTGTGCATGGTGATAATTTTATAAAAATGTATTTCCTCCAGTGGCGTAAAAAAAATAGGGAGAGAAGTTACCTCCAACCACCGATAAGGCACTACTGGATACGATTTCAAAAAATATTTGTAAACATGTTACTTTCTATTCATAGTGTTTGATTTGGGTCAATCCCTACACTACATAATTGACTTGTGTGAAGTTAGCGCCCGGCGCTTACCCCTCTCCACCGAGAGGTTCACACTGCTTACATTCATCAATACTTTGAGTAGTTACAATTTTTCATTTAGGTACTTATTAATGAATAAAATTTATAATAATATGTAATGAGATGATATAAATTGAACAAAAATATATCAATATAATTTTACATAACCACAGCGTTTTTGTATTAGATATATTCTGGCTGTGCGAATTTTTAAGACCTATGAAGACTATACGTAATATTATAGACGAGAGAATTATTTTTGTATGAGAAAATGCTAATTGAGGACTACTTTTTCTAAAAATAGCGGTTTCCTAAAACTCCGGCGTCATAGATTAAAAAGCACCCCTAAATATTATTATTTACGAGGAAACGGCGCTTTGTGCCACATTCTGACTAAGTGGGATTTAATCAGATACTTCACGACTCACTCCCTAAAAATTTCAGTTTTCTAAAACCCCCGGCGTCATAGGTTAAAACGCACCCCTAAATATATATTATTTTTTACAAGAAAATTATGCGTTGTGCCATATTCTGATTATTTGAGATTTAATATGTTGCTTGAGGAATACTTTCTCTAAAAATAAAAGTTTTTTTAAAACCCCGGCTTATGGATTAAAAAGCACGCGTAAAAAAATAATCTTTTAGGGGTGCTTTTTAATCTATGACGCCGGGGTTTTAGAAAACCACCATTTTTAGAAAAATTAGTCCCCAAGTAGCAGATTAAATCCCAAATAACCAGATTATGACAAAACGCATAATTTTCTCGTAAAAAAATAATATATATTTAGGGGTGCTTTTTAACCTATGATGCCGGGGTTTAGAACACTGAAATTTTCAGGGAATGTAGTTGTGAAGTACCTGATTAAATCCCATTTATTCAGAATGTGGCACAAAGCGCCGTTTCCTTGTAAAAAAAAATAATCTTTTAGGGGTGCTGTTTAATCTATAGCGCCGGGGTTTAAGAAAACCGCCATTTTTAAAAAAAATTAGTCCCCAAGTAGCAGATTAAATCCCAAATAACCAGAATATGGCCTAAAGTCTAATTTTCTCGTAAAAAAATAATACATATTTAGGGGTGCGTTTTAACCTATGACGCCGGGGTTCTAGAAATTCGCCATTTTTAGAAAAAGTAGTACTCAAGTAGCAGATTAAATCCCACAACCAGAATGTGGTACAACGCATCATTTTCTCATAAAAAAAAATAATAATTCTCTCGTCTATAATATTACCTATACTCCTCATAGTAGTCAAGTTCAAAAGCGTGTTTTTGGGACATTATATTACGAAAATTATGTTCAATAGCTCATTCGATTAGAAATAATGTCTAGATCAATGTGTGAAGAAAAATTTTGCAATGCATAAAAAATTGCAAAAGTTATAAACAAATTACCAAAACACCTCAAAAACATGGTGTTTGGTTTTTCACCTATAGTTTGTAAACTATAAATATTTTTGGATTTTTCAAAAAAGATCCTTAAAGAGGAGGAAATTTGCTATAAATAAGTTTCGACTCCCGGAACTGTACCTCCATTATTTATAATTTTAATTTAACGCTCAAAGTAGCCTTCCGCCCGCCATTTTTAGGTTGCGCGCACGGCGTCGAAACAGAGTACGTTACATAAAATAATTTTTTTAAGTTAATAAAATTAAATTCAAAAATTTTAAAAAATTACGGCGGAATTTTTCATAAAAATTAATTTTCCAACAAAGTAGGTTATTGTTAACAACATTTTTAGAATTTCTCTCTCATTACAAATTGATAAAAATATTAAATAATTACCGTAAATTTTTTTTGCTTCATGGAGCTCTTTTTATATACATATAAAACAAAATAGCTTCATAAAAGTTTAAAAAATGTTGATACTTTGTTTATAATTTTTTAAAGTTTACAAAAACAGAAATTTGTTTATAGATTTTTTATAAATAATTATAATTTTTTTACTAAATCTTTGAAAATGTTTTTACTTATTAAAGGACTATCATTCCTTGTATAATTTACGACATAGGAGGAAGTTAAATAATATATATTAACTTCCATGCCTATGACAAAAGGATTGTTTTAATCTTTTTAAAATGAATAAAAAATACAATAGTCCCGTCATTCAAATTAAAAGTACCATAATGAAAATAAAATTAAAGTAGTGTTTTTTATGAAGGAAAATTCAAAAACCCCCATTTTTTTACATAAGACCCCTTGTCAATAGAAACAAAATTATAGTGTTCCTTAATGAATGTGAATATCTAGGGCGTGAATCCACATGAAAAATTAACGATAGTTTGCTATATAAACTATGGTCCTAAAATACAGTGCTAAGAAAATTAATTAATATTTCAGTAATATTTGGTATTCAATATTTTTGAAGAAATAGATGCTACGCCAATGGTTTTTTTTCAAAAATTATCCTCAGGACGAGTCATTATCCTGCGATGTGCCGTTTTTGATAATAAATAAAAACCTCTGCATCGTCAGAGAAAATTAATTATAGAACATCCAGTATAATAGGCATTTATGATTTATCAAAGATGGAATGTGGAAAGATCTCAAAGTTATTTTATATTACTTTTAAGCATTTTAGCCAACGGCGTGCATAAAAAGTTGCTACGCCAATGTTTTTTCTCAAATAAAAATTATTTTTTAAATTCATCGCTAAATTTGCATCATAAAAGCTCTCTTGAGTAATTTCCCTGGGATGTGCCAAAAAAAATAAAAACTGATACATCGTCAGAAAATTAATGTAATTAAAAAACACCCTGTATACTCATTTATGATTATTGCATATAAGATGAAATGTGGAAAGATCTAGAAAAGTTATTTTATGTTACTGTTGGCCTTTTAAGCATTTTAGTTTTGGTGCAGTGGTTAAAGTTTTCAGCTAGGATAAAATGGAATGCGGTATGACGCGTGAAAACAGAGCCGGACATTTTAGAAATGATGCCGGGAGTTTTGTTCTCCCGCCGATTCAGTGTATTTCACTTAAATACGTTAATTTTATTTAAAAAAAATTAAGGAAATAAATACCTTGGTTTCCACCGTATCCGCCACTTTGATTTCCTCTACTTTGGCCTCCCCAAGAGCCGCCGCCTCCACCACCGGCCCCTCCTTGTGAGCCACCACTACTAGCTTGATAACCACTCGATCCTCCGAATCCAGGGTAAGCTGTAGAGGGTGGAGGTTGAGAATAATCACCGTAACCACCACCGCCGCCGCCGTAGCCTAATAAATACTTTAATAAAAACCTTTCCACAAAAAATCAATAAGCATTTTGAGCTTGGGCTTGATTTAACAAAAATATTATTTTAGCAATGAAACTACTGAACTTCTGATTGGTATTATTATGAAATTAATGACTTTTAATAATAGATGCGAAAGATTAATTTAACTTACTATCTCCCATGTTGAATAAACGGAGAACAAATTAAAATCACAAGTAAAATGGCGACTGATGCACACCAAATACGTTACAAAACAGACAGATGTGACGCCGACTCGCCGACAGCCAACTAGAAAAGAAAAGATAAAAGCTGCGCATGGCTGCGCGTAGAAAAATAGGAAAGGAAACCGGAAATTGAAAACTGCGCATGCTCAAAATCCAAATCGCAAGATAAACGGATAAAATAAGATAGAAAACGATCTGGTTTATTTGAAGTCAAGATCTACCCTTTCTTCCATAGAAAAATAGGACTTTATTTCTCCTGTTTTTTTTTCTATGTAATTCGTCCATTTAAATCTTAGATATTTAAATTGCAGTTAAAAAATTTGGAAAAATGTAGTCAAAAGGCTGTCAATAAGTACTTGGGAATTATCAGTTTTGTTTGTAAATTTCTTGTGATTTTATATTCGTAGAATAAATTGTTTAAGTTTTTAGAGTCTATTTAACAAATTTAATGAGTTGTAAGTGTAAAAATTACTATTTAGTGTTTTATTTGTCCTAAAACATACATTTGGAAAAGTTCCACGTTTTTTCAAAGATAAGTTAACAGAAAACATAGGCGGTACACCATTTGTTACTTTCATACCTATTTATGAAAATACTAGTTTTAGGTACATCATGTCATGTAAGCGCAACCCTAAATGTGAATGCTCTTTTTTGTCATGGGATTTTTTACTGAAATGAATTCTTGTAAGTCTGGCTTTGGCCAGTGGTGTTACAAAGAGAAGGGATAACACCACAGATAACACTGAGAACAAAAATAATATTGCCGTTTTTCAAAATTATGCAACTCTAGCCATTTTTTGACGAGTAATCTTCTTTCACTAGTAAGTAGCCTTTACTGTAGTAACGGATCGATGATGGAATAAAACTGTCAAAAGACTCAAAAGTAAAAGTCATTTTGTGTTGTTTACATGTTACATGTCATCATGTCAATATAAATTGCAAATATTTGTGTATAAATTGTTAAAGTGTGTTATTACATTAGACAAAATGACTGCTTCAGAGCAAATGGGCCTAAACAAAACATGGGAACTGTCTTTATACGAGTTACATCGTACCCCCCAAGAAGCCATTACCGATAGTACAGAAATTGCAGTAAGTCCTAGGAGTCTACATAGCGAATTGATGTGCCCCATTTGCTTAGATATGTTGAAGAAAACTATGACTACTAAAGAATGTCTACACCGATTCTGTTCAGATTGTATTATCACCGCTTTGAGATCCGGTAATAAAGAATGCCCAACTTGCCGAAAAAAATTGGTATCGAAAAGATCCCTTAGACCTGATCCAAATTTTGATCTACTAATATCGAAGATATATCCTAGCAGAGACGAATATGAAGCACACCAAGAGAGAGTTTTAGCTAAACTGAATAAGAGTCATTCTCGTGAAGCTCTTATGAATTCTATAAAAGAAGGTATTAAAATACAATCCCAGAATAGGCCAAACAGAGGAAGGAAGACTAATGAAAATATTCCGCCTGATAATGGAGAAGATAATACTACTAATATTCAAAATAACACTGAGGTAAGTGAAAATCTGATGAAAAATTATGTGAATTTTTTAATCAATTTTGTATGCATATAAAAAAAACAAAAGTACCTATTATTTTCTTTCAAGTCCATTATTTTGTCTCACAGTGATTTTGGAGTGATGTTGTGGTGTGGTGACTATGGATAATAATCTGGTTCAGCAGTTCTGTATGTGATTTCTTTGCAACTTTAATAGGTGTAATTTTAATGTTTTCTTATAATAACTGATTGAATGGGTTATGCTGTGGATTGTTGGGTACCGGAGCTTTGTTATTGTTCTCAGACATGACACATGACCTTTGCTTTTCAGTAACTTCCATATTGTAGAGTATCTCTGGAGCTTCTTTGAAGTAGAATGCAGCTATATTCGATAAGTGGTCTGCATATCATTTGACATATATTTTTTTATACTTGTATGTTGATTGCCTGTTTTTTTTTTAAGTTGAACTTCTAAAGTTCTTGGCTCATGTGACAGCTTTCTTTTTAATTTGTTGGATATGACTTTCATAAAAAGTTGAGCATTTTAGAGTAAGAGTACAAAATCACTTATACACAAGTTAGCTTAAATCAACTTTTTTAGGACCCCAGACTCTGTGGTTAAATTTACTGTACATCTTTTTGTTTCACCCTACATACAACATAATTTTTTTTTCAGAATTCTCAAGGGGTACAAAGTATCCCAGCTGCTGCTGCTGCTACTGCTGCTGCTACAGCTGCGGCTACAGCTGCTGCTGTTGCTGCAATTCAAGCACCAACAATCCCTATTATTACAAATAATACTTCAACACCAGGAAACATACCAAGTCCTTCACCATCAGGCAGAAGTACTCCCTCACAGCCACCTAGTCCAGTATCTTCAAGTGTGAGCTCCATCAGCAAATCATTAGGCAAAAGACCCAAAAGGTAATAATTATCAACTATCAAGTCTTAAAAAAACATTTTTCATATATGATACTTCACTATAATTTGTGTGTGGAAAGAATTATTTTTATAAACATGTCCAGTTCAGTAAAATATATTGAATAGTGTTTGCAGTCGACGCTGTATTAATTCTAGAATAAAATATATTTATTGGGTGCTCCCTCTTCCAAAAGGCTATAGACTGAAGTATTTTGGACCATATTTACAGTTATTATATTATGTGCATAAAAATGTTATTATCTGCACCCTTATACAGGGTGTTTCAAAACGTTTTATACAAATGGGAAAATGATTATTCTTATGCATGTTTTGGGACACCCTGTAAGATGGACTGCAACATGCTCTTTGAGCATGTCGTTAATAACAATGTCTAAATACACATTATTAAAAATGTGCTCAAAAAGCATGTCAAAATCCATAGTACAGGGTGTCTCAAAATGTGTGTAAAATTTAACTTCCATTTGTATAAAACGTTTTTCCAATGCTTTACAATGGATTGCAACGTGTATCCAAGATTGTTACTAATGACATATTCAAATATTAGGTATCTGGTTATTTTTGAGCACATATTAAGTATTTTTTGGGGCCGAAGCTAATTATTGTATGCATTTTGTTCATGCCAATTTTTACCTACACCCAGCCATAATGTATTTCAAGTTTTTGTTGACATTGATGCCACATGTAATTTTTTTCTGGAAAGTGCTGTAACAATGTGTCTGTGGTGGACACCTGGTACTTTCTCTGTTAAAATACAAACTGAATCCATGTTTTTTAGTGTTTTAACATCAGAGAGGAGCGAAGAAAGCGAATCAAGCGAAAGAACAGAACAAACAGATACTGAGGGTGAAGGTCCATCTGAACCTTTGACTCTGAATGAGATCGAATTGGTCTTTAAACCTCATCCGACAGAAATGTCTGGCGACAATCCACTCGTGAAGGCTCTGAAAGAAAATTCTATTAGGTATTTCAAAAACTGATTATAAGTTTGAAATTTATTTGTAACAATATTTTTGTTTCAGATATATCAAAACAACAGCCAATGCTACTGTCGATCATCTGCATAAGTACCTGGCCATGCGATTGACTCTAGATTTGGATTCTCAATTGTCCACCACTCACAATTTGCTTAATTTTTGCATCTACATATCTCCAGCGACTGGACAATACGTTCAATTAAATGGAAACCAAACCCTGGGACAAGTAAATATACCCTAAAATATGAATTTAAAATAGTAATATTGTATGTTTAAGGTGAACGACAAATATTGGAAGGTGAATAAACCATTAGAGATGTTCTATTCTTGGAAGAAAACATAGGGAATGCGTAAAGGGCCCAAAAAGGCTCTCTAAAAGCTTGAGCGGAGGTTTTCAAGAATCGCGGAATGTTCAGTGGAAAGTAAATTTAGTGTTATAAAATAAATGTATTATAACATAGTTTTTTAAAAAGTAGTACTATATAACTACATTATGTGTATCGAAATATAAAAAAAAACAGTATCTGATAAAATTTTAAATTAAGGTTTCTTTATGATAGCGATAGTAATATATGTATTAAAATAAAAAAATATTTAAAAAAGATGTTTGATGAATATTTTGAATTCAGGTTTCCTTTCTGGTGAGAAGATATTTAACAAAAACCCTGATTTTTCTGTTAAAATTCCCCAAATTCGATCTAAAATCCTATTCTCTGGTCCTACAACAATTCATCCGCGATTTATATAATACCATTTTGTAGAAACTAGTGATAAATTCAACGCCCTAAACTGCACAACCTATCTCAAACGATTGCCGAGATATTTAACAAAAACTGATTTTTTTTGTCAAAATTCCTCCAAATTCGATCTATAATTGTATGCTCTGTCCGTACGAACAATTCATCCGTGATTTATATAATACCAGTTTGTGGGGCTTTTAGAGAGGAATGTAACGCCGTAAAGTACTTTTTTGTTCTGTAGACTGTGCTTAGATAAGCTAATATCCATGTGGATGTAGAAAAAAATTTCTTTGATACTGGCAACAACACGGCCACTAGACTGCACGATAGGTAATTCTTAATTCTAACAGGATTATTTTCAAATTCGACTGATTTCTCTCAAGATTTCATGAGAAATAGAAAATATTTGCTTATAAGTTTGTCATTTAAATAAATTGGAATTGGTTCAATTGATTTAAATTATGAACGTCAACATAAAAAAGTGTTTGTTTATAAAGCCAGTGAGAATGTTTATTCTTACTGGCTTTAAAAATACTGTTTCCACATGATGAAAATCAAGTTTGAAAAGAGCCCCCAGAAATGGATCTTTTCATCATGAAATCGGCCCTTCTTATCTCATAAATAACATTTTTGAAAGATGTCCTGTCATTTATTAAGTTATTTGCAACAGAACTTTCTCATGAAGAAATAATGAAAACAATATGGCTTACATATGGTTTATTGCATTTTTTTTTAATAACACAGCTATGCTCTATAATAAAAATAAATAAATAAACTTCGACAAAACTAAATACAGACTAGACAGCATTGATGCAACGCATCAAATTAGTAACAATCAGCAATCCATTACATGGTATTTTTTTTTTAATATAAATTCATGTCTGTACAACGTATACTTAATTACACAAAGTTATTTATTATCCATTCGATATTATGTTTCCAATAATTATTATAAACGATGATGGAGACAAACGGAGAGTTTGGCACGCCACTGAATTATTTGAAACGTACTTATACTTTTGAACAGCTATACAGAGTATTCTAAATAAGAGGTAAATATTTTCAAAAATTCCCTTTGAAGAGAACCCTGAAGATGGTTTTCTGACGGTGTTTTCGAAACCGGTAGCGATAATAACGTCAAATTTTGGATTTCTCTAAAAATGGATGGTCTGAATGTGCCAACTAGTTCTTATCTGTTCATTGAAGCGATATTCCTGCAAAATCTTAAGGTTGAATTTAATATGTTGAATATAATAGTATGGTCTCCAAAATAAAATGTAGATGATAAAACATTTTTAAGACCTTTTTACACCAATCTCCCCTAGTTGTGGCAACCCAGTTAGATGAATAACATTTTTGAACTGGTTCTCACGTTCAGAACATGAATTTTAAGATAAATTCAAAATTTGAAGTATTTATCGATACCGGTTTTGAAAATATCGTCAGAAAACCATCTTCAGGGGGTTCTCTTCAATATGTTTGATATATGTTTATTCTGCCTTATTTCACCTTTATAATAAGCTGTTAAAATATTTACCCCTAATTTTCAAACACTCATTTACTTATTTCAGCAACACATATCATTAATGTGAAATAAACAATTCAGTTACGAATCAAATTTACTATTTGTTTCTAAATAATGCATAAAATGAGTATGAATACTAATATTAATAAAAAATTGTAAGAAAAAGTTATCACAAAACTCGGATTATTCGATTTGAATACTTGAGAATCGTTTTCAAATTACACAAATTGAAAAACAAATTAAAATATATATATTTTCGAGGTTGACAATTTTTTGTTCTCGTTTGATTTCTAAAAATGATTTTTTTTTTCCTTATACGGGGTTTTATATAAAGAATGGTAAATACTTAAACCATTGTTGGAGAAAACCTCAAAATATTTATATTTAGTAAAATATTGAGAAAACCTCAAAATATTAATATTCTACTAAACAATTCTGGGTATAAAGTTATCTACCACTCACTGAGAAACAGGGTGATGAGATACAATTTATTTTTTATGTTGTTAAATACCTAATAAAAACGTTCAAGATGTTTCTATTCTAAAATAGATCACGTAAAACCATGTATGTCTTCTTTTTCTTTAAAATGACAGTTTGTACTCATCGCAGGCCATGACCTACTTTAGAAGCATTTTTGTGGATCAGTCGTCATTTTCAAAATGCTTTGTAAATTTAGAAAAAAAAGAAGCTGAGAGAAATTTTTGTTTTTTTATAATTATACAGGAATTGAAAATATTTTTAAAGTTAAAATATATTTTTCGTTTCTAATGCAATGGTTTTTTTAATATTTAATTTGTAGAATTAAATTCTTGGGCTAGTAAATCATGAGCGTATTATCAATTTTGATATTAGACAAAGAGGACGTCATGTACACTCAAAAAAATTTCTTTAAGTTATTTAAACATTCCAGACAAAAATATATAAGTCACATCTGTGATAATTACAAAGGACTTTGCATTCAATTCAAACTGTTATTTAAAAAAGAAAACACATCGTGACTTTTTACATGAAACGTTTCAATAAGGTTCTCAACGACAAATGTAATCTGAATGAAATAAAATTTGTCAACCCCAATGTGTTAATACTTTACAGACATTGCACAATTGATTTTATTCATTCGTTTAATTTTGATGAGAAATTTTTTAATCCTTTTAATAACTGGTATAAAACATATAAATTATTCTAAATAATGAAATTAAAAAAAAATGGAGATTCTTTTACAAGTCGTAAATATTTAAATTGAAAAACAAACGAAATGAACATAAAGTCACAGAGCTGCTTATACAGAGCGATTTGATAAAGTAAATGACCAGCATGTCGCCATCCTTCTAATGAATCACCCTGTATAATTAAACAATGGCGACCATAAGATATTGTCACTGATATACATTTTTGGTATAGACATTTAAGAAAAATAATAGAAAATACATTACAGAGAAAACGTTTTAAATGCATTTTAAAAGGGGAATGAAGAAAACTTATACCTACCACACTGAATGTGTTAAATGTTTGTGAACTTACTTAAATTTACACATTCTATAATAATGTCTGAAAGAATCAATAAATATTTCATCTAATAAACGAGTCAGTTCAGTTCCTGATTTGCCTAAACAACAATTGATTAAAAGTGAGTAAATAAAGTTATAAGTTGAAGAAGAATTTAGTTTTGTTTCTGAATTAAAGGAAATCAAGGTCCCCTACTTAACTTATCATATACATACCTAAGCTCGATGCAATAACTACATTTGCAGACGATGCTGCAATTCTATCTATAGGAAAATATCACGAAAAAGCAGTCAGAACAATTCAAACAAGTACGTTGGAAATACATCCAATATATTATATTAATTCAAAAAGCAAACCCTGCATAATAAATCAACAGTTGTAACGTTAACACTGGCATTGCGCTTGAATCACACCAACAAGAAATAATTTAAATAAGACCGTCATAATCTTTAACCAATCAAAAAACAACACGCAAAGACGTCTTTCGTACTCAAGAATTTCGAGAAACTGTTAGATAGATAATTAAGTTAAATTACCCATTGATCGTTTCTAATGATCAGATTGTAATGAGTAAAATGCTCATCAAAAGGTATTACATTTAATTATTACAGAAAAAAATTAGTTTTGTTATGATGTAAATTATAATTTTAAAGAATAGGCAACTTCGGCACGGATAGAAATGATTTTAAAATAACAATACACGAAACCTGGTTGGTTAAGCAACTCTGGTACTGAACCACTCGAAGGAAGCTTGATGATGGGTCTAGCAATAAAACTAGTAGCCAAACTCAAGCTTCTCCTTTCCTAATTGCAAATTGGTTTTGATTACTTTTCTTCTTTAATAAAAAAAAACACTTCAATTAAACGAAATCCTAAAACGACGTCACTGCTTGTTCTATATGATACTCGTTAAATGACGAATAAAAAAAGTATGATTGGCGATTTTAGACGAAATAGTCATCGCCGATATCCAAATCTCAAGATAACTGTAACTGCACCTTCTTACAATTACACAGCCATTTGATGATTCGTGCGTTTCTTTCGACGATCGAAGGCGGATCACCGGATCTGTAAGCAGACGGACAATATTCGACGTTCTCGATCGGCCTACTCGAATCTACTGATGACACTTCCGAGAAGAATATCGGACTATCTGTTGAATCACTGTAAAATACGTGTTTTATTTTATTATTTTGCAGAAAAAAATACATGTGGCAACAATATCAACAAAAATATTATGTTAAGTTTTGTTTTTTCCTGGAAAATCACCTTTATATTTCGTCTTGTTTCCTTGCAAATAAAATTTTAAAAAATCCTATACAATACCTTCGGGTCAGCATTTCTTCATATCTATCCCCGGAAAGGCCTAAACGTTCAAAGAAATCTTGAAGATGAGGCGGTTCGGCGGGTCTTCTGTATCGATCGCTAATATCCGATTTGGACCTCAGAATAGGTCTATCCCGTTTGTATCGTAAACATTTCTGACGTTTAAAATTGGCAGGTGGTTGAGGTAGGCCAGGAGAAAGTTGCGGCGGTGGTGGATAAACATGACGCGAGGCACGACATTCGGGTTCTTGGCAACAATAATAAGAACTTCCTCCGCTGTGTTGCGTACTTGAACCGGAATCACGGCGGACCTCCTGTATTTTAATAATATGTATTAGAATTTTCTAGTTGAAAAGAAATTATAATGAATCTGAATGAAACTTATTGAATTTAAATGAATCTAATTGTATCTAAATGAATCTAAATTAATCTTGATTAATTTAAATGAATTTTTTATTTATTTGGTGTCATCGGCATCAACTACTAATATTATTAGTCTCGTGTTCCGTGTAGGTTTTGTTAGTTTTCCAACGCCACTTTAGGAACAGCACTGTTAATTAGAACCCAATAATGAATGGTCGAGTGGGGATTGCTACCTATGCATTAATCAATTTAAATGAATCTAAATAAATTTAAATTAATTTTAATGTTATGATTACTATTTAACTTCTTTTGAATAATTTTATCACCCTGTATTTAGTTTACTTCGTTTCTAGGATTTTATTCAGAAAATGTGTTGATATTACTATTCTAACAGAGAGATCCAGAAAACTGTCAAATAATACAAATTCATAAGGGATTATTCAGTACAGCAAGGAACAGTAAGTACCAGGGAATTTATTAGATACTTATTTTAATTTAGGTTATTTTGGAAATTTGAGTATTTTGTATATTTACATGTTAATAAAAATCATTTACTGCAAATCAGACTATTGCTGGTAGCTAAATATAAACTCCTAACACTTAAAATCATAATCTTAACTATTAATAAACATTAATACATATTAATAAATATTAAAAGATGTTAATAAATCTTGAAAGATAAGATGTCTTCTATTGAGGAGAAAATAAAATAGAGGTAATAGAGAAAACGAAAAGGGAAATTGTGGAAGTTACAAAAAAGACCAAGTACGACAAAATAACTTGATGTAAGGTGGAAACAATACCGAAATATAATCTTTAAAAACAACATTTTTAAATAAATATTTCAACTTTAATGTTGTCAGTTTTTGGTTAATAAATCGTTCTGTTCAGATAAATAAATGAGTGTAGCAGTAAGAGATATAAATTAATGTTGTATTTATTATAAATAAATTGAAAAGCATCGCAACCTGTCGAGGAGAAGGTGGAGGTTCACTCCTCTGCGTATAATGACCACTTGAACCGCCGCTATCGCGATTAGAAAGGCTCTTGTTGCTGCTTTTGTTAGAACTGGGTTCACGGCAGTGTAGATCGGGCAGACTTTTGTGACAACGCTGTGCGTATTCGGCGGGAGGACTCAACGGGGCCATTTGATCGACTCGTAATTCTTCGGCGCTGTCGCACACCAATAATTGACGTAGTCGGTTTTGAAGTAGATCAGTGTTTGTTGTGGAATAAACGGAACGGCGATGCGTTAACGGCGGAAGAGATCTTGAAGGAGAAACAGCCATATCTAAAAAAAAAATGGTTTGTTTCTCTTTTTCGTCCAATTATTATGTTATAAATTTACGAAGGCATAGAAAGGATGAAATTTTAAGACTAAAGTCTCAAAATTAAAAGTTTAAAGTCGAAATTTTAAGTTTGGAGTCGAAATTTCGAGTCTAATTGAGAGGATAATTGAACCTTTTATAATATATTTTTTATAATTTCGAGATTATTGTCGAAATTTCAAGTTAAAAGTCGATATTCCAGATTTACCGTCAAATTGTTTAAGTCGAAATTTCAAGTTTAAAGTAGAAAATTCGAAATACAAGTGTAAATTCCATGTTTAAAGTAGAAATTTCGTCTTTAAAGTCTCAAAATTAAGAGTTTAACGTCGAAATTTCGAGTCTACATTCGAAATTTTTAGTTTAAAGTGGAAATTTCTAGTTTAAAATCGAAATTCCAGTTTAAAGTAGAAAATTCGAAATTATAAAGTCAAAACAACCAGTTTAAAGTCGAACTTTCGACTTCAATGTATCAAAATTAAAGAATTTAAAATCTATATTTCAAGTTAAAAGGTGAAATTTCAAAATTAGAGTCAAAATTCCGAGTTTATTATCGAAATTTTGACTTCAAAGTCACAAATTACTAATTTAAACTTGAAAATTTGAGTTTAGAGTCAAAATTAAGATTAAACTTGCAATGTTGAGACTTGAGATGCTAAAGTTGTATTGTCTGCATAAACTATAGTATAATCTGCAAACACATGTTAGGGAATGTTATTCATCACTCATAACAAAAATATTAGTGGTTCCTAATTTAAACTTGAAAATTTGAGTTTAGAGTCAAAATTAAGATTAAACTTGCAATTTTGAGACTTGAGATGCTAAAGTTGTATTGTGTGCATAAACTATAGTATAATCTGCAAACACATGTTAGGGAATGTTATTCATCACTTATAACAAAAATATTAGTGGTCCCAAAGCTGAGCCTATGTGATACTCCTCAGGTTTTAGGCATATCTGACATGCATCTAAATAAGAACTAAGCCATTTTAAAATTATGTCTATTTTTTAAACATTTCTCAAATATTTTAGCAAAATTTGTGATTTGACTATAATGGTCTATGATTTGAAATATTTTTCTTAGTTACCTGCTTGAAAATAGGTGTTACTATTGTTTATTTAAAAACACTGGGTATTTTGTCAGTCCCAAAGATTAATTTTAAGAGGTTTCACAATGTAGGAATGATAGATCTTTATTAATTTCGAACTTATTCCATCAATCCTAGGAGTGCAGCTGTTTATATATGTTAAATATGTTCAATTAATAATAAGTAATATGCATTATTAATATTATGTGAAAATCAAGGACAGAATTTGTTTTTATTCCGCACAGAAATGATGCAAGACTATTATTTAAAAAAATGCCAAAACTTACAGTTTGGTAGAGTTGTTGGTCTGTAATTGGACCCATGGCCAGCCACGTTCACAGACTTAATGCGATTGTAAGTACCATAAGCAGCAGCAGTGGAATTAGGTCTCACTGGAAGTGCCTGTGTAGTGTCTCTAACCGTTTCTGATTTGACATAAAAAGGTTTGCTTTCGGCTAAGAGTTCCACTGCCGATTTTCTCTTGGTTCGCATACTTTGAGATTTAGTGAGACTAGGATACATCATTGTTGCCATAATTAAATTTCAATTACGTACTATCTATAATATCTGAAATAATGGATTTGTGTTGCAATTATTTACATATCTAATTTTCAACTATGTACTTACTAAACACCATTTTTTTCCACCTACGGTTATATTAGTGGTTGGGGATCAGATTATCATTATTTATAAGCTAGCTGAGCTTTTATTTATTATAATTTTTCTAAGATTTTTCTATAAAAACCATTGTATTATTTAGCGAAAGCTTATTTTTTTGGAAAATTGCTTTTCTGTTAGGCAACAAAAATATTCTGTTGACACACACACCAACACCACAAAACGCTGTCACTGTCAAATACAGCTGTTTCGTGGATATCTATTCTTCTCTTCTATAATTTATTGATATCGTATCTTTCAGTTTTCTGTCAGTATTATGATTATTAGGCTCATAAACAAACTATTAAAAAACTGATCATTGTTAATTGAATAAACACCCCCTTACGAGTGAATTTTAACCCCAAAATCTGAACTTGTCCAGGGAAGGGACGGTATATTATTATTATTTGCCGTGGCACTCCAGGGCAATTTAATTAAAAGATGATTGATGGCGCCATAGGATTCGAAGCCGGTGTCTCAACCACAAAATTTCTTGCAAATTAATGCAAGCGCGTAAGACAAGACGCCTACGCTACCGATCTGTTAACATATAGAAGAAAAATTTTGATACCTAATAGTTAGGCAACATACAAGTCACCATAGTAATCGGATTTTCGGGAAATTTCTTGATTTTATAAAATCAGCGCTATAAGTATATTTTTGGATGTATAGGCGCCTACTACGGTCATGGTCCCCTTGGAGAAACATAAACGTGAAAATAAACATTTAAAAATAAATCTATATAGGTATTTCCCATAAGTTGCTTATGTATATTTTTACTATAACTGGAAAAAATGAACTTAGAAATGTGTTTCTAGTAGATGTTCCAATATAAATTTCAGTTTGGGCTTTAATTATATTAATGATCGTCATATTCATTCAAGTAATTATTTTCAAATAGAAAAATACTAAAGGTGTTTGTTAAAATATACAGGGTGTTAGTTATATTCGACCGACAATAACGCTCTACCGCAAAAAGAGCTCTCGTTAAATGATGAATTTGATATAGGAACATATGAACCTCAAAAACGCCTTTAAAGGTTTGTGTAACGCTCTTTAAGAAAGTAATGTATTATGACATAAACTAAACTTTTAAAAAATTTAAACAATGCCGCGCTATCAGTGTTAGTGGCAACTTTTATCCCCCTTTTATCCCACTGGAATAAATATTTATAACTATAAAAAGTAATAATCTTTTATGGAACTAAAATGAACGGTGTTGTGTAGAAATTTATTTCTAAACAAAAGTCTGCAAGTACTTATGTAAACTAATCATATTTCTAAATTCTAATTTAGTAGCCATAAGTCTCGAATACATAGCATATTAAATTTAATATTATGAAAAGTAATAAAGGTGTAAAATAAGATATTGATCTAGGTAGGTAATTGTTTGTATCCAGTCTTGTTACCACAGTTACGCTACGCGTTAATACTCGTGTAGATATTGAAGATGATCCTGTACGTAAAATGAAATAAAATTCGTATATTTCTCTTAAAAATGGGACTGTTTCAAAAATTTGCCAATTTCTTAGGTGTAAGAAAAAAGGAAGTTAATGTATTAGTAGTAGGGCTAAATAATAGTGGAAAAACTACTGTTGTGAATAAATTTAAAAATGAAGAGGAACGAGTTAATGAAATTGTGCCCACTGTGGGTTTTTCTGTGGAAAAGTTTCAGAGTAAGTTTAAAATTTATATTATTTTTACATTTTAGAGAATATTTCTGTTTAAAATTGTACAAAAAACCAAACATATATATGAAATCATTCTGTATTTTACAGAAAAAAGGTATTCATAATAAAAATTTCAATATATTTTATTGCAAAAATAAAAAATCCTTATATAATATCAAAAATAAAGCAATAAAGATGTCTAATATAATAAAAGCAACTTATTTATAAATAAATGCAAATTCTAAGTAAAATATGAATCTCATGGGTTTTCATAATGTGTATGTGTGCATTTTAAAAAGTATATACTGAGAACTACTTGCTTTTAAGAACATTCTTAGAAGATAATGAAAGTTATATAACGAGCATGTACATCATATTCTTAAAGGGTTCTTTTGAAAATTTAAGAGATTATTTTAATTTCATCACTTCTCCTTAAGAGACAGTAATATTCCCGAGGCATTATACAGTGTTTTTTATTTTCAGACAAAAACCTCTCCTTTACAGCATTCGATATGTCAGGACACGGGCGTTACAGGGACCTTTGGGAACACTACTATAAAGATTGTCACGGTATTATTTTCGTCATAGATAGCAGCGATCGTTTGCGATTAGTCGTCGTAAAAGAAGAATTGGATTTACTATTGCAACATCCTGATATATGCAGTAAAAAAATACCCATTTTATTTTTTGGAAATAAAATGGACAACAAAGAGGCTTTGAGCAGTGTAAAAATAGCTGCGGGATTAGGACTTGACAAGATTTTAGATAAACCTTGGCATATATCTTCTAGTAATGCTTTAACTGGAGAGGGCTTACAAGATGGAGTTGAATGGCTCACACAGCAGATTAGAGAGATGATTATAGCCAAAACATGATTTTTTTTTGTAATAGTAACTAAATTGATTTTGGGAACATTCAAAGCATCTGGGAGAGACTTTATAGGGGGTCATTTTTCTAATTTAAAGAATATTTCTGTTATACAAGAAAATTCTCTTAATAAAAATTGTTTGTAGTGCCATTCTCTGTAACTTTTTGCCCTATACATGATGTCTCTAAAATGGACCTTAATAAAAAAAAAATATTAAAATAAAATGTACTGGTACAAGAAATTATAACTTTTTATTGAGTATAATTAAAAAATGAATACAATATTTTATTTTGAACTTTCATTTGCTTAAAACTAAATGAAAATATATGATAAAATTTAAACAGAGCTCAAATTTTAACCAATGAAATTCATTACAACTAAGTGAAGTACAATATGTGCAAAAATAAAATCTGCAAATCCTCTCTCTGGACTGATACCATTGAATTGTGTTTTATTTTCTGGATTGACCTGAAGCCTTAGACAAACTAAAAATAAAACAATATATACATTAATACTACATGCCTACTGGGTCAATAGAACTATGGATTCTATTATTATATAAATAACCACCTCTTGACGTGTGATCCCATAGTTCTGATTTACCCTGTATATTCCATAGATTTCCAGTAATGACTGATTAATTGGACATACATAAGAAAAAGTAATTTTAAAAACCCAACTCTAAGAATGAAAAGTTTGATGGTGTTCTCATGGAACTCGTAATCAACTTTTGACCAAATTCATATGAGACCACCCCAGGGGCATCCCCTTTCTAACAATAAAAGAATCATAAATCAGATGACGTGGTAAAGAATTATCGCTTAACATACATAAAATGTTCCAAAAATTGACGCTCTTAGTTAAAAATACTAATTTAAAATACTGTTTATTATTCAAACAATTGTTACGGCTTTAATTAACTTACCAGCTAATACAAAACAACTAACAGAAGAGATGAATCCGCTAAGGAATGAATTGAAGGGAAAAGTTCCAACTAAAAGGCAGTAAATAAATTGTGTAATGCCGGTTAAAAGTATGTAAAATAAATAGGCATCGATTGCTTTTAGCCTTTTAGGAGTTCTCGTTTTATATTCATTGTAAAATTTCGAAAGGACTGTAGTGATTTGAGCCATATTTTACAATTCTAAATACTTTAATTACTAAAAAAATACTTCTAAAGAACACTTATTGATAAAAAATAAAATGACATTATTGACATTTGACATAAAGAAGACACGTCACGGATATCGCCTCTTAGCAATAATATATAATTATATAGATTGTCCACCCTTATATACATAGGAATGCAAACTTTTTTCTACGTTCATGCAATAAACAAAACTTTATTGAACTATATTTAGTAAAAAAAACTGGTTCTTTATTGCACTAGTGCAATAAAAATTTTATTGCACTCATCTTTCATTTTACTTCGCGTTTTATGATCATGACAAACATAAATATTCAAATATTCAAATTAACGCCAAATATTTAGTCCATTTTTATTTTCTATGTTACGTTTTAAAAACAATTGCATATTTTATATTATTTTCAATCATTTAATAAATAAATTAATAAAAAAATGTATTTTATTAAAAATCTCATTACAAATTATAAACACAAACGTAAATAAATGCCTCAAACAAAGGTACACATTTTTTAAGCCTCGAGCGTTTTTTTATTCACATCGGACACATCTGTCCCATTCAATGAACTGGAGTGGGGTAGAAAGCTAATGTGCATATTTTATCAATTGAACAAGATGCGACTCTTTGGGCGCAGCCATTTTTATTTCTCATCTCACTCGGGAGTATTTATAATAACCATTTTCTGTTTCACATTGTTATTGTTCAATCCACAGGCTGGTGGATCAGACAATAACAAAGTGAAATAGAAAATGGTCGTTATAAATACTCCCGAGTGAGATGAAAAATAACCTGTCTTCGCCCATAGAGTCGCATCTCAAGCCTATTGACAAGCATTCTACCCCACTCCAGTTCATTGGTCCCATTCTTAGATGTCCCATTACATTTACGTATGCTGAATCACGTGAACAAAGATTTATTATATATCAGATGCATAATTTCTGGCTTTAGATAAAATGGTCTTTCTAGAACTGTCTAGAACACACACTGCAATAGGTTCTTTCTTCTTTCGTTCGTCCCATTGGTGTAGGATGAACTACACCAAGGACACTAAATAGGTCTTTCCCTTTGCATCGAAAGTGTAGCACTGAGCTACGTCACTTCTGAGAATATCGTTCTATCCATACAATTTGTATAAATGGAACGATATTTTAAGAAATGGTGTAGCTCAGTGCTACACTTTCGATGCAAAGGAAAAGACCTATTCTTTCGTTTGGCCCGGTGTATAATCCACTACACCTTCCTGGGGGTCGATTCTCGACTCGTAGGAATTTTTTCCTATAGGAATTTTTGACATTTTTCTACACATCGGAAATTTATGACATTTGTCTACATGTAGGAAAGTGTCACAAATTCCTATAGGAAAAGGTTCCTACAAGTCGAGAATTGACCCCCTGTCGGCGATTTGGTGTCGACTGCTATTTAGCAGGAGTGAACTACACTCCACATGTGTATAAGGAATAAAATCAGGTAAATAAGGTGGTGTAATTTACACTGATGGACACTGAACCGACAGCGAACAAAAGAATCTAATATGACATAGACAGTATTCAACAAACGAACAAAAATATTTCTAAATTTCTTCTCCATTCATAAATGGACACGACACATTTTTGAGATTTTTACGTGAGTAGTACAACAAGGGAATTAAATTTGTTGAACAGTAATGATATAAATATAAATAATTAAAACTGTTTCCTAATAAAACATAAAAATGTCTGATTTGGGCGAATGGTTTAGAAGTGTCCCCCAATTTACTCGTTACTGGTTTGCTGGTTCAATAATATTTACACTTTTGGGACGATTTGGTTTTATAAGTCCATACAATTTAATTCTACTCTACGAGCCCCTAAAAAGGTTCCAAGTATGGAGGCTCCTGACTAGCGTTTTGTATTATCCTATTCAACAAGCAGGATTTCATTATCTCATTAATCTTTATTTTCTTTACAACTATTCACGAAGATTGGAAGAAGGTAAGATATTTAATCATATTAATAATGTGTAAAATAATAATGTATTGAATATTTGTAGGTGTATATGCAGGAAAACCAGCTGATTATTTGTTTTTATTAATTTTCAATTGGATATGTTGTATAATTCTTGGATTGGCTGCTGAATTGCCAGTAAGTAAAATTTGAATAGTTTTTCTAAGTTAATAATAATTTTAAATGTATTGCAATCTTTATAGTATTAATCCAGTGTTTGAATGTAAAAATAGGATACTGAAAGTCCTTCATTTATTCCTGAATTTCCTTTTACCTCGGACTTTTTTTGACTACGATTTGGACGCAAATTTTTAAATTTAAAAAGTTATTTTTCTGATATTCGCTTTTTATTTTTAGGGCTTAAAAACTGGACTAATTCTTTTAAAAAATTTTTTCTTATATTTCTTTCTTGTATTCAATATATTTTAATTTTTAGATCCTAATGGATCCCATGATCCTCTCGGTACTCTACGTGTGGTGCCAATTAAACAAAAACACCATTGTATCATTCTGGTTTGGTACGCGTTTTAAGGCGCTCTACTTACCTTGGGTACTTCTTGCTTTCAACTTGGTTCTCAGCGGAGGTGGAATTATGGAACTGTTCGGCATATTAATAGGCCATCTTTATTTCTTCTTAATGTTTAAATATCCTCAAGAGCTCGATGGCCCTGCCCTACTCCAAACTCCTTCTTTTTTGAAGGCTTTCTTTCCAGATCAAATAGGAGGGGTGCATGGTTTCGGTACGGCGCCTCAAAGGGCGGCGACAGCTGCAGCGCCAGGGGGTGGTACTCAGAGAGGAGGTTTTTTTGGAGGACATAATTGGGGAAGGGGATATACATTAGGAGGAAATTAACACCTGTTTATATATAGATATACTGAATTATGTAATTAACTACTATTAATTTTTTATGTATTAATTTATATAAATAAATATTTGTGTGATAGTCTTTTATTTATTAGAAATTTCGTTTACTTTAGCAACTCTGTAATTTTATTCCTTTATTTAATCTGTATACAACATAAATTATATATTAAATGAATAAGCTTTTCTGCAACATTTACCATTAGCAAAGTGCAAGGATTAATAAAAATTTACTATTCAGTAGTTGTTTTGGCGATTTGAGAACATTTTTGTAATTACCTAAATTAAATTCGAATAAATCTTAAAACAGGATACTCTTAAATTTCTCTTGTTTTTATATATACCTATAAAGGATTTCGATTTTGTGAAAGTATGTCTTGTAGATATGAGAAATTAAATCAAATTTGTGGAATTTACAAAATAATTCAATGGGAAAAACGAAAAAATTCACTTCACTGTCTAAAATATTAACATAAAATGGCGAAACGGAGTCTATTTGCCATCTATGAAATATGTCACCAAAACAAGAACCAGTTAGAAATGATAAACGCCATCTATTGACAAAATTTTTAAAGGACTAGGACAGAAAATGAAGAGAGCAAGAAAGTAAATCTCTTGGGTTGGTGCCAATGAGGTTTATACCTACATGGTTGGTACCAATGGTAAACCCGGTAAACCCATCTGTCATTTAGATTGTTAGGTTATAAACTAACCTATCCTAGATCACAAAAAAATTCCATTTTTTATATTCGTACACGTTTATATTTTTTTGATTAAATATATATAACAAAAAAGTTCCTTAAAACAATAATGTGTGACGACTGGGATGATGGTGCTCCCATTACATCACCTACGACTTATTCCCGGCAATGGGGTAACATAAATACAAACCAAGCACAAGATGATTGGTCAGATGGCACTCCGACATGGTCTAGTTCGACAAGCCAAACGTTCTCAAGGGGCGGAAATGGCTTTAGAGGAAGCAGACGAGGTGGTGGCGGCGGTGGAAATGCTTTCAGAGAAGGAAGAAGAGATGATGGAAACAGAAACTCAAATTCAAACCAAAATTGGAGAGATGACAAATCCGAAACTATGTACGTACCGTCAATGAAAGTTGGCAGAGTTATTGGACGCGGAGGTTCAAAAATCAACGAACTTCAAAGTGAATCTGGGGCGAGGATACAAGTCACTAAAGACATTGAAGGTGATGACACTATAGTAAAACTGTTTGGAAGTGAAACCTGTGTAGCTAAAGCAAAAGAATTAATAAACGACTTGACAACAGACACTATTAAATTTGTTGAAGCTAAAGATATGCCTAAAGAGCCAGAGAAGAAAGTAATTACAGATTGGGCAGCATTCTTGCAAGAATGTGAAAAAGCTGAAACCGCCGAATGGGAAAAATACCCTCCTATAATCAAATCTTTCTACAAAGAACATCCAGAAGTCACTCAAATGTCTGCAGATTATGTTGATTCTTTCAGAGAAGAAAATAATAATATTGTAGTTGATAGGACTTTTAAAAAAGAAGGTAGCAGACCCATTCCTAAGCCTTGCCCTACATTCCACCACGCATTTTATCAGTACCCCGAAATTCTAGAAGAAATTCGAAAGGCTGGTTTTGACAAACCATCTCCAATTCAAGCACAGGCTTGGCCAGTACTTTTGAGTGGTGAAGATTTAATTGGAATTGCCCAAACTGGAACTGGCAAAACTTTAGCATTTTTACTACCAGCTATGATTCACATTGATGGTCAAACAACTCCAAGAGAAGAAAGAAATGGACCTGCTGTTTTAGTCATGGCTCCAACTAGAGAACTAGCATTACAGATCGATAAAGAAATTAAGAAGTATCAATATAAAGGTATTATAACAGTTTATTTGTTCTTTAAGATTGTGTTATAAGAAAAAAAATATTAAATAGGATTAAATTTAAAAAGTACAGAATATAAAAAAATAAATCTAAGACATATACATTAAAAATATACAATTAGAAAATCATTTATGGTGGTAGTCAGATATATTATAAAAGCATAACTCTGCTAAATGGTTTTAAGTTTTAAAAGGTACCTACTGTTCAAATAATACTAATAATAATAATAGCCTTTATTGCCCAACAGATTTATAAAATACCTGTACAGGGCAAGTAAACCAAATTACAATAAAAAAAAAATGATAAACACACTACTTACAATATGATCTAGGTTGGGCAGGTACAGGTTTTTTTGCACTTAGGTTTTAAGTATTTGTGTGATGAATGGCCATTGTAGAAAATAAACTGCTGAGTATTTCAAAGGAATTTCAGTAAAACAGGAGAAAAACCAAACTGATTTAATTTATCAATTAGAATTATGTAAAAAATTGTTATATATCACATCAATTTGGCCCGTTCTTTGTAGATCTCAATCCTTCCTGAATACATGATAGCCAATATGTCACATTCATAATCACTAGTATAAAATTAAACATCATGAACTTTGATATTAAGCCCTTTAATGTTCTAGTAAATACATGTTAACTGATATTTTTAGTTTAAATTACACCTGCACACAAAAAAAATTTGTCCGTACTTTTGACGGGACCGGTATATCTTTATATATTTCGACCTGTTGAATCCGAATCTGAGGTCCGTTTGACCCGTACACTGTCATATTTTCGAGAAAACTTTGAAAAACCGAAAAAAATGAAGAAAATCGGCAGAGTTTTTCAAAGTTTTTTCGAAAATTTGACGGTGTAGGGGTCAAACCGACCTCAGATACGGATTCAGCGGGTCGAAATACATAAATATATACCGGTCCTGTCAAAAGTACTGACAACTTTTTTTAAGCTATTGCATAGCTTTTATCGCGGGCTTTGAGCGCGGCGACCGAATCAAGAAAAAAAACGAAACCATAACGAAAAAAACCTAACACCCCCCACTCCGACCGGCACAGCGGTGCGGCGTTAAACAATATTCACTTCTCATATTCAATAAAAGAAAAACAAAAAATCGAAAAAGAAATTCCGTAACGAAAATAAACCTAACACCCCCACTCCGACCGACACAGCGGTGCGGCCTTGAAAGCCTTGCATCGTCTAACGTCGTTTCAGTTCGGCAGACTTCGGCACGGTGTTTGTGTGAGTGCGGCTAGACGTATGCGTGTAGACTAGCTGCTAACTGCTCATAACTGATTCTATTTCTTTTAAAAACAATTTCGGAAAAATTGAATTTGAAAATGAATAATGATCCACAAGAATCCACAACAAAATATGGGACCACCACGCGGTATTTTATAGATATTTAGAGGATATCAAGTTTAAAACTTATGTTTCTTATTTTACCATAAACCTATAGTTTCAATGATAAAAATTCCTGAATAACTTACATGTATTGTGTTTTACCCTAGCTTTATTGGGCTTGACATTTACTACCTTCGATCATGGTGGACTGTATTATACTCTTGAAGTTCTGGTTGAAGCACTGGGTTTATTCAAATAAAACTATCACCCTATATTTGAATTTGATATATTCACGGCTTGCTGATTTCACATTTTACACATTTACTACTTGGTTACATAATGTTATTGATCGATTACATGTTAACTTTTGTAAATCAAATCGCACAAATGCTTTTAATTAACTTACGGCGACTGCCGGCCCTTTTAAAGAGTTTTACTTGTTGTTTGTTTGACTGACTGAGCGAAAGTGAGAGTTTTGTTTTTCGATGCATGCTTGTTAGGTCGCATCGGTTTTACCGGCTTTCTTCTAATTGGTTATCTAGTATCTTAAGATTGCGCGCGAGAATATTTTTGATTGTGTCCAATAACATAATCAAAAATAAACTTCGCCCTTTATTTTCAATCTGCTATATTTTGTCATTAATTATGTTAATTGTATTTATTGGAAATAATAAAGACGTTTTTATTATTATTATTATTATTATTAGAGTCATGATTGGGTGAAAAAATCTCGTGTAACTTTGTTTTGATTGTTTGCGTAGTCGCAGGTGTCTGAAGGTTATTTGAATGTTAACCGGTTTTTCTTTCACAACTTTATATAATTAGTTTATACAGGGAGTGTCTATCTAGTATTTTATTCTTTGTATTAAGTGCGGAGGTTCATACAGGGAGTGTCTCGCTAGTATTTTATTCTTTTTTGAATTTGAATGCTGATTTATATTAGCGGATAGGACATGTTGAATGTAATTTCAACATATTGTAAGATAATAAAAATATTTTAAACAATATTAACTTCTCATTTATTCAATAAAAAAAAATTGTTTTCTTATCGGTCACCACGCTCAACAAGTGTAACTTGAATTAATATCAAAGAAAAAACTTGAATTAATATCAAAGAAAAAAATATACTGCATAAATAAAATAAATAAATAATTATAATTGCATAAGTTGATAAAAAAATGCTATGCAATAGCTTTACCGCGGCAGTCCCCGAGTGCCACACGTATTTTTTTGAGTGCCGAAGATTATTAACAATTTTAAGAATGCCATTCTGATATTTAATAAAAATATTTTCACCAGGTATAACATCCGTTTGCATCTATGGAGGGGGCAATCGCCGAGAACAAGTGAAAGTTGTTTCAGACGGTGTCGACATTGTTATCGCCACACCAGGAAGAATGAACGACTTAGTAGCAGCCGGTCATTTAAATGTTAAAAGTGTTACATATGTGGTACTCGACGAAGCAGACAGAATGTTAGACATGGGTTTCGAACCACAAATTCGTAAAGTAATGTACACAATCAGGCCTACCAGACAGACTATAATGACTAGCGCCACCTGGCCGCCGGGAGTGAGAAGATTAGCACAATCTTACATGAATGATCCTGTTCAAATTTATATTGGAAGCTTAGATTTAGCTGCAACTCACACCGTTACACAGATTATACAAATAATGCCTGATGATGAAAATGTTAAGTTAGAAACGTTTATGGACTTTGCTAGGAACTTAGCACCTGATCAGAAAATCATAGTTTTTTGTGGAAGAAAATCCAGAGCTGATGAATTATCCACTGAGCTGGTTTTAGCTGGAATGCGATGCCAAACGTTACATGGAGACCGTGATCAAGCTGATCGAGAGCAAGCTTTGCTTGATATCGCCGATGGTACAGTCCAAATCCTCATCGCTACAGACGTCGCTTCCAGAGGTCTAGATATCGACGATATTACACACGTGGTGAACTATGATTTTCCCAGAAATATCGAAGAGTATGTACACAGAGTCGGTAGAACTGGAAGAGCAGGAAAATTAGGTGAAAGTATAAGCTATTTCACCAGAGGAGATTGGGCGCAGGCTCAAGAACTTATCAGTATTCTAGAGGAAGCTCAGCAATATGTTCCTGAAGAGATTTATCAAATGGCTGAAAGGCACGCTGCATTCAAGGAAAAAAGAGATAAGGAAAGAGAAAGCGGGTTTGGTGGTCGAGGGGGTGGGAGAGGTGGGGGAGGAAGAGGTGGAAGATATAATGGAGGTGGGGGTAATCGACGTTGGTGAATCTCTGATATTTATTAAAATTATAATAATTTATGTTTAATTTTTTAGTTGAATAAAATTTCATTTTCTTTATTTCTTGTTTTATTTATTCACTTACATTACACACAGTTTAATAAAATGATTGATCAAGAAATATCAGTGATGATCTTATACCTTTTTGTCCTTATAAATACATTTGTTCCAGTTGATAAAATCTATAAAGACTCAAAAAGCAACATTTTCCTTGCCTGCAAGTAAAAATGCTATTCTGGGGAATATGGAAGAATAAAAATTATCAGTGATATATATTTTATTTTTTATTAAAAAAAAAAATGTTTTTCATAATTTGCTTGGTAGGTATATTGTGGCAACTATACTGATGGCTGCTACTCACAAGAAAATAGCTATTCGTTAAAAATAAGCCTATTACATAAATAGGCCATAAATAATTATTCTTTTTCTACCCCTTTTTAATAGTACGTCACTGAAAACAGGAAACACTTGAATACTGACAAACCACTGTGTGGTCCCATGTTTAGTTATAAAGATGGAGTGAAAAGAGTCGACTAAACGAACTAGTCGATGAATTTATGTCAATTGTCAATAATAGCTTGTTTTGTGTCAGCAGGGTATGCGCACTTGGATATACACATTCCATTCACATTCCACTGTTAGTACTATGCGCCAATCTCACAGAGGGCGTTACTATAATTCTTCGTTTTTCCTGTAACGTCAGTTGTTTTGACATAATAAAATTTGTTATTTATCGTTTGTCCTTTGTGGGTGACTAGATTTTATTTTTTGCGAATTATATGATTGGAAAAGTGAAAAGTACATTTATTTTATTAGTTTTTAATCTGTTTTTCGTGTGCTTCTTGGTTTTTTATGTGTTTTTTTGGGTTTTTGCTAGTGTTAGAACTTGTATTCGTGCTTTGTTAATATTTAAGACATTTATTATTTGTTTTTAAATCTGCCTTAACTTTTCAAGTAGATATGTAAATAAAATTCCACACTTAGCATTCATTATAATTGTAACTTTGAATTACAAATACTATTAAAATAAACAAGATAACACAAAAATGGTATTATAATTAAATAAATTAGAAAATTTGGCTTTAATTATTTAGGGCCGATTCCACCGTTGTGTTAACAAAGTTTAAATTACAAACGAGGATTAAAATTACATTTTTACATTACTTTAGTCATTTTAATCTTCGTTCAGTAATTTAAGCTTAGTTTAACACAACAGTGGAATCGGCCCTTTTGTAAACAAATGAAAATGACGTAACCTCAATGTTTGTTTTCTTGACTGAGGACTTTGGTTAATTCTGCTTCTACACGAAACGTGCGTATTTAAATAAGGCTTGCAGCCAATGATCGTTTTCTAATATTTATGGTCTTTTACAATGTAAGACGTCTAGCTACATTATGCGTCCCCAAACCATCAGATGGCGCTCAATTCATAGTCTGATGATTTAACATTGAGTTTCCGTTCTATTCTTCCCTTACCTATGTGTGTCAGTTGCAGTTGGTTGTTGGTTATGTTTTAGCACCGGTATTTGTATTATTTCGCGGCTTTTATATTATCAATACATTTTCACTCATTAATAATATTTAACAATTAATAATTATGCCTCCAACACCGAAAAGAGACTGCGGTGTTATATTATTTGACGTAGCTTCATCAAAAAAATCTGAACTTTTAAACGGTCTACTAAAATTCGCATCGTTCAGATGGTTTATGAATTCGAAGAGTATGTACAGATTAATTTTAGTAAACTCCGCTGAAACTAGAAACAGAGGAAATTATCCTCATATATATACATGTAATGATTTAGAAGAATTCGATCCCAAACTTATAGTTCAAGAAATAGAAAATATGCAACCGGGCGAATCTAACTGGGTAGATGCCCTACGAGTGGGAATCCTTGCTTTAAAGGAGGTTGTTGAAATGGCTGGAATTGTTAGTCTTCAACTAATTTTCTTCACCGGTTTTGATAATATTACTCCAAATTTCGATGATACTTCTATTCAAAAGGTGATAAATATAATTAATAAATATGAGAATATGTATTTGTATATCATTGGACCTGATGTTACACTTCCCTTTGCTATAACGAGTCAGCAGTCTATTGCTAATTGCATGCAGGAACTGCAAGTAGTAAGTATTTATTTTATTTAATCATTTTTATTCCTTACCTTTATAAAATAACAGGTATACTGGGTGAGACATTAATATATTTTGTACTTGGCTGACTTCCTAAATGGATGGTAAATATTCATTTTATCAAATTATCAGTGTTGCCAAACTTTCATTTTTCCCAAACAAAAATTGTACATATATTTTTTTTAATCTACAGTTCAAATTACATACCTACCTATGTAAATTTTGCCATAATTTCATTTTTCCCAAATTAAAAATTAAGATTTAAGGCATTGAACTGGAAAATAATGATTTAAAAACCTCAAATAAAGTGAAATAAAAGTTATTTTGCCAATTTAATAGATTCTTCAGATAAAAATAAATGTCTAAAAGTGTTTATACCAACTTAAGTGCTTGTACATATATTATGTTGCACACAACTTTCTTCACATTATTCATCAATAATTCTTTATCATATTTTCTGATATCTATGATTATTTTTTTTGGTTTAAAGGAGATACCTCAGGGGTGGGCCATAAAAAAAATCATCAAACTCTTCATTTTTGGAGTCTGTTTTTTAAAATAACTCATGTAATTATGAATTGTTTTAGGACCAGACAAACCAGAATTTGGTAGTAGCTCATAGAATAGTTACTAGTGTTAAGAATGCAGTTATGTGTAATACAAAAGTTGGCACACCACACCTTTTGATATGTTTTAGAAATAGCCAAGGAACTCAACCCTGGAAAGTACCATTGATGTTTGGTGGAAAATTGTCCATACCAGCATCAACTGTTAAAATAATCAGGTAGGTACAGTTATAGATCTACATTTTTAACTGATTTTTTTGCAGCATTTTTACTAAAATGAGTTATTGGTAATCGACACTATTAAATCTATAGAATAGCTTAAATTCATTATTTTATTTTAGTACTAAGATTAAAAAAAAAACAGTTCAATAAATTACAAATAATCTTGTCCCCCAGTGGGAATAAAAGCTGTATGTTTCTCTTTAAGTTAAGGTAGGGGAGCGTGTTTTGCTCCACAGCACTTAGGCTCTATTAGGTCCATTGTGCATCTTCTAGATATCCTCCCAGCTCATCAAAGTCCTGCATATTTCAAAATGAAAAAGGTCAAAATATTGATGGTCTTTTTAATTGAAATGGACAAAATGCACATACAGGTTTCTTTCTTAGTTATGACCTTTGAAATAACATCATTGTAGCGACTCTTTAATAATATCCCATAATAGATAAATCAAGAAATTTTATGAAAATGGCTGTTCTTAGTGACTTTTATGACAACTGTCATATCAGTTCTATCAGAGAGATCAGTGACATTGTTTTAAGGTTACTATTAAATTTATTAATAGAGAGTTATTGCAAGTTCACTTAAGGTCAGTCACTATTAGTGCTGCTCTTATTTTGACATCTGAGCATGTGTAGATCACTAACTTTAATAAAGATTGTGCCTGTCCATAATAAGAGTTATTGCAAGTTCACTTAGGGTCAGTCACTATTAGTGCCGCTCTTATTTTGACATCTAAGCATGCGCAGATGTTTATGTTCTAAAACTGACTTTATTAAGGATTGTGCCTGTCCTTAATTGTGGATGTTTAAGGGCAGCAGGTAGTGGCGACTTTATAGCTTTTGGATGCGCTCGTCATTTAAACCTTCTAAAATTATAATTTCTAATGCCTCTATAATATTAGGTACTATTATAGAATTTATTTGACTAATTACGATGTCACTATTAGTGGCTGGCTTTATAGAAATTTGCAATATCTCTCTATTAAGGACAGGCACAATCTTTATTAAAGTTAGTGATCTGCGCAGGATCAGATGTCAAAATAAGAGCGGCACTAATAGTGACTGACCTTAAGTGAGCTTGCAATAACTCTGTCACTTTTAGCCAGCTTATAAGATCAGATTTGCTACATGGGATACAGGTATTGTTAAAAGCTCTTTAACCTTTCATTTTTTTATGTTCATACCTTTAATTTGACAGTTTATTATGCTCTGAAATAAGTCTATGTGGTTTACTACTTTTAAACTGACATTTGTTATGTTCTGATTTTTGAATTAACTATTTCTTATGTGTTGACCTTTGAAATCTTAATTATTTTTAAAATCTACTTTTTTTTTGTTCTGACCTTCGATTTAATGGTTTTTTACCAACAACTGATCTTTGATTTGATGGTTTTTTACGTTCTGATCTCTGCTTTGGTCATTTTTTCAAGTTCTAATATTTAAAATGAACTGTTTTTACTTTCTGACCTTTGCATTGATAATTTTTTTACTTTTTCTTGAATTGACTATTTTTATGTTCTGACCTTTGATTTAACGGTTCTTTACTACCTGACCTTTGAATTAACTTTTTTTTTATGTTGTAATCTTTTAATTAGATGTTTTTACGTTCTAACCTTTGACTTGACTTTTTATGTTCATATTTTGACAGTTGATTATATTCTGAAACAACTCTATGTGGTTCGTTACTTTTAAAATTATATTTTTTACGTTCTGATTAGATTGACAATTTCTTATGTTCTGGCCATTGAAATATTTCTATACTTAATTACTTTAAAATTTCTTTTTTTTTTTTTTTCATTCTGACCTTCGAATAAATGTTTTTTTTAATACCTGATCATCGATTTGATAGTTTTATACGTTCTGATATTTACTTTGGTCATTTTTTCAAGTTCTGATCAGTGAATTGACTGTTTATACATTCTGACTGACCTTTGCTTTGATCATTTTTTTACTTTCCTATTTTTGACTTGACTATTTTTAAGTGTTGACATTTGATTTAAAGGTTCTTTACTATACGACCTTTGATTTGACATTTTTTTTATACTCTTTGAATTGGTTGTTTTTCTATTGTAATCAGAGTTTTTTCATTGAAACCCATTTTATTAGCAAGCAACAACAAAATATCTCAAAACTCTTTTTTACATTTTATATATTTATATCTTGAACTTAACTCAACATATTGTTTCTCTGTCATCAGGAAAGATCTTGCATTGAAATTGCAAGCACCGATATGTCAAAGTTACGTCAAAATTTTGGCCGATGATCGCATGCAACAAGTCGACGATGCTGATATAGTAAAAGGTCTAGTCAGACACAATAAGTTCACACAAATTGACGAATCACAATTCAAACTTGAAACTCAAAGATGTTTCGATGTACTGGGTTTTACAGACAAAAAGTTTTTACCTGAAACTTACATAAAGGGTGAGCAAAAACCATTGTTGATTACATTGTGAAATATTTCTTCTTTTTTAATTTATTATATTATAAATTATTATTAATAGGCGATGATACATTTTATGTATTACCTAATGAAGCTACTGAAGATGGTTTTCAAGCTTTCACGTATTTGGTGACAATCTGCCACGAAAGCGACAAATATGCTATAGTAAAAAGGATTTATTCTCCAAATAATAAACCTAGATACTACGTGTTGATACCAGCAGTTGATACTACTCCAAAATATTTCGTTATGACCGGTAAATTTGTTAAAAGTCATTTACAAATAGTAGTATTTAAATTTGTAGTGAATCTATTTAAATTTAATTACTTTTGATGTAGGTTTACCATACGCTGGACTTTTGCTAGAGCACCAATACAAGACACCTATTGAACCCAAGGAAGAAGTAATAGAGGACGATTTTCACAGATTTTTCAATAGTATGATCGTCGAAAATAAAGATTGCAAGGCTGGAATTGAATCAGGTAAAATCCGTGTTCTTTACTTTTTTTCTTTTTGACAGAACAATTTTTACGTTCATACCTTTAAATTTGACGTTCTGTACGTTTTTTCATTAAAACTTAATGGTTTTTTACTTTCAGACCTTTGCCTTGACAGTTTGTTCTGTCATTAAACGTGATTGCTTTTATGTCCTACTTGATTTTTTTTGTAAATACCTATAGAACTTTTAATTTTCTTGGCAAGACATTTTTTACGTTCAGATCTTTGACTTAACACCTTTGTGATCTATTACTTTTAAAATGAAGTTTTTACTTTCTGATCTTTGATTCAACGCTTTTTTATTACCTGACCTTTGATTAATTATTTTTTTGTCTTGATCTTTGAATTGACCGTATTTACGTCCCGACCTTTGATTTAATGATTTTTTTTTCTAATCTTTGATTTGACGGATTTTTACGTTCTATCTTTGATTTAGCTAGTTTTACGTTCTGACCTTTGCTTTGATCCTTGAATTTACTGTATTTACGTTCTGGCCTTTGCTTTGGTCAAGATCAGAAAGTTAAAAAATGTCTGTAAAGTAGTAAATAGTCGGGGATGTTACGTTAATGGTGTTAATAATTTTTGTTAGGTCCCATAATGATGTTGGACATACATCAGCAGAAGATAGTCGACGCCGCAGCTAAGAAGAAGGCGATGAGAGAGGATTTTGATTTAGAAAGTTTGGATGTTTGCGATCACGAATCGGTCGCGGAAAATCCGTTTATGGAAATTTTTAAGGATGCTTGGCCCGTCCGCAGTATTGACGGTGCAGATCCGTCCACTGAAAATTAACGTTATTTTTTTTTTTGTTTCACTTAAGGATTGTTTTTGTTTCATATTTTTTTTTACCAAAGTATTTTGTTTAGATTTTATTGTTTTTGTATTGTATTATTTTGTATTGTTTTTCTTTAATAAAAATTATTTTTGATATAAGATTTGAGATGTTTTTTTTTTACAATTTGACCTTTGATTTGACGGTTATTTTTACGTTTTGACCTTTTTTTTATATTCTGACCTTTGAAATAACTATTACTTTTACATTCCGAGCTTTATGTCGTTTTTACATTCTGTTCTTTGACTTGAAGATTTTTTACGTTCCGACGTTTGTAATTAGGCCTTTATATTTATTTTTAAAATATTTTTTTTACTTTCTAAGCTTTGATATAATGTGGTTTTTAATTTTTGTCAAAGGGACTTGGATGTTTTTTTATGTCATGACCTTTCAAATATCTACCGGTTTTACACTTTATTATTGTTAAAATGACTTTTTTACATCCTGAGTTTTGTCATTACGTTTTTGCATGCTATCCATTGACTTGAAGGTTTTTTACGTGCTGTACTTTGAAATAACATTATTAAAATGATTTTTTTAATATTCTGAGCTTCAAAATGCTGTTTTTGCATTCTGTCCTTTGACTTATCGGTTTTTCACGTTCTGACCTTCGGAATAACGTTTTTATACTCTTATTTTTAAAATTATCTTTTTTACCTTTCGAGTTTTGATTTGCCGTTTATTACTTTTTGATATTTCAAACAGATTTTGATCTTTATCGCGAATCTTGGCTTTTTGTGAATAAAATAGTATACAAACTTTAATGGAAATTAATAATTTTTGATCGTTCTGCAGACAAACCACAAATCGGGATGAGCTTAGTTAAAACCATTTATAAATACATTTTTTATTTAAAACTGAATACAAATGAACTACTTTCTACTCCAATGAAAATAAATAGCATTTCCAAGATATTAAAAAAAAATTAAAATTAATCAACTTTTTTGTTAAAAAAACAAAAACTATTGCTAAAGAAAACAGTCGGTAACTTAAGTAACATTTAGCAAAAAAGTGTAATAATTATAAAATTAATTGTTTTAAGTTTGGACACTTCACAGAAAAAAATAATTATTCATTTGCATCGCTAGTCGTTAGGAAATAACTTTTTATCAAGAAAATTTGTTTAAAAAAAAAAAACTTTCTCGTGTGTTGGGGCGCACTGTCGCACTTCATTAACAACCATATCTGAATACAGTTTGTTGTTAACGACGTGCTCGAAGAGCATGTCGCAATCATTTATACAGTGTGTCTAAAATTTTGTTATAAAACTTTTAAACACTATAATAGATTGCGACGTGTCCTTCGAGCACGACGTTAACAATAAAATGTATTTGGATATTGTTATCTTTTATACAATATGTCTCAAATCAAAAAGTTTTATCTTGCAAAAAAAAATAGGTCCAGGAATTCATAATCAAACAAATTTTGTGGTATACAAGCTCTCGGGAAAATTAATATCCAAAAATGATGTCACGTTTACTTTCAAATGAGAAATAATTTTTAAAATATCGTATATAAAATTGATTTGTTACATACCATAAAAAGATTTTTAAATGGAATCGTGGTATTCTCCAAAGACATCATCTGTTTTCTACTTTATGTGAATTATACATGAGCGTTATGGAAAACGAATATTTGCGAGGTTTTGTTAAAGGTGATTTTGCTTTTAATCGTGTTGTCGATGACTATTTATATTGCACAACAGAAAAGCGAAACAAAAATATTTCAACATATATTGCATAAAATGTACCCTATAAACGAATCAAAAACTGAACGCGCTAGTGGTTATAGCAGTTAAAATTTAGCTCAAATTGAACTCAACTATTATTATGGCTGCGATGATTATGCAATGTTCGATATGGACTTGTAAGAAACGTTGACATTTTACGGCAAAATAATAAATTTACGGACTAAACAAATAAGTAAATGTTATAAAATTAATAACATTCGAAACGGATTTAGATTTTGGAATAAAGAACGTTTGGAAAATCTAGCTGTATCCGAAACCGATCTTAAAGTTGAAATGGTAAAGACGTCGAGTAGTTACACTAGTGCTAATCAATGCTTTACACCTCTCGAAATAAACATCAGATTTAATACAGAAGAAACTATTTTAAACGATTTTTTAAAGGGATGGTTTTTATTGCCTTTAAACATGATTGGATCGTTAGAGCCGTTTTTTATTCCAAAATCCAAATCCGTTTCGAATGTTATTATTTTTATAACATTTGCTTATTTGTTTAGTTCGTAAATTTATTATTTTGTCGTAAAATGTTAACGTTTCTTGCAAGTCCATATCGAACATTTCATAATCATCGCAGCCATGGTAATAGTTGAGTTCAATTTGAGCGAAATCTTTACTGCTATAACCACTAGCGCGTTCCGTTTTTGATTCGTTTATATGATACATTTTATGCAATATACGTTGAAATATTTTTTTATTTCGCTTTTCTATTGTGCAATATAAATAGTCATCGACAACACGATTAAGAGCAAAATCATCTTCAACAAAACCTCGTAAATATTCGTTTTCCATAACGCTCATATATAATTCACATAAAGTAGAAAACAGATGATCTCTTTGGAGAATACCACGGTTCCATTTAAAAATATTTTTATTATATGTAAAAAATCGATTCCCTATACGATTTTTTAAAAACTTTCTCATTTAAAAGTAGGTCATTGTTAGTTAAGATAATGTTACATACTTTTTGGATATTCACATTTCTAAAAGTTTCCCTGTATACCATCTATATTATAAAATAAGGATGTTAAAAATACAAAACATTTTTATTTAGTTCAATTAAAAGTAATGAGAGATTTGGCAACAGTGTGAAAACACGGCAGTCGAGGATAGTATCTATTTAATGTATACAAATTTGGTTAAATTTTCAACTTCTATTATATCAAAACATTTTTTTTTTAATATTGTTTGATTTCACTTCTTTAAATTTTTTAATATTTTTTTATATAATAAATCAAAAGGTTATAAAATATTTACATAACGTATTTTTTAAGTATCGTTTCGTTAAAATTTTTTGATGTTTACAAACAGAATGTTTAAAAAAAAATTTGTTCTGTTAGCTCAAAAGTAATGAAAGATTTGACAACGATGTGAAAACACAGCAGTCGGGGCTAGTTATCCATTTCCTGTATACGGATTTGATAAATTTTCAACTTCAATTACATCAAAACAATTTTTATATCTATTGATTTCACCCCTTTAGATTTTTTAATATTTTTTTTTTTATAATGAATTAAAAGGTTATAAAATATATCTTATGTATTTGTTAAAATTCTTAACTTACGTTCTAGATTATCTGATAGTGACGTTTTTAACCGCATGTAATTAAAATGTTACTCTAATGTGTATACAAGATGTTAAAAATACAAAACATTTTTTTTATAACGTAAAACGCAAACAATATTGACTCAGTTGTAGACGGATTACTATTGCACAATATGTCACCCGACGTATCCATATATATTTAGCCATACTAGTATAAACATTAATATTACTGTCAAACCCTTGGTTATAACTCTAAATGAGTTAGATATAGAAAAATTATAAATATGTCGTAAAACAAATATTTAAAACTAATTTTCATATATTTTTTTTTAACTAAATTCTGTGACAACTGAAAAATTATTTTAAAGTTAAATATTTTATTAAACTCATTCAATTTTTCCTAATTGTTTTTAAATTCATTTAATTAACATTCTGTTGATATTGTAATCTTTTCAAATACCACACGAGGCGAGAATTTTTTTTTATACTATTTTGTTGTTACCATACAAGTTATGCAAATTTTCATTACTTGTTGCATTATCCTCGATATCAATGGAGGTAATAAGTCTAAACAAAATATATCAAAATGATCTTTACCATTTTTTTATCCCTTACTTTTTAAACTTTACTTTTGGATATTTTCAAATCCAAAACACATTTAAGAGAAGTAAAAAATATAAAAGTATTAAATGCATATATAGCTAGTTAAGTATGATTCTTGATCTTTTCAAGTTAAGTTATCCTGCCAACTACATGTCAAAATATTGTATAAAATTTTGGTTTTTATACACATTGGATGAGTATTTCAGTTTAAGACCTCAAATTATCTACTATCATGACAAGTCAAATTTTATTTTCAATAAACATGGCTATGTCGATATAATGATTTGATGTATACAACATAAATTATTTTGTGTTAGGCATAGCCGTGCTATCATAGCGAACATGTGGCAACTACGATATCCCAGCTATCGCTATGCTCCTAGCTTTATGCCTCATATTCCGATCGGTTAATATCCCACCAGCATATCTTCTAATACTAGTCGACGACTGGCTGTTGTCCTGTTGCCATTTTATTAACTTGCATGCCTAACACGAAAAAATAAGTACTGTATAATGCGTGTCTTAGATAAAAGAGGCCGAATTAACAATGGCCAAATTCAAATTTGTAAAAACGTGATTTTATTGATATTACAAAAATGCCGTATATGAAATTGAAAAATAATAATCGACATTTCATATATTATGAAACTTTGATTTTTTTTGTTTAAATCAACTAAAAATACTTGAAAGAAAAGTTATTTCAGTCATCTTTAATTTTTTATCTATCATCCTGTGGAAAAACTCGAAATGCTTTACCTATTATTAAAATAATAATAAAAAAAAATTAAATAAAAAAAAGAATATCACAACGACCCATTATCGCGATTCGCTAAAGACCGTCATCAAATCGTGTTCGTAAAAAGCTATCAAGGCCATTACGCCTAGTCCCGAAAGCAATCCGCCCAAATGCAAGATGCATTGTCCCACGTTGCCTTCGTCCTCATGAGCCGAACTCAATTCGGGGATCATGTCTACCAGAGCTATGTAGATGAACATACCCGCAGCCGCGGCAAATACCCAAGAACTCGCATATTCAGTATTACCTGAAAATAATTATAAAATAAAAATGTTAAAAATAAAAAACATTTTTGTTCAGTTCAGTTAAAAGTAGTGGGAAAATACAGCAATCAGGGATAATATACACTTCCTGTATGTAGATTTAGTAAATTTTCAATTATATCAAAACATTTTTTTTAAATTGTTTGATTTCACCCCTTTAGCTTTTTTATGTCTATTTTATAATGAATAAAAAAGTTATAAAATATTATCTTATCTTTTGTTTTACATCACGTGATCACATTTTAAACCTTACATAATTAAAATTAAGTTGCTTTAATGTTTATACAAGATGTTAAAAATACAAAACATTTTTATTCTGTTCCGTTAAAATGAGAAATTTGGTACCAACGTGAAAACACGGCTATCTGGGATAGTATCCATTTCATGTATGTAGATTTGGAAAATTTTTAACTTTTATTATATCAAAACAATTTTTTATATTGTTTGATTTCACTTATCTTAGTTTTTTTTTTATAATGAATCAAAAGTGTATAAAATATTTATCTAATTAAAACTAATGAATTAAAATTTAGATACTTTAATTTGTACATTATTGTTCTGTTAGGTTAAAAATAATCGGAAATTTGGCAACAGTGTAAAAATGAGGCAGTCCGGTATAGTATCCATTTCCTGAATGTAGATTTGGCAAATTTTCAAATTCTATCATATCAAAATATTTTTTTTATATTGTTTGATTTCACCCCTTTAGCTTTTTTAATGTTTTTTTTTTATAATGAATCAATAGTTTATAAAATTTTTAAAGTATTTGTTAAAATTTCGTTGCACTGATGCGTATACAAGATGTTAAAAATACAAAACGTTTTTTTATAATCTTACCAAGAACAAGTCCGAATACGTTGCCGAAAACGCACAAAATGCTGGAGAGAACATTGTAAAAAAGTGCCTGCTTAATCGTCATTCCAGCTTTAAGTAACATAGCAAAGTCGCCGAGTTCGTGTGGAAGTTCGTGGCAAAATACGGCTACGGTAGTTGAAAATCCGCCTGCCAAACTGCCGGAAAATGCAGCGCCGATCGCCATACCATCAGTAAAATTATGTAACCTAAAATATATTTTGTATGTGTGAAGCTGATCTCAATTTTATCGTCTTCTATAAATTTTTAAGAAATAAAAAAAAAACTTAAATTGTTCTTAAATATTTTTCTATAAAAATATACTTGCCCGTCTCCCATTATAACCATCCAAGCCACGGAAGAGAAATCCTTGGGCGCGGCATGAACGTGTCCATGTTTATGGGAATGTCCGTGATGTTCGCTTTTGTGCTCCCTCAATATAACCGTATAATCATCGTTGACTTTGTGTTCCGGTGTCAACATTTTATTCGCTTCAGTACAAATATTCAAATCTGAGGGACATTCAGCGTTTTGGTTATTCGGTTCCAGTTTTTCAAACGTCGAAGATTTTGATAATCTTTGAGAATCCGATTTCAAACTGGGATCTGCTACCGTTGTAGCCGTTTTATCCGATTCTAGAAATGTTGTATCTAAAAAAATACTTTAACTTAGAAACCAAATTAGTAATTACACATTAACAAACTCACGTGGATTATCCATAATATCCTTATAACAATAAGGAAACGAATTATATTTGTCCATACACTGAGTATCATTCTTCAAATTGCTGCTATCCCTCCTGTCATTAATAACAGTAACGTGAGAGTGTTGATGCTTTTGCTTGCCCTTCCTCCATTTGACGGTCAACGAGATCAGTCTTTCCATGACGAAGAAAAATGTGAGACCCAACATGGCGACGCAGCCTTTTTGGATATTCTCATCGTGCGAATGGGTGTCTTCTTGGGTATGGTGATGATGGGAGTGAGTGGTGCTCATTGCGTGTGGAAGTAAATGAAGGAGAGCGTCTCCAGCTAGAGTACCTACCGCTAGGGCGACCAGAAACTGGATAAGAGGTTTATAGAATCTAAAAATTAGAATTAACGTTTGTGTATTACGAGTGTAAAGTTGTATGAAGTAGTCTAGTATACACAACCAAACTTATATGGTAAGAAAAATATGAGTAAAACTAAACATGTTTAATTTCTTTTTTGAATAAAGTATTTTTTAAATAATTTGAAAGACTATTATATTTTTACACTATATGAGGAATACTTTAGTAAAATAGATTATTTTACTAGGAGTAAAATAGTAGGTATTAATTTTTTGTCTAGTATTATACCAGTGTTATAGTTTTTATTTTCAGAGAAGTACACTCACCGTTTTTGCATAACCGGTATAATGGCTAAAGAAAGCACCCCGCATGCGCTTATAAGTATAACAGCTAGGATAGAACACAGCCAGACGAAGCCATTGTTTACTAAAGAAGTCTCTTCCTCTGTGTGACGATGATCGTGCGAATCATAAGTACAGTCTTTGTTTACTAAGCTATAGAGTAAAAAGGGGCACATCTTGTACAACAAAGTCTCATTGATTTTCTCATTTTTACGATCTAGGCCGATGGATTTTGGAATTTCTTGTATTTCTGTACACTGAAACGATATTATTGGATAGTGAATGTTAAAGAAAGAAACTTAAATGTAAAGTATGCTTTCCTAATATTAAACCTAAAATAAAATGCTATTCTCCCATATTTAAAACGATTTTTACGTAGTTTGAAGTGTCTACAAAATATTACGAATTAGTTAATAAAGTTTACTAGATAACAAAAATATTGAAAATAAAACAAAAGGGGTTGATTTTGGAGTAGAGTTTAATTTCAAAAACTTATTTAAAATGACTAAGGGAAAGACCAAGGAAAACCAGTGGAAATCTTGAAGAAAAGTGAACTAAATTGGTAGGAAGCAACAATAAAGGCTAGAAATAAGCGTCAATAGGCCAAATTTGTACATAATTCAAAACAATTAACATTTTAGGGTATATATCTGAACCTTAGAGCCAAAGAGTATTAAGTCCATTTTACAAAATTTTATAGCAGAGCTTGTTGAAATTTTTGACTGACTGTATGTTTAATTAGAGTTAATATTGGTTTTAAAAATATACCTGGAAAACTAAAAATGATAGGACTTAATACTTAGCACAAATGGAAGGAGCAGGAAAAATTATGTAGAAGTAACCAAAAACTTGAAAATGAAAAAAGGTGGACTTAATACTGTTTGGCTCTGAGGTCCAGATAGGTTCTGATTATATGCAGTACGTTTCCAATACTGACTATAAAAACGGTATAGAAAAACAATGCTACTGAATAGAAAGAAATACAATGACCGACTGTGGACCACAATATTCCCTCCTTGCTATCAAAAGGGTATAATTAAATCAACATTTGTGAAGTATTGTTCTATTTAGACATAAAAGATCTTCACATGGTATTTAAAAACCATTCCTTAAGTCTGTCCATGTAAAATTATTTCGTTACTTTATACCTTAAGCCTGCCTATGTACAAATATTTGGATTTTTTACCTTTCAAGCCTGCCCTTGTAAAAATATTTGGGTCCTTTCCCCCTTGAGCCTACCCTTGTAAAATATTTGATCGATTTTGAATTCATTAGAAATTACTTCCCTTGGCTTATATACTACGATTTTAGATGAAACCGTAACTAGAGCTATTTTATCTTGTAGGCGATATATAAAGTGCCATATTATTTCTAAAAAGTCAAAAAAACGAAAATATTTGTTTTATACAACACATATTTTTGCTACTATAAAGAATGAACCATGTTTTGAAACCACGATATATTGAAAAAAATAGGAATAATTTACGATTCTTGTTCAATTTTAATGGTATACATTATGCTAGGACTTGGCAAGTTAAAACTAATCCTAAAGGAAGAGGTATTGGAACAGAAGGGCCAAACCCATTATCTAAAGCTAAAAATATGTTTATATGAAAGAAATTGTTGGAAAAATTGGAAAAATATTCAATTTTTAATTCCTTTATACATACCGTCTCGTTTACTTTCTCCGTATGTTTGTGCAAATCCCCATGTTGTTCATCTTCTTTTACAAATATTCTAGACAAATTTAAATCCAATAGGAACTTCTTAAACCCATCCTGCGTCATGAAATCTCCATCGCCGTACTTTAAAAATATTTTCTTCAGGTGATCCTGATCACTATCACTACTATTTACATTTACGCTATCGCTAGTGTCACTATTCCGCTTAATTTTTCTGTGATTCGCATCTCTAATACTGTTGCCGTGTTTGTCGAGAGTATTCACGTTTTCTCGATTTGGTTCCGAAAATTTTTCTATAAATGACGAGTTCAATGGGTCACTGTAGTCTTTATAATGTAGCGAATGTTTAACTGCTGCGTGTGAAGCGCAAGGGGTGTGTGTCGCGCAGATGAAGCAAAAGATGCAAACCGATAGCACATGATGAGACATACTTGTGTATTCTGAAAATATAAAAAATCTTAATATTCCTGTGAAGTCCTGATGTTCTCATTATTATTGAAAGAAAAATAATAATATTATCAAATACAATTTCTAGAAATGCACGAGCTATGTCAAAAAATATCAGTAGAAACTCGTCTTTACTGACTTTTGATGTTTACCCTAATAAAAATTTTTTCATAACTCCCAGACCCAGACTTTTCCTCGAAAATTGCTTTTATTGAAGTTGAATGTCACAGCCTACTTGAATGTGATTTTCATTAAATTTTCTGTCAAAATCCATACACGAGGATGATTTGATATATTTAATAAATGTTTTTGAACTTTTCCTTTTGCACCTTTTTTATTTTTTTATAATTAAAAACCATCTTATTCACCATTATAACTATTTACATAACTTTTTTCTTAACCTATAACCTTGTTTATGAGGTATCACAAGTCTCTACCTCCTATTTATAAATTATGGGGTCTTAACTGTCACTCAAAGAAGGTAGGGGTAAAACTTTCACCATTGTAAGATATCATTTATAATCTAAACTTGACGTGTTTCGTGATTTTTTATAAATATGCACAGTTAATTGAGCTACCTATTAAATGTATTCCACTTTATCCTGTATTTATCTAATTTATTACAAAAAAATTATAAATATTTTCAGTTACCTGCATTTTAATTTGACATATTTAGGTAAAAAAAATTAACCATACTCACTAAATTTCGTCATTTCAACTTTTATTATCATTAATTTGCATTTTATTAAGATAAGATTAAATAATAAATAGTAAAAATTTATCAATTAAAATAAGTAAGATTTATTTAAAATTAATTACAACAGTATTGTATGTACTTTATTTAGTAATAAACAAACGGCACCCTAAATTTAAATATCTTATCACACCTGCTAAAAGTACCTCAGTTAAAAGTATTTGTAAATTTGTATCATACCTAGATAACATTTATTTTTAGGAGCAAAAATGTATTAACATAAAAATATTGTAGCGATAGATAAATTCCTTTAAAACGAACATAAAAACCTGACTGCATGGATTTCCTAGTATTGAAACAAAAAATGTTTATCTGACAATGTGAATTAATAAATTAAAAAATGTATGAAATATGTTTTGTGTAGACTTTATTTAAAAAATGTATGAAATATGTTTTGTGTAGACTTTATTTAAAAAATGTATGAAATATGTTTTGTGTAGACTTTATTTAAAAAATGTATGAAATATGTTTTGTGTAGACTTTATTTATGCTTCATTTAAAGATTTTGTATTTCTACTTATACAGGGTGTTTCCGAACTTGGCGTCCAAATTTGTAGGGGTGATAGTTCGCATAATTTTTAAGAGCAATTGGCAGATTTCATTTTTCAAAAAAAATTATAATAAACAAAATAGAGCCATTATAAAAGAAAAATCAAAGAGCAGGTCCTATCCTGAGCGCGTAGCGCAATAGTCCTCAAAAACAGATGCGATTTACAATTTTGTCGATTCTAAGCATAGCGCGTGCGAGTCGAGGCGATCCTATCGCTGTGCAGGACCGTACCTGTTTATAATTTTTAATTATTTTTATTTTAAATATTTTGGAAAAATGAAATCTGCGAATCGGTCTCAAATTATGCGAACTACCACCCCTACAAATTTAGACGCCAAGTTCGGAAACACTTGTATAGGTTTATCTTTTGTATGTTTATGATAAATATTAATATTCCACATTCAGTTTGCTTTTTGTTGTTATTAGGTACATTTAACTTTTTCACATTGATTTATACTTAAATTGTGTATTGTATTTGGTTATTCTATTAGTTAATAAATTATTATTATTAACAATGGGCAACAAATATTGTTTTTAAACATTATTTTTCAAGGCAATATATGGAAAATTATACCGTTTGGTATGTACGAAATTAAAATATAAATAGGTCATTTTCTGGAGATGTAACATGCAAAATATACATTTTTGGGTGATTTAATAAAAAAAGAAAAATATCCAGAAATCAGTATTTATTTCCAAAATTCAGCAATCCTACATAATAAATTATAAAAAGTATTGTATTATTTTTTTATATATAAAAGGAAAGGTTTTATTAGAGTTATCTAGGGTTTTATAATTTAAAATTTTATTAAAAATGATTTCAACTAACCCACGTAACTTTAATATTATTTTTTCCTTATAGTTCATATTGAACATTTTCCTTGGTTTTAGGACTAATATAGGAACAAAATAACAAATATTAAACCGATAAGTCACTTCCTATTTGAACGGAAATAAGATGAACTTTGAAATTTTAAGTAGGTCATCCTGTATTTTATCTATTTTATTATGCCGTAATAATCTTCACTTCTTATTTACGTACCAAAAAAGAGCTTTACTCATCAAATTAATCAGTTTATTTTCATTATTTTGACAAAATTATGTATTTACGCTATTGTCAGATTTTCCGTTTTTCCGAAAATATAACGAACTTTGTTATTTCAAATAGATCACCTTGTACATTTTTCGATTTTTAAATTGTTTAAGAAATTCTGAATATTTTACAACTAATGTTATATTTATATTTTTGTTTTGACATTTTTTTTACAAAATAAAATTTTTTGTTATTTTAATTTTCTCATTTTATATATATTTAACACCTAAAGGCTGTATGTCACGATACTAAATTAAGTACTAAATTTAGCACTAAATTAAGTTATTAATTTAGTACTAAATTTAGAACTAAAAATATTTTTTTTCCGTTTGCAACGATACCAATTTTTAGTACTAAATTTACTATAGGCGCACGCGCATTAACGTATTAATACGTGAAATTAGCAGAGAAATGAAATATTCTGTGTGAAACAGACAAGTGAAGTAAATGGTGTTTTTATTATCAATTTGACACTATATAGTTGACTTGACAACCAAATACAGCATAATAACCACGAAAAAAACACAATAAAACCTACAAAATCAAACAAGCGAACTTTATTCAAGGCGATAATGTAAAATTGTCGCTAATTAAAAATAAAAAGGTACAGAAAATACCGTCGTGTCAACTTTTTCTATGAAAAACTTCTGCGCAACATTTCGGCGCACTTTTAGTACTAAATTTAGTAGAAAATAGAACAAGATCTAATTAATTAATGACTTTTTTTAGGACTAAATTTGCTGTTTGCAACGTGAATTTTTTTATTACTTAAAAAATGCATTAATTTAGTTCTAAATTTAGTACTTTATTTAGTATCGTGACATACAGCCTTAAGTTAAAGTGAAGAGACTTAAAATAAATCCACAACAAAAAAAGGGAAGCATCTTGTAACTATATGAAACTCTTGGCAACACTGTATAAAGATTGCAAAATAGGTTAGAATAGAAATATCATCTCTTAAATTTTGATTCAAGTTTTCTCTAAAAATGAAATGAAATCCGCTATTTTTTTTATTTTCTATATAAAATGAACTTTTAAATGTTAATTTTTTTTTACAAATTCTGATTACCCAAATTTTACCGGGAACGAGTGTGTTAAATCATTTTAGTCTCCCTTCCTATCTTTGAAATAATTTTAAACAATTTTCTATATTATTTTATCATGGAGTAAAGTTTAAAAATTGACACCCGAATGTCAGAATTTAGAACAATCTATTAAGTGGACCAATTCAAGTTGTACGACCCTCCTGTTGACCTACCAATTAATTTTTAATAAGTCGTACATTTCATAAAAGATTCATAAATTTCACTTGCTCGATAGGATTTTAAATTTGGCTTGCATTTACTCAAATTTCCTAATTTAATAAAAACACCTTGTAAGGTAAGCACAAGCAAAGCAGTATGACCGGCATGTTGATTGTCAATGTCATTATTGTTAAATAGTAAAATACCCTGTGTCTCAATTAAATATGTATTTAAAATGCATCACTATTTATTATGAACTATAAACTAGAAGCATAAATAAATATAAATTAATTTATACCTCTACTAAATCGTCGCCGACACTCACTGTCACTAGTCACTTATAAAAGTGTTGTTCGATGTTCCTGTTCCCGATACCTACGATTTTAGAGTTATATAACTTTCAATGTCAAAATTTTACACTTTTATGTTCGATTATACAGCCCAGAATTTGTAAATATGGTGGACAAGTGTTTCCAGTGGCGTACTATGATAAGAAAATAGAAAAGTATACATGAAAAATTACAGATTTCATTTTAACGAATAACGCTTTTGATAACTTTAGTATCAGTTTAAAATAATGATTTTTCCTAATTAATAAAACGTGTCCTGTTATTGTTTATGTCGATTTAGTTTATTTCAAATTTAAGTTAAAATATTAATTAAACCACGTAAAATTTTATAGGAATCATTTTTTTTTTTTGTGAAATGTGCATAAACTTTATGTATCCAGGCATTGTAGTGCTCAAAGAGCGAGTCGCATTCCATTATACATAGGGCATCCCAAAAAAATGTATACACATGAGTAAAAGTTTTCTTACATTTCTCAAAAAAATTATTCCTGATAAAAAGTTCTGCATCAATTGATAATCCATAATCAAATATTAATTTTTGTAAAAATAGACGGTAATGACGGTATATAATTTTTTCTCATGTGTATTAAACTTTTTGGTATAGTATAAATTCACACTATGACGTGCCCTTCGAGCGCGTCGTTAACAGCAATGTCTACCCATACAATTATTGTTAACGATCGATTATACAGTGCATCCCAAAAAGTTTTATAAAGATGAATAAATGTTTTATCTTACTATTCACAAAAAAAAATTAATATAAAGGTCTGCATCACTTGGGATTTTTAAGCTATTGCATAGCTTTTATCGCGGGCTTTGAGCGCGGCGACCGAATCAAGAAATTCCGTAACGAAAATAAATCTAACACCCCCCATTCCGACCGGCACAGCGGTGCGGCGTTGAAAGCCGTGCATCGTCTAACGTCGTTTTAGTTCGGCACGGTGTTTGTGTGCGTGCGACTAGATGTATGTGTGTAGATTAGCTGCTAACTGCTCATAACTGATTATATCTCTTTATTTAGACACAATTTCGGAAAAACTGAATTTGAAAATGAATAATGATCCACAAGAATCCACAACAAAATATGGGACCACCATTGACGCGGTATTTTCCGGATATTTAGAGGATATCAAGTCTCAAACTTATGTTTCTTATTTCAGTTACTATAAACCTATAGTTTCAATGATAAAAATTCCTGAATAACCTATTGTAAGATAATAAAAATATTTTAAACAATATTTACTTCTCATTTATTCAATAAAAGAAAAAAATTGTTTTCTTATCGGTCACCACGCTCAAAAAGTGTAACTTGAATTAATATCAAAGAAAATAAATAATTATAATTGCATAAGTTGATAAAAAATGCTATGCAATAGCTTTACCGTGACAATCCCTTAGTTCCACATGTATTTTTAGTTATGATTAGAATGTTCATGAACACAATACAAGAAAAAAATTTAAAGTTTATAAAGCCAAAAAAAATGGCTTTTCAAACGCAATATTTAAAAGAAAACTGTCATTATTTGCAGACTACTTGATGTTTTTCTTCTACAATTATATTTTGTAAAGTTGACTTTGTTTTATAATTTTCAATCAATTCAAAATCTTTATTTAGTTATTAATTACAGATTGTTTTACTTTTAAATGCTTATTGGCCATAAATATATATTTCTATTTTAAATGTAGTGTGTTGCCATTTAAATTACTTATGTAGACTAAATTAACGATTTGTATATTATATGAAGTTCTTATAGCTATACTAGGCAAAATCACTGCTTTTTTAGATGGAACATTATTTTCCAGTGAAAAAAAAAAACTGTTACTGTGAAATTGCAGTACACACCCACCTCTACTCTGGTGTTCATTTGGTCGCCTTGTTAACGGAATATATACAAATTTTATTGCAATCTTTTCTAATAATCACAATAAATGAGTCAACCCTAAAAATACTTGCAATTTTAAATCAAAACTATTAAGCAATGGCCTTGAATTTTAAAAGTATAAAATGTACCTGTTTGTGAGTCACCAGGATGTACCAATCATTCTTCTCCTTATTACTTTTTTTTTATTAATAATAAATGCCATACACATATTATAGGAAAACAATTTTATTTTTAGAATACAATATATTGAAAAATTTAAAGCTAATACAATAGGCAACTGGCGTAATACAATTCTATTAGTTGCCCCTTATTATTTTTGTCAAAATTACTAAATCAAAAGGGTATTCTGAAGACCTGTAAGTGACAAACCTATATCCATAGCGACAAAATTATTAAGTAAATATGTTTTTAACGAATAGTCCAATCATTATGTTGTAAAAGGGAAAATAAATGATTTAATGTATTTTTTCAAGTTTAAATAAAAATAATTCATTAACAGTAAATGCTACATAAAAACTAGTTTTAAATAGGTATTTTTTGCAACATAATGATGGTAAAATAAAAGAGAAATACTAAAAAAGAATAATATAGATTTAAATTAGTAAAATAGATAATATAAGTGGACATTTAACACATTTTGTGCACCGGACACTTATTTTTATATCGATACATACGAAAATATAACTGAATTGTTGCCCACAGAAGGAATTTAAACAAAAAAAATAAATGAGAACTGAAGAGAAAAGGGGTTTATTTTGTTAGTGGATACATAATTTTTTTTATCCCCCTCAGAAAATGAATTAACACACAATTAATATAAAATATAGAATATTTAAATCATAACACAACGATGCTTCTTCTTCTTTTTAACTTGTAACGCAGCCCGAGTAGCATTTTCAAAAACTTCTCTGACACCTTCCTTACTTTTAGCTGAACATTCTAAATACGCGAAAGCATTAATCTTTTCTGCCATTGACCTTCCATCTTGAGGTTTTACTGGTTCTTGTTTCATTTTTTTAAGTTCGTTAATAGTTGTTGGATCATTACGCAAATCCTTCTTATTGCCTACAAGGATAATTGGCACATTTGGACAAAAATGTTTTACCTCAGGAGTCCACTTCTCCGGGATGTTTTCTAAGGAATCAGGTGAATCTACTGAGAAACACATTAAAATCACATCGGTGTCTGGATATGAAAGAGGACGTAAACGATCGTAATCTTCCTGGCCAGCCGTATCCCATAAGGCTAGCTCGACTTGCTTTCCATCCACTTCAATATCCGCCACATAGTTTTCGAATACTGTAGGCACATACACTTCGGGGAATTGATCTTTACTAAATACTATTAGAAGACAGGTTTTTCCGCAGGCTCCATCCCCAACAATTACTAATTTCTTTCGTATCGCAGCCATCGGACCTGCCAAAACCAAAACACAAAAGTTAACGCCTATTCAACTACCAACTAAAATGGCTGACATTAAATAAATCACGAAAGCAAGAGCGGGGATATCAGGTATAGATAAGGATCATGCAAAAAACGCACCCTTTCCGTAGTCCTCCTTATCAGAACAACAACACAACATTCAGAGCACCTGTTTTCTGATTATTTTTTATACTTCTAGCTTCTAAACGGTATTTCGTTTTTAACAAAAAAAATCTAGAAATTTATTTTATCTGGTAAACAAAAGTTGGGTGTCAATTATTTACGTTACTGCGCTTGCGTTTGATTTAGAGAGCAAAAAAGCGAATAATTCGAAGTTGTTCGGAGCAAACGACCGAACAGCACAAATTTTCTTCTTTTTTTTTGCATGTCTGCTACTAGCTGGTTGTACGTTGTTTACAGGTCTACTAGAAATAGATATACTTGCTTTTATGTAGAAAAAAAAACTAAAAAAAGTTGCAGTTTTCTCTTTCTCTCACGTGTAGTGACTGTGGAAAATACAAATATACCCTTCAAGTAGCGAGTAAAGTAACTCTAAAATTATCTATAAACAACCAGCGTTGCCAGAGCTGCTGTTTGTAATAGATCTCATTTTAAACAAATGCTAAGCCGCTTAAAATCTACTACGTTTTAATGGACGACTTTTAGCGAAAAATAGTAACGCTAGCAAGTTATGATATGGCAACCCTGTGGATCTGTTGTCTTTGACAAGGTCAATGATACACATATATTTATATAGATTACTCAAAGCGGGTCGTTCGCGAGTAGCCATATTACTTGGCAAATATTAATTCAAAACTCTTTAATCTTTATGGCTTATTCAGAATCGGTTTAGAAAAAAAAATGTTTTCGACGGATTTTTACGTGTATCTGTATCATCGAGATAGAATAAAGTATAGACTATAGACGACACTATTTTACTTTATGAAATATATGTTATTTATGCTTACAAAAAATTCTTCAAATAAAAGTTGCTTGTGATGTTATTCCCTACAATTTTTGCCCTATACAGAATATTCCTGAAATGCCATTCTCTACAATTCCTATCCTATACATGATTTACCTAAAATGGACCGTATTCGAGATATCTCAGAAAATGCATGTTTATTTTTAAATTGATATCAATCTATATAACTATCTATCTCATTGACCCTATCAAGTCACCAGGCCCACAGGGTTGTCATATCATAACTCACCTCACGGGCAGCATTTTGACAGGTCATTGGAATTCTTAATTTGATTAAATTGGTTGATTAAATATTTAAATTTCTGTTTTACCAGATCACGTGTATACAAGTATTGTTGAAGACTCGTTATATAGATTGCTGATCTATGTAAATTGGACCACGAAAAATTTAAATCTATTACGATTTTAATCATAAATCTACTAATAATTTAGGCAACATCGCAGCCCATCAACTCTAAATGTCAGAATAAAATTGTTTGTTATGTGTTAAAATACCTATTTTTTTTTCGTATGGGAAAATTATTTTAGGCTATCGAATGTATACTGTAAGAACAAATATTTCATATGGGAAAAATATACCATCGTTCGATTCTAAATATTTAACAAACATCCATAATTTAGTGTTAAAATTCGATCGTTCAAAACTTAAAACATATTTATTTATTATCCCTTTATTATAATGAAAGTTAAAGTGCATATACTTTCAAAATCTACAGCCAAAATTTGTAGTTGACTGGAGAATTCATTTCAGTCTGTAAAGGAATCCTTGGAGGTAAGAATTTTACTATATAATGAATATAAAATATAAACAAATTGATATGTTGACATTTTTGTTATGGAACGACTGCTCCTCTTAATCTTTTAGGTTCCTACATATTTTTTTGTTTTCTAGGTACATTTTTCGGTCAATTTTAAATAGTTTGTTACAAGGAAGTAGATTTTTAAAAGTTGGGCTTGAGGTTATGAATTATTTTATTTACAGAAAACTAAATGGTTTTATAACTATGCCATCCTGTAGTTAAAATGCATATTCTAAAGGTATAGATTAAGTACAAGTTAATTATGCACTTTTGTGCATATTTCTTACATGACATTATGAAGAAAAGTATTTACTTGTTACTCATGAAAAAGTTAATTTAATTTTCAACCTACATTCTAAGCGAATCTCTTAAAAAATACCCCTTCAATATAATACACCTAAATGACTTTAATATTAAAAATAATAAATAACAAATCAACAAATAAAATTTTCCCAGAAGTCATGACTGTCAAAATTATTTCTTTTAACTAAAGGTGGGAGATGGTCAACTAACTTATTAGTTCCAAAATATTCAACTGCTGCTCTCTTGAAATAAATCTACATTGCTTAATTTTTTTCTTAATTGACATTTGGTAAATTTGTCATTTACATTGATTTAAAAACATTTCATTTAAAAAATTGATGTGATAATTACTAAAAGTATGATAAATGCTCTCTAGCAGCAGGAATTGAAGTATCTCAAAAAGAAACTAAAAGCAAAATTATATTTTTTTCCTTTTTGTACTTATTAGCATTATTAGATAATTTGCCAGAAATAATTTTACAAGCTATTCTCTATGTCTTATTTTGAAGGAAATTTTGAAGAAAAAAATAAAGGACCCCGCACAAATCTTATGGAAATTGGGTCCCGGTCAACTTCGCTGAATTTTTGATATGTGATAGAGTTCATCATACTGGTCAATTGTCTCAATAGCCACAAAGCTCAAAAATGGATAGTTTGGCCGGTACAGAGCTTTAAAGCTCCGAGTATCCTCCAGGGACTTTTGTATATGCGCAGTGTGTATAGACTTTTGAAATAGCTTATTTCATTTTTTTTTGTTATCTAGGTTTAATTTTTGAGGTTGCTGAATTCAAATCTGTTGTTAGATTTTCAAAATTGACAGTTGACAGCTGTCAAATAGCTGTCAATGTGCTATAATAAAGCCAAAAACTTGTTTTTTTATGTTTTATCTTTCTTTTTTTTAGTTCGATACGTTCAAAGATGATATCAAATCAATAACAATGACTATCGGCAGCTGTCATTTAGCTGTCAACAATTCTTCAAAGTCCGGTAATAAAGTCAAAAAATTATTTTTTGTTTATAACTTCAAGTTTTTTAGATAAGTGAATATAAATATGATATAAAATTATGTAGTCATCAGCTTACAGCTGTTGATATCAAAATGCAATAATAGAGCAAGTAACTTATTTTTTGTGCTTAACTTTGTGGATAAGAAATCAAACATGATATAAGTATATGACATCACTTTTGAACTCGGTGATCTAAGCAACTTAAAGCTTTTTAAAAAAAGTAACTTTTTGACTTTATTATTGCATTTTGACAGTCAGCTGATTAATAGGGGACAGCTGTAAGCCAAGAATTTCCAAATAGAAAAATACATTGATGCTTTTTGTCATTGTTAAAGTTTATTCCCAATTATTTTTGAATGTTGAAACTTTGGCTTTTACTCTTTTAGTAATGCTTAAATTTACTTTTCTACCGTCGCCATTAGCGTAATCCAATGTGCACCGCGGGGAGGTTAGACGATCGGATTTTGCACTGAGTTCAAAAGTGATGTCATATACTTATATCAGGTTTTGATTTCTTATCCACAAAGTTAAGCACAAAAAATAAGTTACTTGCTCTATTATTGCATTTTGACAGTTGACAGCTGTAAGCTAGATGACTATGTTTTATATCATATTTATATTCACTTATCTAAAAAACTTGAAGTTATATTACCGGACTTTGAAGAATTGTTGACAGCTAAATGACAGCTGCCAATAGTAATTGTTATTGATTTGATATCATCTTTGAACTTATCGAACTAAAAAAAAAGAAAGATAAAACATAAAAAAACAAGTTTTTGGCTTTATTATAGCACATTGACAGCTGCCAACTGTCAATTTTGAAAATCTAACAACAGATTTGAATTCAGCAACCTCAAAAATATAAACCTAGATAACAAAAAAAAATGAAATAAGCTATAGAGAAAGTAAAAGTTGAAAAGTCTTTTGGTAGGTAAAGAGGGGGTAAACGTCAAACCACGTCGGGCGGCTCCGAGAATTTCACAGTAATGTTTACCTGCCAGTGTCGTTTCATAGAATAAGTAATTTTAAATTGTTATCGGCGGAACCGGACAATCGCATGTATTTATGGATTATAAATAATTATTAAACATGTATTATAATATTCAAATTATAATTTTACAAAATTTCAACAGCTATTCACAATTTATTAAACTATTTACTCGAAATTGTTATTAACGTCTATAAAATAATTTTGTACGCTAATGTATCGGGTCCACTTCGGTGAGATCCGCTGACAACCTGTCAATTTATGTGTATAAAGTGGGAGAACTGGCAAAAGCATTTCCAACTTTTACTTCTGTTCTATTTCAAAAGTCTATACACACTGCGCATATACAAAAGTCCGTGGAGGATACTCGGAGCTTTAAAGCTCTGTACCGGCCAAACTATCCATTTTTGAGCTTTGTGGCCATTGAGACAATTGACCAGTATGATGAACTCTATCATATATCAAAAATTCAGCGAATTTGACCGGGACCCAATTTCCATAAGATTTGTGCGGGGTCGTTTAAGTTAGTATTACAACTCATAACAAATAACTATTGGACAATAAATAATGGCAAGACTCTCTAGAATAGACAACCAAATTTCTACTCCTATTTTCATATCGTCTAGAGGTGGAAACAGCTTTAAAATAACTGTAATGTTACATTTGAATAAATATTTAATTTACATGTTGTTGGTTTCTATGCACACATCAATGGGCTCCATGCACACAGTGTTGCCGTTTAGATGAAAATTTCCCGTTTATGTGGAAATTTTGACTTACAGGAATAATAAAAATACACATTTTTAGGCAATGCTAAATAATTCAAAACAAGGACGGTGGAGGTACAGTCTCGGACCCTCAAATGGGCAACTGCCTTACATGCTTCAAGGAGCCAATGCAGACGGCTCTGAACGAAACTGTACACCAAAAAAGTAAAGAAGGTAAGTATTATACAGGGCGTAGTCGAAATTGTTCATGTTCTTTTAAAATCCTACGGCGAAAAAGTAAGAATCGATTGTAAAAAATAAGCAATTTTTTTTAAATTGATTATTTAATGAACGGAATTTCCAGAAATGACAGAAGCTCCGTTGCATCCAGCTCCCAGTCATGTGCCGGCTTCAGCTGCACCTTCAGAAACGATCATTAGCAATGGCAATCATCTGTCTTCTGCTTTGGAAGTGACCACGGCCATCAGCCGTCTGTGTCCATCTACAAGAAGGATCTATTCGAAATCTGCGCCTATCATGGGTATCGTGGAAAGCAAACCTTCAGAGACCAAACTCACTAATCTATTTGAACAGTATAAAGACAAAATCGAGGATAGTATCCTTGCTGAAGGTACATTATTTTTGTAGTAGTAGTGTAAAAAGAATCGATTGTAAAAATAGTAAAAAATAATCGATTTAAACAATAATCTATTGTAAAAAATCGATTTAAAAACGAGTCTATTGTAAAAAATTGATTTAAAAAAGAATCTATTGTAAAAGAATATTTTTATTGTGAAAGAAATTCATTAGGTTATTGCGAATTATTAAAAAAAGATTATAAAAAATAATCGATTGTGAAAAATCGACTGTAAAAGTAATAGTAAAAAAGAATCGAGCAAAAAAATCGATTTAAGAAAAGAAGTAGGTGGATTCGAATCCCCCATTGATAGATTTTTCAATTTTTTCATAAATTTGTTTTCTTGGTGGTTCAGAAATTTTTATTATTTCGTAGGTGTAATAGAGAATTTAAAAAAAGAATTATTTGTGAAAAGAAATAGTAAAAAAGAATCGATTGTAAAAAATCGATTATAAAATATGTTCATTTAAAAAAAAATTGATTATGAAATAAAAAAGATATCGATTATAAAAAAAGAATCGATTGTATAAAAATCAATTCAAAAAAGGATCGATTGAACATTTTTTTATCATGAAGTTATTAACATTTCTTTTAATTTTAGGTATAGAACAATTTTGTCAAGATTTGCAAGTATCTCCGGACGATTTTAAAATATTACTGCTAGCTTGGAAACTAAACGCCGAGCAAATGTGTTGTTTCACTCGAACAGAATTCATAAACGGACTTAAATCAATACGCACGGATTCAATAAAATCGTTACAATCCCGTCTACCGGAATTAGTTAGTGAAGTTGAAAACGACTATGAACTTTTTAGAGACTTGTATCGCTTTACTTTCCGATTCGGATTAGATTCGGCTTCGGGTCAAAGGATTTTACCGACTGACATGGCCATAATACTATGGAAATTAGTTTTCACGATAAGAAAACCGCCGATCCTTACGAGGTGGCTGAGTTTCTTGGAAACGCATCAAATCATCCGGGGAATACCGAAAGATACGTGGAATATGTTTCTGAATTTCTCCGAGCACGTGGGTAGCGATTTGAGTTGTTACGATGACAATGAAGCTTGGCCGAGTTTGTTCGATGATTTCGTCGAGTACGAAAACGATCAGGCCAATCAGAATATTTCTAAAGATATTGAAAAAGAGTTGGACGGGTTTATAATCGCGAAAGATTAACCGTTGTCGATGTACTTTATTCTGAATATATATTAAAAAAAAACGCCTAATTATTTTGTATGTAATAAAATGCAAATACATTGTTGTGATATGGTTGTAGCTGTTTTAAAGAATAATTAAAGTTTAAACGTTAAGGTAATTGTTTCGATTATTTATTTTTTGAATGCTTCAGAACCCCAAGAAAACATTAAAATTTGTTACATGCAACTAGGGATGTGCAAAATAATCGATTTATTTGGTAAAAATAGGTTAATCCAAATATTATCGATTAATTGAATAATAAAAAATAATCGATTAATTGAATAATAAAAAATAATCGATTAATTAAAAATAATCTATTCCTCTAAAATAATCGATTATTTATTTTTATTATGGGTCGTGCTATCGATAATTCGATATAAAACGATCGTTTGTAATATGTAGTTGAATTAGATATCAATTAATAATCGATAAATAATACCAATCGAATATAAGATTAAAAACCAATTAAATAATATCGATAATCTACTTATTCGGAAATAATTTAAAGATTCATTGAAAATAATCGATTTCTCGATTTATTGAAAAATCGAAAACGATCCACAAAACAAAAATAATCGATTAATTAAATAATCGAATAGTTTGAAATAATCGAGAAAACCGATTATTTTAAATATTCAATTATTTATTTTCATAATCGCCCAGTCCCACATGCGATCCACTGGTTGTCGATTTAAAAAAAGAATCGATTGATAAAATCGTCAATGGGAAAAGATCGGCTGTTAAAAGTAGTCGTAAAAATCGATTATAGAATAGAACCGTTAGTGAAAATCATCTGTGAAAAGTAATAGTAAATATAAAAAAATGATTCGAATATGAAAAAGAATCGATTGTGAAAATTCGTCTGTAAAAAATAATAGTAAAAAAGAATTGATAGATTATTCTTGAAGATTGTAGAAAAATCGATTGTTAAAAATAATCAATTGTTTAAATGCGTGCGAATGGGGCCATTTAAACAGATTGATTAAACAGAAAGATGGTAAAATAACAATTGATCATAAGGCAAATTTAAAAACAGTTATAATAATAATAATAATAATAATTTTTATTTCATTTTATTTCTTTGCAAACAATTTTTTACCTATTTTACATTGACTTTTATTTGCATTTACATAAACATCTTCCCATTATTCGAAACAAAAATAAATGATTAATAAGCAAAAATTAATTAACTTATACACAAATTATACATAATATAACTTTATTATTTATAAATTTATTGCCTTAATTGTGAAAGTTGTGCTTCAATTTCTTCATCGCTAATTCCTTTAGATTTTGAACGTTGCCCTATCTTTCCTGACTCTGGTAATGGCGCACCGGCCATCTAGAAAACAAACACATCCAATATATTACATGGATAAAGCAAAGAGGAGAATAACAAGAAAAATAATCTCAAAGGGCACAAAATGTAATATTTAAGGAAATGCAATTAAAAAGTTTTAATCAAGAATGAGGAAAAATTAATCTTTACCTTGCCACTCATTTCAATGCCGATTTCATCCAAAACTTGAGTGATAATGTTATCACTTTCTTCTTCATCTCCTGATTCACCTAACATGTCATCTAACGAGTCATTTACTGAAAAAAAAAAAAAAAAAAGTTCTAATTACAATATGTAAATGGATTTTTTTTTTAAATAAAAATAATGGTTTCTAGTTATGATTTTGTTCACTTCATCCAATAATAATTTTTATTTACTAAAATAAGTAATTTGAGTCCTTTTTTTTTAATGAGTTCTTCTATATTAAAACATCAAGTTAAATAATTTTAATTTATTTATACTAAAAATCACAAGAATGAAAAAAAATGCTAAAATCAAATTTTTTGTTATAATGGGCTTTTAGAGAAATACATTTTTAAAGAAATAAAAGGTTGAACTGTTAAATTAAAATAAACAAATGTTTAAAGTATAATTTAGATTTAAAAGAATAAATGGAGTAAAATAGAGTTTGACCCGATCTATTTAAATATTCAACTAAATACTCACTCATTTCATCTGTCATTTCCATTTTCATATTTTCCTTAGAAAATGCATTGATAGTAGCTGCAATTTGTTCCGGTTTCATGATCTTGTTCATGTCTGACATAGTTTTGCCTGCAGTACCCATGGCTTCTGCCAATTTGACATTAGCACCCATAGCTTTATTTTGAAACGCTATATTCTGCACTTTGCTGTTAGCTGTATAGGTTCGTTGTTTCTGTTTTCGAAGCGCTATTAATTGTTTCGCCAGAATTTTGCATCCTTCTGTGTCTCCGCTTTTGGCCAATTTTTTTATTTCTAGTTCCTTAAAAAATATCTATTTAAGAAACTTCTAATTCGATTTATATTTTCAAATAAGTGAGATAATGACTGCAATAAGAAGTTGTCAAAAATAAGAATATAGCATTGAAACTATTGAAAGAGGTTTTTCATGGATAAAGCAAATATACTAATTTTAAGCAATGAAAAATAATGTTTACCAATTTGTTCTCATCTCTTTCTAGTTGTCTACGATCTCTCTCTATGTCTCTTCCTACTTTTCTTAGTTGCCTATCTACTTCCTTCTGTTCATCTGTTGTGATTAAAAAAAATATGTCAATTTTCATTAGTGATATGACACATTTACTTTAAAAAAAAAATATATAAAAAGGTTAATGATAAAATATAAGTATTTCCATTTGTTTAATTATATATCAGTAGTGTTCTGTTATTGTGAATATTATTATTAATAAATAAAGAGACAAGGAAAATGATAAACAAGAACACATCATCAACTAATTATATCAGCAATGACATACCTTTTGGATCAGGCTTTGACCACAAATTAAACATTTTTAGTTTGGTTCTTAAATTTCCTTTTTATCACATACACATAATATTTTTTTAAATTTATTTTATATTATCTTCAGGCACAAAACATTCACTTTTCAAAAAGAAATATTAAAAACTTTGACAGTGACTTTTCTAAACATTTAATTTCTATTCTAACCTCAATGTTTTTTTAATCTGAACCATAGACATCATATCTTTGATCTGAACATTCTGAAAGGCCAAATATAAGGAAAAGTAGAATTTTTTTCTAACTGTTGCATGATTGGTGACCGTTCTGTAAATTAAAAGAAGATTAAGGCATGTGAAATGTTTTTATTTTTTGTAGAAAATTGGAAAAACTGCGAAAATATATCTATATATAAATAATACAAAAACGTTGTTAGACAATCAAAAATAATACTAATAGGTAGTTTCAGAAATCTCGAATCAAAAGTGATCTTTTACTAGATGAGTTAGCACACTAACAGCTGTAATATACTGCTTCTAGCTTCAGTACCACTTTTAAATTCAGTTATTTTAAAATTACTTTTTATTGCAGTCTCTCATTTATAAATAATGATGATCTTTAATCTTGTAGTTTAGGCGGTTTAAATTTCTAATGCGCATTTTCATGGCATTTTCGCACCCATTGCTCCTCTATCTAGTGTTGGCATCACTGAACTCTATACCCTGGGCATGCGCATTCTAACCACCTGTTTTTAACCCGCCAACTACAAAAACAAAATTACCGGTCCGCATCCATTTTGTTTTTTACATTTTGCAACAAATTTAGCACAAACACCTGTCTGTTCAGTTTAATACTTTGATTTTGTGTTTTATATTTAAACTATAAGGTTTTGTAATAAACTTCGTTTATTAACCGATACAGCTAAAATTATTATAAACACGAATACATACAGAAAATCACCTCAAATTCAAATCGACGCCAAAAATTTAAGTATAATTTGCAAAGAGGATAGAATTATACAGAATACTAGAAGACGCTATAAATTAGAAAACTTGGAGATTGGAAGCCAAACATGGTCAGACTATATGAAATCGAAAATAATGGAGAATGATCTCAAATTTATTGAGTGATTGAAAATAAACTACTTTCAAGAAATCTCAAAGAAGGGATAATATTGCACATTGGTTGTTAGATCTAGGTCTAGGATTAGGTAAGTTGTTTATTGGTCTATTAAGGACCGATTCCACCGTTGTGTTAAACGGAGTTTAAAATGATATTTTTACATTAACAATGTCATTTTAATCTCCGTTTAACACAACGGTGGAATCGGTCCTTAATTGTTTAATTTTTGTTACATGACACAATACATTATATGGTCAATAAAATTGAATAAAGTAAATAATTATATATGGATTATTACTAAAGGTCTCTGTACTTTATTGACGGATTAAATTTGATAAAATTTTGTTTTAAATGGTGTGTTTATACCCTACTATTATAATCCCATCCCATTTTGGCATTGACTCCAAATATGTTAAGAATGTTATGATTTTCTCTTAATCCCATCATCAGATCTTGACCAAATTTATATGGCTCTCGCTTAGGTACTCCATTTCTAACAAAAAAGAATCCTAGAAATTTGGCAACTTGGTTAAGAATTATCACTGACTATATCTCAAAAAAAATTGGAGTCTGTTAATAAAAATACCTGGTAGTTTTGTAGTTTACAGTCGTTTAGAGGTTCTGACAATTCAAGAGAATTGATTTTAAAAATACAAAACAATATTTTTAATGTAAAGTAAGTTATAAAAGTAATTTTCAAAAACAAACCCTTGAACAAGATTGCCACGTCCAAGATATTGGAGCTATAGAAGATTTAGATCAAGACGGCAAGTACCAAAAACTAAGTATGCACTTTTGTAAGACTAAGAACATTTACGAAGGTGCAGTTGCAACTATTGATAGTCCCATATGGTTATGTCAAAATGAGTATCAGCGAAAGCTCCGATTGTTTGGATAATTTATTTTCTATAATACTTTTCTACATAATATTTTTTTTTAAATTCCGACTTTAAACTCAAAATTTTGACTTTAAACGCGGAATTTCGACTTTGAACTCGAAATTTAGTATTTAAACTCGGAATAGCTGTAATGAATAACTGGATTCGCCCTAAAAAAAAGCTTCCATGCATGTACGTTTGAAGAAGGTAATTTCGATTTTACATACGAAATTCTGACTTTAAATGCGGCATTTTGACTTCACAATTAATATTTTGACTTCAAAGTCGAAATTTTTGGTTAAAAATCGAAATTCCGAGTTTTAAGTCGAAATTTTGGATTTAAAGTCTAAAGTAACTTCTACCAAATTATGTGGAAGCTTGTTTAGAGCAAATTCAATTACTGATTATTGCTGTTCCGCGCTTAAAGTGGAAACATCGATTTAAAACTTGAAATATCGATATTGAACGCAAAATTTTGATTTTAAACACGAAATTCCGACTTTAAACGCGAAATTTTAGTTAAAAGTGTCGACATTGAACTCAAAATTTTGAGTAAAAAGTCGAAATTCCAAGTTTAAAGTTGAAATTATTGGTTTACTACCTATCTCTGAATTAACTTACATATGGATGAGCAATCTGTATAATAATATACATCATTGACAGGAGAAAACTTGACATATGACATTTTCAAGTAGACACATTGACAATGACACTTAATTAAAAAATTGATGACAAACAAGGCTGCGAATGTGCAGATGTCGAAAAAAATTAAAAATTTCAACTTTTAGTTTCTCTTATCTCTTGTCCCGCTCACAAATTTAAGTCTCAATAGGACCCACCATCGGATCGCAAAAATTAGATAAATAACCAATTTATTATGTGTCTTTAAATATATAAACTACATTATACTTTCTCTTTGGTAAGTAAGATTTTCTAGTTATTTGATGTATCCAACCAAAATATTTTCTTATAGATTTCAATGTAATGGATCTAAATAGTCAAATCGGTTATATGTTATTAAACGAAGAAGGTGCAGTGCTATCTTCAACTGGCGATTTGGAAAATGACGAAAAATTTGCCAATTCGATAATGGGTTTGTTAAACCTTTCGTCGCAATCCGATTTAAACGACAATCTGAAAGCTTTTAAAAAAATTTCACTTACATTCGAAGGACATTGTTATATTATTTGCTTTTCGAATAGAAAAATTCAAATAGTAAAAAGGAAATTATAATTTTTTTTTTAAGTCTTTTAACAAATTTTTTCAAATGAACGTTATATTGTATTTAACGAAAATGAAGTTTATGCAAATGATTATTCTAATTGGTGGAATTTTCTTTTCTTTGTATCAACTTTATAATCTGCTTCAAAGTTTATAAAACCCAATGTAGGTATAGGTATTTTATATATAGCCTGATTATTAATTATCATTTTGAGTTGTTTATTTTGTATATTATTTTAGTTTAAACCTGTATAAAGACATTTGCTAAAATATGTTTTTTATAAATAGTAATTTATCCTTCGCCATAATTGGATTTAAAACAATTTGGTTTATTATCTTAAAACAATAAAATTTATTGCACAATAATATTTATTTATTTATTGATACCATTCTATCTACAGAACAAAAGTACACACCAAATTACATATCCCTACTTTCTGACAAAACTGACACTACTCAAAAACATAGATTTTTCAGAAGAGACTAAACAATTACCTTATGTAATGTAAAATATGCTAACGAAAATGATGATATTGTGTTGAATTATTAGTAATAATGACTATTCTAAAAAAATTGAGGCTTAATTGGGATAATGCAAGAAAATGGTTGAAAGAAAAAACGTTAGTTAATCTGTAAACATTAAAAATTAACGAAAATATAAATTTTTAAGATAAAAGTAATAAAAATATAGGTACCTAAATGTTAGAAGCTTATTTCTAGAACAGCACTATTTTCCTATTATAATTATGACTTTGATCATGCCCTAATTTTTATAAGTAAGCATTTATTAAGAAGAAAAGTGACAAGTAAAAAAGTTACGTGAAAACGATTAACAAGAAAAATTGGTTAAACTCAAAATGAAATGTTATATAAAATAAAGTATTAAAAAATACCTCTTCGATCAAAACCGTTTTAAAATAAAATGTGACATTGTTACCCAAATACAGAAACTTTTTGTCTTGTGTCAGTCTTTCTAAAAAACTTGTAATAAAATTAAATGCAAATTTGGTACTGTTTAATTTGTGACAATTTTGCACACAAAAGTGCGATGTTCTATAGAGAAGAGTGAAACTGTCAGGAAAAGCTCTCTGGCCAAACTATTTACAGTTGATTTTTGATGTGTCAATCTTGCAGGTGAATTAGACTGCTTTTTTAAGCACAAAAATTCAAATATTTAAGTTGTGACGGTCTTGTTGTGAAGCAGCGGTATATACAGCATAATATATTGATAAGAATTAAAATGAGGAATTTAAACAAAAAAAAATTGATGTGTCCCAATAGGTAACTTTCCTGTCCAGTTATTACAGGTTTTTTCCGGTCATTTTGTACAACCTATTGTATCACCCTTGCAAATGTTTAGAGGATAATTTTCCATATCTTACTCGAAACATTTTTTACATAATTGCCAACTGAAAAATTAAAATTTTACATTTTTCCTCAAATTTTTCCATTACGGTCCATTTTAGAGCAATCATGTATAGAATAAAAATTATAGAGAACGATATTGCTAGCAACTTTTGTTTGAAAAAGTTTTTTTAAATTTCGAATTTTCCACTTTTAGTCAAATTTCTCGAATACGGTCCATTTTAGGGAAATCATGTAGAGGACAAAAATTATAGAGAATGATATTGCAAACAACTTTTATTTGAAGAATTTCTTATCTCTTCGTAAATAATAGAGATATTCCTTAAAGTAAAAAAAAAAACGACACCTTATAAAGCAGCCCCAGATGCTTCGCGAATATGCCTAAAATTTAATTAGCCACAATTAGCTTAACAATTTTTAAATTTTGTTTCTTTTTATCCGTTTTTCAATTATATTCAAAAGTCGAAATTTGCACTTTTCCTCGAATATCTCAACTACGGTCCATTTTAGGGAAATCATGCATTGAACATAAATTATAGAGAATGACATCACAATCAACTTTTATTCAAACAATTTTTTTTAAATTCTAATTTTGCACTTTTTATCAAATTTCTCTAATACGGGCCAGTTTAGAAAAATTATATATATTACAAAAATTATATATCACAAGCAACTTTTATATGAAAAATTTCCATAAAAGTTCCATAAAATAGAAAAACTACTCCCTATAAAATATCCCTCAGATGTTTCGACTATGTCTAATCAGCTCACCGCAGGATGATTATGACTTAAATTTAAAATTATCCGTTCATTAGTTATCGAGTATACAGACAGACATCATAGCGAAAATGATCAAAACGGTTTCGTAGGACCCAAAAACGTAATAATCCGACGAAACCTAGACGTCGAAAAAATCATGATTCCTATACTTCCCTTGTAAATACAGACAGGAAAGTAAAAAAAGGGAATAGACGTCCTGAATTAATTTTTTAAACAATATTCTATTATTACAGGGTGTCCCACTATAAAATAACACTTAAATTTATTAATCGACAATGTAAAAAAAGGCATTTTTTTCCGACAGTTTCAGGAAAAATATACATTTGGCAACTATGTCAACAAATGTAAGAAGTTTAGTGAAAACTATCCGTCGATATCTTCTTTCATTCTAGAGTTACAAAATAGCTGTTACAATATATGTTACTTTATAGTATATAATATATTTAGTACACTACTGTTTAAATAATTTTAATTTATTGTGTAAGTCAAGAGAGGTTTGGTTAGATTTTTTTGCCCAGGAGATACCTATACACTTTTTTATATTATTGTGCTCTTTTCCTGTTCTTATTAACTAATTTTTCTGCAGTAATATTACATACTTACCAATAAACTGTAGGTTGCTTTTTTTAACATTGGCTATTTCTTCTTAGTCCGCTACTAAATAATTTATTTAAAAAATCCCCCGTTACATTTAATTACCAAACAATAACTTTAGCTTGATTGTTTTTTAACTATTGCATCTTTTTACTCTAGTCATGTTCTCATGAGCTAATTATTATCCTGAATCCCGTATCACAAAAAAAAATGCCAATGAGTATTATTTATCGATAAACTGTAAAAAAATTGAGTATTTGCAAATGTTCATCAAACAATAGGTATATGTATTATAATTACCTATAAATCTACAAAAACCTATTTAAATATTTATATCTGATTTAAATGTTTTTTTAGTTGATATTTTAATTTATTTTTATTGAAAACATAAACATACACAGCCAAATAAATTTATAAATACGTGTTTACATAAGTTTTTTTAGTAGAAATTACATTCTCTTCTTGAATACGCGGTTTTTTCTTGAAAATAATAAATATAGATGTGATCCTTGTGCTGCATCGACTAAACATCCATTTCGCTAATTTCGTAGACTTGAAGGCTCTTAGAAATTGTTCATTTGTGACGCCGTATATTAGTGGATTTATAGCGCAATTGATGAATATTAGATATTTGGAAACAAACCATAGCACGTAGTATAACTGATTTACCTAAAAAAACACAAAGGATAATTAGGTATTAACAAAGGAATTACTCTGATAAAGGGTATTTAATCATTTTTTACACTTTTGCTTCCCCTCATCAGTGGCGTAGGAAGCTTTTTGCGAAAGAGGGGATATAACTATACTATACACCAAAGTCATCAAGAGATCAATTGAATTGGTGGGGTATACCCAGACTTTTGTTAACTATACATATGTAGATGAAGAACTTTTTTTTTAATTATTACACTCATAATTTTCGTAGATTCGTATAGAAGATATTGATCCCTTCCTCCATTTACGCCACTATCCTTGGATACACGAAATCATAAGCGATCATGTCAGTGGGCAATTTTGTATTCGATAAAATATTCTTTCAAGGTAGCTATTCTTGAATTCGAGGGAGTAGAAAACCGATTTTAACCTCTTTATCTGCAACGCACAAGATTTGTATTTTTGTTTCATTCTTTCCTCAAAATTTCTACTCCCTGAGATTCAAGAATAGGTACGTCTCATGTTCGCCACTCCTATTTAGAGATGGCATTATTTTGATGTTGGCTTAAAAACAAATATACTATTTTATTCAATAGTTATATCCTGCTTAGATCAAACTTACTTGATATTTAACATCAGTCGAAGCACCTAATTTTTTTCCTTTTATTAGCTGATGGCGGTAAATTATAAACGCCGTAAATGGAAGTCTACAAAACATAAAGACTATTGTAACTATGAACATCATTATTGCAGCTTTTTTCTTGTAACTGATATGTTGCTGTCCAAGTTTTTGAATAGCAATTTTTTCATATTTATCCAGCTAAAAAAGACGAAATACGAGTGTTTAAATACGTCTGCATCATAGAGATATACAAAAAGTTATAAACCCAATCGTTCCTTTTTTTTTTTCGAAAACATTTGTGTCTCACTTCACATACATATCACACCAAACATCACATCACATATTTTCTTAACAATTTGAACCCGGTATTTGCGGTCTTTGAATGTTTTTCATACATTTTTTGATAGGACAAATTCATTCTACACTAATTGTTCATGCTCAAATATATAAATAAGCTATACAGGGTGAAATAAATAACATTAATTAATTTTAAGCTTACCTTTAGAAAAATAGATATATAACAAAGTATTTGGATAATCAAGGGTATCCAAACCATTACAGTTATAATTACATACCAATAAATATTAATAACCACTAAATTTTCTGTACAATATTTCTCCAAAAAGTTCAGCCATTGTCGTTCCTACAAGAAAAAAAAATGTACGCCAAAGTTTTTATTCATTTTTGAGTTAGATTGACTTCTAGTACCTTGTAAGTTCTATTTAAGAATATTGGGACAGACAGTAACAGTCCTACAATCCAAGTGATTGCCATCAGCGTCTTCGCCATTTTTTTGGTTATTCGAGTTTCTCTAGGTAAAACTATAGCTGTTAATCGATCGTAGGTAATAGCGGACATACTGATTACACTTGCAATTAGGATAGAACCTACAAGATATTAATGTTAAAAATGGTGAAAACAACATTACTTATTAAATTTTGTAAACTTATCTCAAAGTCATATTATAGTTAGAGTTATATACAAGGTGTTTCATTATATATGCGGAGGACTTCAGGATGTGATAGATCGTCCAAAAATATGAAAAAATGTTTCTATTAACTTACCCTCTAAAATGCACCATTTTCGAGATACAGGGTGTTGAAATTGAAAAAAAAAAAAAATTCTAAACCACTGGGAAAAGTACGGTTTTGAGACGCCCATTTGAACCGCCAATGGTTTCTACACAAAAAAGGTACTCTTGGTCATACGCTCTAAAGTCGACCGTTTTCGAGAAAAATCAAATTTTAATGTTGTTTGAAATTTAAAACCTACTTGATGAAACAAAATTTGATTTTTCTCGAAAATGGTCGACTTTAGAGCGTATGACCAAGAGTACCTTTTTTTGTGTAGAAAACATTGGCGGTTCAAATGGGCCTCTCAAAACCATACTTTTTCCAGTGGCGAAGAATTTTTTTTTCAATTTCAACACCCTGTCTCTCGAAAATGGTGCATTTTAGAGGGTAAGTTAATAGAAACGTTTTTTCATATTTTTGGACGAGCCATCAAGTCCTGCGCATATATTATGAAACACCCTGTATATATAAAAAAAGTAATTATTCTATTAGTTACTTATGAGCGCGAATAATACAATTTTATAGCTAATTATTGGTACCTACATTCTGCTGGTCCTTCTCCTTTACACCCAATCACTCCTAGCTGATAATTCTGAAAAAAATCGTAAGTTAACGTCACCCAGGGATGAATTAGAAGCGATAACAAATCAGCAGCCGCCATATTTCCAATCAGTAAATTGGTTGGTGTTCGGATTTTTAAATTTTTCCATAAAACGTGAATGACCATCACGTTTCCAAATATTCCGAATATAACCACCGGCAACACCGCTGAAGACTTCAAAATGATTTCGGAACAATCTTTGGATATCCATATTGTATTAATGAACGGTGTTGTTGCAGTATCTATCTGGAATATGATTATTATATACCAAGAAACTAGTGTAAATCTTTAATCGACTTGAGGGATTAAAATACATTTTAATCCCGCTGTTTTTTTGAACCGTCAAGGCTGAAATATCCCTCAGTGGTTTTAAAAACTGTTAATAATCATTTAAAAAACTATGAATCAGTTTACTGTTGTTTTAAATAATACATTTCCACCAAAATCAAGCCAAAAATGTAAAGAGAAGCAAATTGAAGATTGTAAAATTGTTTTTATTGTTTTTTGAATGCGGGATTCAAATTTTTTTGAGCCCAAGCGAGTAAAATAAATTTTTATAATGTAGATGGTTTGCACGAGTTCAACTTTAAAATTGCATTTAAAAGATGGTTAACTACCCTTAGTGTATTATTTTTGTTATTTCAGAATTATTGTTTACAAGTAATTAATGCAGAATTAAATATAGTTAAACTGGAATATTCTGATATTTGTGTCACTAAAATAAATCTAAAAGTCAATCATCGGACCATTGGCATTACAGGTGTATACAGGTCTCCTCAAACCTCTGCACAAGCATTTATAAGGGATTTAGAAAATTTCATACCAAATCACCTAAATAGAAATATTGAAATATCCATAGGGGACAATAATATTGATCTCTGTTGGGTACTAATTAACAGTGCTGTTCCTAAAGTGACGCTGGGAAACAGTAACAAAGCCTACACAGAACACGAGGCTAATAACCATAGCAGTTGATGCCGATGAAACAAAAAAAAAATATTGATCTCCTAAATGTAACCAATCAAGTAACTACTGATTACCAAGCAACTTTTTACTCCCATGGTTTCATCTTACATAAACACTATTACGAGGCCACAAAGTAAAACATGCTTGGATCATAGATTCTTAAAAAAACCATATTTAGACTGAAAATCTATCGATGAACTCTTATGTAATCAGCTGTGATATGACTGATCATGATCCTATTATGATAAATATCTCACAATCTGCCAAAAACTACACAAGTTCCTACAATACATATAAAACTATAATTAAAATCGATACTGATAAATTAAAACAAAAATTTGAAACTGTAAACTGGGAAAGTGTTTACAATGAAAATAATCCATAAATTGCAACACAACTTTTTTATGACACGTATCTTAATATCATTAAAACATGTCAAACCACTCAAAATATTAAAATTAAAATCCATAAAAAAATAAAGCCATGGATAACAAATGGTTTAATTAATTCTATTAAAACTAGGGATAAACTTAAAAAAGATCTACAAAAAAACTATACATTAACAAACAAACTCATTATAAAACATTTAGAACTAATTTAAATAAACTAATATCAAAAACTAAAAATGACTATTATAACAATAATATAAACCAAAACAAAAATGATCTGAAAAAAACTTATCAATTAATCTCTGAAGCAACTAATGAAAATCATAAAAAAAATAATACCAATTTACAGATTGTTAACCAACATAATGAGGAATTTGAAAATGATAATAAATGGCGAATTACTGCAATAACTACTTTTCGACTATTTGCACATGTTTTTCACAAATATCCCTGAATGTAATGTGGATTTTCCTGTGTGACTAAAAAATCAATGTTTCTGAAACCGATATGCGAAAACGATATTATAAAACACATAAATAGTTTAAAAAACAATAGTGCCCCGAGATTTGATTGTATAACAGTAAAACATCTGAAACTACTACATCCGTATTTACTGGAACCTTTAATGCATATAATTAATTGTGCTTTTAATACAGGAATCGTACCTAAACAATTTAAAACTTAAATTATAACACCTATTTATAAAGCTGGTAATACAAAATTAATAACTAACTATAGGCCTATTAGTTTAATTAGTAATGTGGCCAAAATATTTGACTGACAGATTTTTTAAAAACTAATGACTTACTTCCCAAGCAGGGTCTTAACTCAGGAGATGCTATGCATGAATTGATTTCATATGTTACTGATGAACAAGTGTATAGCTATATTTCTAGATCTAGCAAAAGCATTTGACACGGTGCCACATCAGAAGCTCTTAAATATTCTTGAACAGAAAAGAGTGAAGGTTTTTGAAAATTATTTGACACACAGACAACAGAAGATAAAGGTCAGAGGCAATGTGAGTAACCCTGAAAATATACAAATCGGAGTGCCGCAAGGGACTGTTCTGGGACCTATACTATTTAATTTATACATTAAGAGCTTAACTCAGATTGATATTCAAGGTAAAGCTGATGATACAGTGCTAGTCTTCAGTGATAAAGATTGGGAAGCTGTCAAGATACGTGCTATGGCTGGAATGGAATATGTCAAAAACTAGCTGGATGTTTTTAAATTGTCTTTGAATGTTAACAAAACAAACTACATTGCTTTTTCAAAGACAGTGGCTGATCGGCCTCAATTTAGAAGCTTAACATGTCAAAATTTAGACATACAGGAAACAGAAACATCCAAATATTTAGGTATAATTATAGACCAGCACTTAAAATGGGACTGATATACAGGGTGGCTCACGCTCAACGGGACGGAGCTTTATGGGAAAACGACCAAAGATATAAAAAATTCGTTTGGGAGGAATACGTAGGTTACAGACGGCTACAATTTAAAATTTGTTAGATGTATACAGGATGTCCCACATAAGAAAAAAAAAATAGTTCATTAAAAATTATTCAAACAAGAGTAAACAATTAATTTCTGGGAGACTTTTTTTCCTTAAAAATTCAAATAAATCGAAAACTAATAATAATAGTAATAGGGAACCTTTAGTTAACTGACATTATTTTTGATGTAGTTTTTAATTCTAAAATAAAAAACAGGGTGTTCCATTAAAAATAATATAACTTTGTATATTTTCTCTTATGTGGGACATCCTGTATACATCTAACAAATTTTAAATTGTAGCCGTCTGTAACCTACGTATTCCTCCCAAACGAATTTTTATATCTTTGGTCGTTTTCCCATAAAGCTCCGTCCCGTTGAGCGTGAGCCACCCTGTATAATATACATATATAGCAAAAAAACTTAGATTTCTGATTTATAAATTTTATCTTCTAAAACAATTTCTCAACCAGGATCTACTAATAACATTATACTACAGTCTAGTAGAATATATACTACGGTATGGAATCCTAGTATGGGGAGGCCTGTATGGAACTACATTAAATCAGTTAATATTCAAAACAAAATGTTGAAGTTAATATATAAAAGAGCTAGATTGTGTCCCACCATAACTTTATATAATGAAAAAATTAGCAATGCTAGATGTTTATATATTCACGCAGTGTATTGTTATATAATACAAAAAAATTAATTTTTAAAAAACCCTTTAGAACATAGACATAACACTAGAACTGCATCGAACATGTGCATTAAAGTACCAAAACCAAATAGTGAATTATTAAAAACAGTGTAAATTATCTAGGGACAAAGTTCTATAATGCTCTACTCTTCATATAAAATTATTAAACAAATATTAAAAATTCTGTAGTTAGCAAAATATACATTTTCCAAAATAATGCAAAGTTTATCAGAATATTCCAAGAATAACGGACTTAATACATGGATTTTTTTAAATAGTTTTTTTTTGTTTCTTGGATAAATTGTTCAAGTTTTATTTTTTATTTAAAAAAAAAAGTTTTTTTTTGTATTTCCTTTATAATTCATTAAATATAATTAAAATAAAATTTAAATTTTTGTCAGCACATCCAGGTGTTCTTACCTAGGTGCTTGTTATTATATAATTGGTTTCCATTATTGTACTTTATTGTAACTTATTTATTATTGTAACTCATTGTAACTTATAACTATTAAACAATTTCAAGCAATAGCAATCTATCATTTTGTGAATTGTTGAAAAATTAATACGTACTTACGTCTTCATATTCTGAGCCATTCTTGTAACTGTAAGTATCCATTTACCTACACTTATTGTAACCTTGTTATTATGGTAGATTTTCTAATATTAACACGTCCTGTTTTTAAAATCTGTGCAGGAATTGATGCCATAGTATCAAAATTGAATTGTGTTTATCTTACACTTTACTGTACCATATGGTTTGCTGATAAGCTCCATTAAGTAATCTTTATAGAAAAATCATTATTTTTTAGCACAATTACATGAACATCTGTTTTATGTTCATACATGTTTCGTTTTGTCAATTATATATCAATTAACTACAAAGTAAAAAAAAGGAAAAGCTCGTGTTACGATAAGCTTCTTCGTATATAATGTTTGTACTACATTTTCGCAGGTAATATAGCACTAATGAAATTATAAATTTAAAATGAAGAGCCTCTGTCTATCAAAGACTCGTAGGAAGAAGTTTTCCAATTTTTACTTTCCTGTCTGTATACAGATAAGGAAAGTATAGGAATCATGATTTTTTTCGACCAGGAATCCGTTTTGACTATTTTCGGTATGATGTCTCTGTGTGTGTGTGTGTGTCTGTGTGTATCTGTATCCACTATAACTTTATGGAGGGCCGTTTTTATATTTTATGGAATATATCTGTTATCTGTTTGAAGAAGAAAATTGTTTAAATAAAAGTTACTTCTAATATTATTATCTATAATTTTTGCTTTATGTTGAACTTTCCTGAAATGGTCTGTATTCGAGAAATTTGACAAAATGTGCAAAATTATGATTTTTAAGAAAATTGTTAAACTAAAAGTTGTTTGCGATATCGATCTCTATAATTTTTGTTTTTACAGGATTTTTCTAAAATGGACCGTAATGGAAAAATTGGAGGAAAGGTGCTAAATTTAAATTTTTCATTATTTTCGTTTTCAATGAATATCTATAGAAAAATGTTTCGAGTTAGATGTATATGGAAAATGTAGGTATTTAGTTTATCCTCTATACATTTATAGAGGTGCTACAATAGGTTGTATAAAATAACCGGAAAAGCCTATTCTAACTAGATAGGAAAGTCATGTGTTGGACACATCAGATTTTTAGATTAGTATTCGAAACTGTTCAAATGAGTCAACACTCAAAGAACACAGAATTATTCATTTTATTAATTTTTTGTTCATATTTCTTTGGAAAATTATGAATAATGATAATATAAGAGGCTAATAACCTAAGTTGTCTATGCCGAAGTAAAAATGTGTAAATACAGACCGTAGATATGTAATGAAAACATATATTGCAAATAGTTATTTTAATAATAGTATTAGGTGTACAAATTATAAAAAATAAATAACATTTTATTAAAAAAACTACCTATTATTTAAACATTCTCAGAAAATTATATTACAATCCTACTGACTGCGCCATGTAATGTTTTTATAATAAAGGTTCTTCGATGGCTATATTTACATAACTTTATACGACATTTGTGCATTTAAATTAATTATTACAAGCTTCATTAATTAACTTGCTTTGGCTTAGGTATTCAGATTTTTTTAGAATCAATATGCTTCATTTCCTTATAGAGATTGTTTTTTGACTAAACATTTCATGTTGATATCGCTTTTCGTTTTTGGTTTATGATTTTTTTTTAAAATTCAACCCCCTTTAACTCCTATCACATTTTTTTCATTTTATCCTGACATTTTCAAATTTTTCATTTTTAACTTATCGTGCGGACAAAAAGATAACATCGGACAGACATTTTTAAAAATTGTTTAAAATTTGATGAGAAGGAATTTGATACAAAATTTTTGAAATTTTGACCAATATTAAACATTTTCATGAATTGAAAGTAAACCTATAATACTATTCACAGACTAATGCGTGAAGAGTATAAAAAAATAAAAATACAAGTAAACATTGGTAAATACGGACCTGATTATCTGCCATATCAGTCCCAAGTATGAAGACTAGTCTTCATAGTCCCATTAAGTTGACTTATCACTGATTCCGTACCATGATTTGGCCCTTAATGCCAATGTCAATTAATTATTTAATTTTTTTTTTAATATAATGGAATTCCCTATTGAATAAAATAGTTCACAGATGTCTTCCTTTCCTTTTAAATACACATTTTGTCAAGAAGATACGATCAGAAACAAACATGAAGACAAAGGGACCCAAAGAGAACTAGTGAAATCTTTAGTGAACCAAAGGAAATATTTATTAGCAGCTGCGAATCCAGGAGAAAGCTGCGAATTCGGATCTTCAAAATATTTTTTACTATGCGGTTTAGGTGGTATGATAGCTTGTGGATCTACGCACACTTTAGTTACCCCTTTGGACTTGGTTAAATGTCGTATACAAGTCAATCCCCAAAAGTATAAAAACGTTGGAACTGGATTTAAAGTAACTATAAAAGAAGATGGTATCAAAGGTCTTGCGAAAGGCTGGGCTCCAACGTTATTAGGTTATTCAGCTCAAGGAACGTTTAAATTTGGTTTATACGAAGTATTCAAAGTAGTATATCACGATATTATAGGAGAAGAGTACTCTTATATTTACAGAACTACGTTGTATCTAGCAGCATCAGCTACAGCTGAATTCTTCGCTGATCTAGCTTTGTCACCGATGGAAGCTGTAAAAGTAAAAATTCAAACAACAGAAGGATACGCAAATACTCTTCGGGAAGCGATGCCAAAAATGTATAAAGAAGAAGGTCTATACAGTTTTTTCAAATCACTAGGACCTCTATGGATGCGGCAAATACCATACACAATGATGAAATTTTCTTGTTTTGAACGCACCATAGAAATACTCTACCAATATGTGGTTCCAAAACCAAGAAACGAATGTACCAAAGCCGAACAGCTTGTGGTCACCTTCACAGCTGGATATATAGCTGGTATATTCTGCGCTATTGTATCTCACCCAGCTGATACTCTGGTTAGCAAGTTGAACCAGAAAAAAGGATCCTCTGTAGGGGATATCGTTAAAGAAATTGGGTTCATGGGTTTGTGGGGTGGTATCGTACCGAGAATTATAATGATTGGAACTTTGACTGCGCTGCAATGGTTCATCTACGATGGGTTCAAGGTGGCGATGCGAATGCCTAGGCCACCTCCACCTGAAATGCCGGAATCGTTGAGGAGAAAATTAGGGAAATAGTGAAAATAAAAATTTTTGACAGCAAAAAAGTGTTTGTTAATGTTAGGTACTGATAGCAACCAGGGGCTGCCCTCAGTGAGGAGTACTATCATCCCTCCTTTGGTCAGTGGACGAACTTATTAAAAAGGTTAATATCTGCAGATTTTTACTGCTTAGGTTATGACGATTAACTTCGTAGGTACAATATCGAAGCGCGCAGAAACATCTTTGACAAGTGGTGCAAAGGGGAGGAATTAATAGTAAATATTCACAAAATCACAGTAGTCAACTTTACAAAAGGTCTAAAGTCACCACTACTGAAAGGAGTAGAGATTCCGCCCAAAAAGCCAAATACTTGGCATCTTTAACCTCAGGTTAACATAAAATCAGCACTTACAGTCACCCAAAGAAGCACAACATTCTTTAACTTATGTCGAAGGCGGTGCGGGAAAAATTAGGGACTACAATCAAACATGTTGCTATGGCTGTGTGTACCGAAGTCATGAGGTCTATGGTAATCTACGGGTGGGTGGTATGGTGGCTAATGACTCGGCAAGTTGGAGCCATTCGATTACTCAACAGTATTCAAAGGCAAGCACGTTCCCATTTAAGATATATGGAATTTCATTTTGGGGAGGTTGTAGCCGTCAGTTACCTAGTCAATACTGTTTTTTGTCTGCAAAAAAGCAAAATAATTTGTATGTTGAGTGAACAATCTCGACACATTTTGTCAACCTTCTCGAGTAAGATAATATTGCCACATTAGATCGATAAAAAAATATGATATGGACATCAATGTCATATTTGTTGATGATGATAATTTTCAAGAAATAAAAATACTGCTTCCGACATTATCATTCAGTTCGGAAAATGTAGTAGTCTACATATCTGGTTTTGTTGTCAAAACTTAAAAAAAAACATGTTAAATGTTTAAATTACATGAATATATTAATTTGTTCTTATGGTACTGAGAGAGACAATCTTGCGCTCTAGAGAGACAATCTCTGTATCTATATCGTGGAGGTTTGATAGAACCATAAAAAAATATAATAAAAATATGCACTTTTGACGAGAAAAAAAAAAAAAGTCAGACTTTGTCCGTTACTAATAATATGATACCTTCGTAAACATTTTTTTTTTAATTTTTAAACACCTGAGTATTTTTCTATTTGAAAATAATTATTCAAATGAATATGACGACCATTTTATTCAGTTATTCTGTAAGAGAAGAGAGTCACAGAATGAAAATCATGTCAATAAAAAAAATTTATTGTAGAATTAGATTTTTCATTGGAGTCAAAGCGCAAACTGAAATTGACATCTACCAGACATCTAACATCTATCAGAATTTTTTTTTCTAAGCTCAATCTTTTCCCTCGCTAATAATAAACTTTAAAGTAGTGTAAGTCTGTAATAGGTGCAAAATAAATGGCGTAACTATTGTATTTACTTTTCCGTGTGTACATATTTTATCTGAAATCAATAATAATTGAATAGTTATTTTTCAGTGCAGTTGCGCTATTTATTTTGCTCCCTTATATGTGTCATATAGACCAACAACAATTAGCAAGTCGTGCTCCATTTGCATATTAAAAAACAAAGATTTAGCTATATAAACAAAACCTATTTGGTTTTTGTATACACGCATTTTATGTGAAACCAACGGTACATATTTTCCCTTTACTGTGGATTATGATATTGGCGATATACTGATTGCATATATATGGGTAGGGGGCGTCCATTAATTACGTGAAGTATTCAAGGAGGAGAGGAGATCAAGTTAAATCTTTCCAAATCCTACTTGGGGGAGAGGGGGATCTTTGTAAATCTGATGTAATTTTTTTCTAGTAGAAAACTGTGTAAAATTGCGTCAAAGTAAAGTTAAATTAAAGAATGATTCTAGAAATTTTATATTACGGCAATATTCTCAAATACTAGTCTTTACTAGTCTTAAATAAAAGAAATAGAACATATTGTTTTTGTTTTCTTTAATAATCTAACGCATTTACACCCAAAACACGTGAGATTAGGGGAGGGGGTCAAAAAATCCTCAAAAATTCCTCATGTAATTAATGGACGCTCCCGTACTAGCTGACCCTGCGAACTTTGTACCGTGTAACAGTCATTTAAAATGTTAGCATGGCTTATTTAAATACAGAGACCTAACAAAACTTTTCCACTTATAATTGAACCTACATTTGAACAAATGTCTGCTCAGAATGAAGTAATTTGAAAAGAGAGATTGTATTTTTGAGTGTTGGCTAGAAAATGTCGTGATTCTGGTGTTTCGCCACGAAGCAATGAATGCAATGGCTCAGGTGGCGAAGTAAATAATGGCAATTTCATTTTGCCATTAAGGCAGCACAATTCAGGCGTTCCTCCAACAAACTTCAATACTCCATAATGCTCGCAAACAACGTCAATTTGACCAATACAAACCAAATGATTTGGAGTGAGGGTAGCCATATGTGAGTAGTAGGGATTAAGTGTAAGGGGTTGACTTGTGAGAAATAAAGGACCTTTTCTTTAACCCCTTACACTAAACAAACCAAATGATGAGAGGTGTAATCAGTTATTGTACAATCGTATAGAATAGCTGCTCGATTCAAATCAACACTTGAAGCATTTCTTCTTGCGGGTCGGGAGATTATCTCGTTAATTTGTGCGATAAGCACGATGATTTCTCATTGCCAACCGAGCCGTTTCACGGCTGCCTCTCTTTGCTCTTGTGTTTGAGAAGCACGAAATACTAACGCGGTGTTGTTCTCGTTTTTCTTCATTAGATTGATTTGTAATGTTCCAAAGCCTAATTGCATTACGGCATTTTTAGGAACGATTAGATCTTCTGGGTCGCAGCATTATTAATAATAATACTCGCATAATAATATTTATTAATAACACTCGCACAAAACAAACAAATCGACCGGTAACCTTTATATACTTTTTTTAAAACAAATCACACACAACATGAACCAAATAAAATGTACACTTTTATAGATTCTGTATCGTCAATCTTGTGGTACGAACGACTGATTGATCTAGAATGATTCAGACCAATCGATTTGATAGTTGTTGTCATTTTTCTCTATATTTTTTTTACACTTTTAATCAAGTATTTTCTATATATTTTAGTATCATTTTTGAAAGCTATAAGCATGCGTAACGTGATCTGTCAATTGCGGAAAATCTCGGAGTTCCAAACCTAATTTAATTAAAAATTAATTATCTGTATTGTTTTTTTTCTGTTAATTTTTCCGATATTTTAATAGTTATTCTGCTATTCAGGGTGAAGCCGTTCTTGAGTTATACATGATGTAACTAACCCGATTTTGTTTTATTTATTTAGATTATAATATTGGCGGTATACCGTATATGAACTCACAAAATATGCATATGGGACACTCTCTATCATCTGTATAATTAATTAAATTATTATAAAATTCATATAGTGCTGTACTAGTGTATTTTGCAGATCCAAAACCATGTTGACTATTTGACAGCGCATTTGTTTTATTCAGAAATTTTAATGTAATAAGCGTAAGAAAGTTAAATTGACCCATCTTTAAATTTTACATGTATTTCTATGACACCCTGTATTTTAACAGGTAGATATCTATATATCAAACTGAATATTCATTTTACAGTTTGTTGTTTAGCTTTTGTGAGCGAGCAAAGCAACTTTTTGTTTTATTTGAGATATCTGAAAAAGGGATGAAATCGCGCTTGCGCATCGCCGTCGTACAGCATCCCTACGGAAAGGCGTTGCAGCAGGATTTCAGTTTTCTGCTGCTTTAGGGTAAGTGTGCCGTAATATTTCGATCGGACCTCCGGCTGTGATCGCGTTTTTGACGTTGTGTGCCCGATTTGTCAAAAAATAATTACGACCATAGTGATTATGGTAAATAAAATTTTGATGTACCTATCCGAAGACTGGCGTTTTATTTAGAGAAGGAATTTAAATGAAATGAAGAATGAGATAACAAAGATAGAGACTCTTCGTTATTATTTGTCGAAACAATTTTATCGACGAAGTGATTAACGTTTAAGAAAATCGAGTAATCTACTTTAAGTCTACCTAATTCTATTTATTTAAAAGTAAATAATAAACATAAAAACACTAAGGTTTAGATAATTTTTGGAGAAAACTAAAAATTTTGTATGTTATGATGATCATCTACCTATATTTAAATAGATAATTATTTTTTTATTTACAAACGTGATGTAAAAGAATTAAATAATTACATATGTACCTATATAGGTACAATAATGTTGGTTTTAAAATAATAAGTAAACATTCTAATTCTATTGTTATAAAATCTAACATTTTTGCTCTTAAAATATATAAACAGTTTTAATTTTTAACTTTTTTCGTTTGACTAAATTCTTTTACAAGATTTATTTAATGTACTGGTTGTTTTTGTTTACAATTAAAATCTGTGAATTGGGTATGATTAAAGTGGATAAATAATATTATGTGTTTTATTAGTATATAAAACGTTTGAAGACTGAACATTTTTATATTTAATTCACCTACATGGATATGAGAATTTTGTTTGGATATAATTATATGAAAAGGTACGTAAGTATATATGTATATATTTAACTAAGTTTAAAACAATTTTTACTTTATAATCGTATAACAAAATAGTAAAATAAGATACCCATGGGTACCGCTAGGGGAGGAGGAAAACGGAGCAATTGGGATAGTTACCCCCCTTTTTTTATGGAGAAATGGTATTCGGTTAAAATTTCTTAATTTTATATACAGGCTGTTATTTCACAAACACATTTATTACCACTTGAAGTTTTATAAAAGAGATTCCTAAAAAATATAGCCTAAAAGGCACTATATTATAATATTAATGTAGGTAATGCAACATTAATTTATATATAATTTGCTAATACACTAATTTATATTGACAATACGATCTCTTAACTAAAGTTGAACTAAAACACCACACTTGGGCTATGAATTAGCAGTTTAACAACTATAGTAAGAATAGTGTAATTGAGCCGTCCCTTTCTCCGCACAAGCTTAGCTTTTGAGGTTAAAATTCACTCGTAAGGTGGTGAATTAGGGAGAGTATTATTATTATTAATATTTTATTGCACATCCAATCTTCCATCATTAAATTATGGCGCTGACATATAGCAAACTGACCTTAAATTTCATTGTTTTATGACCTCTTAAAATACTTGTATTCCTTTTTGACTCACCTTGTATATATTTCTTGTTTTTTTTTTCTTACATTGAATTCAAATTGTAGTCAATTATCAAATAATGGAATTGTTTAAGATCATATCAATTTTTCATCTACTATATACCGACATTTAAAATTATAGAAACTAGAAAAACTAAAGCTTTTCGTAAAAAGTAGTCAGTGATTGAATCATCTTGGCAATTTATATAAAAATGTTTCTTTCAGCGTCGATTGGGTGTAGATATAGATGACAAAACGAGATTTTCTAGCCCAGGGATGTGGTATCGGATCAAATGAGATTTTCTCCTTTTAGCAATCGAAACTTTTGTCAGAAACATCGTTAGATATAAACCTCAGATAACTTTTGATGAAATATTAATATAGTATTTTCTAACATTTACAATAAAAAGAAGTAAACTAGTAAATTTAGTTTGTATGGATTTATTGCCGTTTATTTGATACAAATTTGTTACAAAATAAATATTAATTATTATGATGTATATTTGTTTCAGAACACCGCGAATTTGAGTAAGAGATCAAGACTTCAAAAGAATTATCAATGCTCAAACCATCAAAACCTTATAATGGAATTAGGTTTAGAAGTCAAGTATATTTAAACTATAATACCTAGGAGACATTTTCTTTTATGAAAATGATAAAAGTTCAACGTTCATTTTCGAAAGCTTCGGCTACCGAAGACGAAGCAACACCGCTTGGTACATTAGAAGCCACTTTGTCGTGTTTATGGATTTTGACGCCGTTATCAGCTACGCTGTCTCTAATTTTGATTGTAACTGGAATGGGGACTAACCAATGGATGCACACGTCTGAAAAAATGCCTAATCCCGCTTATAATGGCACCGGAGATAAGGAGTATTTACCAAAGTTGACGGTTTCTGGATTGTGGACATTCTGCTTTACAAATCGTAAGTAAATATTTTACTACTAGTAAGTATTTGTTGACAATACGAGTGAAGAAATTCACTTTCCTACGAAATTACATCAGTTATTATTGTTTCTACAAATGCCTACCCGGTATTTGGAAAATTAAATTAATTGTATAGATAAGACTTGACATGACTTTCCTATCTAGTTATTACATGCTTTTTCCGGTTATTTTGTACAACCTATTGTATCGCCCCTGTAAATGTTTAGAATTCGAAATTTCCACTTTTGCTCAAATATTTCGAGTACGAGTACGGTCCATTTTAAAAAAATCATGTATAGGACAAAAACTATAGATAATGACATCACAAGCAACACGTAAATACGCGAATTTTAGGACATCCTGTATAACAATATATTAATTTTAAATATTTCAAATTTAAAAATAAAACGAATAAAAATTCATAAAACCAAATATTTCATGTATTATGTAGTTGTTTCTTAGTGAAAAAGAAAGTGAATCATCGACGAACAAAATTCTGTACACAATAAAAATTAATCATTCAGTATCGACGGGTGTTTGATTTGCTTCGGTTCTCGGGAGAGCGTGAACGGTTACAAATTCGAAATTCGCATTTTTTTTGTAAACGTGTTGTGTTATTTTTGGGTAAGTTTATTTGAACAAATTCGAATTTTGCACTTTTTGTTAAATTTCTCGAATACGGACCATTTTAGTAAAATTATGTATAGAACAAAAATTACAGAGAATAATATCACAAGCAACTTTTATTTGAAGAATTTTCTTCTCCAAGCGTAAATAACAGATATATTCGATCAAGTAGAAAAACTATCCTTTATAAAGTACCACCCAGATATGCCTAAAATCTAATCAAATCTTCGCAGGATGGATTAAGGCTTAAGTTTAAAATTTGGTGTTTTTCTCTTTACCCGTTTTTGAGATATTTTCAAAATTCGAAATTTGCACTTTTTCTCAAATATCTCGAGTACGGTCCATTTTAGAGAAATCATGTATATGACAAAAATTATAGAGAATGACATCATAAACAACTTTTATTTCAACAATTTTCTTAAAAATTCGAATTTTGCATTTTTTGTCAAATTTCTCGAATACGGACCATTTTAGGAAATTTATATATGAGACAAAACTTATAGAGAATCACATAACAAGCAACTTTTATTTCAAGAATTTTATTCTCCAAGCGTAAATAACAGATATATTCGATAAAGTAGCATCCCTCTATAAAGTATAAGTTTATTTTTTTTTTGTTTTTAATTTGGTGTCATCGGCATCGACTACTAAGGTCATTAGCTTCGTGTTCTGTATAGGCTTTGTTACTGTTTCCCAGCGCCACTTTAGGAACAGCACTGTTAATTAGAACCCAACAGTGAATGGTGGAGTGGGGAATCCTACCAAGGCATCAGAGTTAATTTTAAATAATTAAATTAAATATAAAACTCCCGGCCAACGGTGGGATTCGAACCTGGGACCCTTAGATCCACAGGCAGAGACTACCACTGAGCCACCCACCCCTATTTTGAGTTATCTTCAAAATTCTAAATTTTTATTTTCCCTTAAATATTTCGAATACGTTCCATTTTACGGAATAGGACAAAAATTATAGAAAACATCACAAATAACTTTTATTTCTGACTTGAAATTCAGAAAAATTGTTTTTTTTCGACTTATCACTTACTTGTTTGATTTCGGAAGATCTATTGACTGAGTTAGACATAAAAAATTGGATTTTATGACATGCTGAGAGAAATATAATTTTCCGACTTAAAACTCAGAAAATTTACTTCTTCGGCTTATATACAGGAACATGTTTTTCTGAGTTACTGATAAAAAAAATCAATTTTTCTGACTTGGAGCTAAAAAAAAAAAACATTTTTCAGACTATATAAGAACTCAGAAAAATAAATTTTTTCGACACGGAGCTCAGAAAAATGTAATTTTCTGATCTAGAACTCGGAAAATCTATTATTAACTGGTAACTCAAAAAAATTAATTTTTTTTAGATATAGAACTTATTTCAGCAGAATACGTCTGTCAACTCGTTTTGTAATTCTAAGACGTCACATCACATGATAGTAATGAAAAGAGCCCACCGTGGGAAATAATTTCGTTTGAAATACATAATTGTATGACAAATAAGTTGACAGGTGACATTGACTTTTGACATATTAGCGTTACTTCAAGTAGGATTATTATTGGGAGATTAGGGGAAGGGAATAATAATGCCAAATAGGAAAAAATATATATTGTTTTATTAAAAAAAAAATAAAAGTTAGCCCATTTATTGTATACAACGTAGTATTTGGTACATAATTATAATCATTGGCCAATTACCAACGGTTTCAACGTATTTTCCAATTTAATACAATCGGCGGCGAACTTTCTGATACCGTCTGATAATTTATCCGTAGCCATTTGATCTTCGTTAAGCATCCATCTGAATGTCGATTCGTCTAAAGTGATTTTTTCTAAAGGTTGCTGTTTCGCTGTTTCCACGCTCAATTTAATCGGAACATTTTCTTTGCTTGCTTCAAGTTCGCCTAACAATTTTGGACTGATCGTCAAAAGATCGCAACCCGCCAACGCTCTTATTTCACCTAAAATAATAATAATAATAACAGATCGGGATTAGAAGAATACCGATTTTCACGCGCAAAACAATTTCTTTTTACAATCTATTATTTTTTAGAATCGATTATTTTCACAATTGATTATTTTCTAGGATCGATTATTTTACAATCTATTATTTTTATAATCGATTATTTTCATAATCGATTTTTTTAATAATCAATAAAAGAGTATAAATTTATTACTTACCAACGTTACGAAAAGAAGCTCCCATAACGACGGTTTTGTAACCGAATTTCTTATAATAATTGTAAATTTTCGTAACGGAGATTACCCCCGGATCTTCTTCTCCCCCATAACTTTTTTTATCCGTATTAGCGACGTACCAGTCCAAGATGCGTCCCACGAAAGGCGAAATTAGAGTAACCCCGGCTTCGGCGCACGCCACTGCTTGTGCGAAGTTGAAAAGCAAGGTTAGGTTGCAGTGAATGCCGTATTTCGTTTCTAATTCTCTAAAAAGAAAATTAATATTTATAATAATAGTGACACAATTCAAAAATAAACATTATGGAGAAAATCAGTATTAAAGTTCTAGCTATTTCATGGTCCAAATGGGTACCAAATTTTTGTAACAAGGCGATATTTGAAAGATTGCCATTATTTTTAAATCCAAGTATCACAGTTTATAAAATAAGAACACAGTTAACTATACTGGAACATTTAACTAAATTGATCGAAAATGGAGATAACTCAAAATATGCCAATAAAGCTTGAACAAAGCGTTGATATCTACTCATTTGTTTAACTATTGTTCACACACGACGATTCGAATCTTATACAGTCGCACTCAACTAAGTGAAAATGGAGAGTATACAGTGGCATAACTCAAAATATGCTACTAATGCTTAAATTGTAAAAAAACAAGTGTTGAAATTATAGCGATTTAAAAAAAAATGCGATTTGGTTTACCATAGAATACTGCTTTTATAAAATACTGAAAATATTTAGAAAAAAGCTATGAATAAAGCTGTAGGTGTCAAAAAAAACAAGTGTTGAAATTATAGCAATTTAACAAAAAATGCGACTTGGTTTACTATGAAACACTGCCAAAAATTGCAGTCTATTATTTTTTCTGTTAATAGTCATTTATTAAATTTAAAGAAATTATGTTAAATTAGTAATGCGCCTGAGTTGTCATAGGTCGTGTACAAATCTAGGTCACCGAACTCGGTATTAGTTATAATTGAGCAATCAATCATTAGAAAAATTGGTTACTGACCTGGCTGCTTGTATTCCCTCCCATGTAGATGCCATTTTTATTAAAATCCTTTCCTTGGAAATGCCCTGCTCTTCATATAACTGAATAATTTTCTTAGCCTTTTCGACACTTTTCTTTATACTAAATGACAATCTGAGAGAAAAAAAAGTTATTAAAAAAACCGATAACGCAGAAATAAAACTCTTACCTTGCATCTACTTCCGTGGATACTCTACCGGGTATAACTTTTAAAATTTCCACTCCAAATAATACGCAAATCATGTCCAAGGTATTTTCCAATTTTTCGGTGTTGCATCCTCCTAATTTTTTTGCATAATTGATGGCTTTATCAATGACCGATTTGTACTGAGGTAAACTGGCAGCTGCCAAAATTAGAGACGGGTTTGTAGTGGCATCTGTAGGCTTGTATTGCTTCATAGCTAAAGAATAATGATAAAAAGTTTAAAATCTTAATGACTATACCCAACAAACAATAAATTGCCGGGATATTGCTGGCCTTTTGCTGTAATTGAAGGGAAAATGAATGCGACGATTAAAAGATAAAAGCCTACTTTTGGTCTTTCATTAGTGGCCCAGCATTATGTTGCTTGTTGATGGCCTTATGAAGGGTAAATTACTGTATTGGGTAACTCCAACAGTCCAGGAGAGCTCCGTCCCGCGTTCATAGATGGAGACACCGATGATCGCTTGTTACATACTCAACGAGTGGACATGTCTCGCATTTCTGGTATTCACTATTCAGTATTCATTGTAATTTTTTACTTTTATATGTTAATTTAGAATATTTTATTAATAAATTTTTTGAAAAAGACATTTTTTCTGTATTATTATTTATTATATTATATGGCTGAATTAAATAAAATGTCTACAATATTCTATATTGAAATGCCTTGTTTTTGTATAGAATGTATAGTTCAAACGGTACTACTGGTCAAAGAGGCACTATCGAATATTCTATCTGATCATGTGCCTGGCACATGGCCTTTATTAATATGGTAAAAGACCAGCAATTTCCCGTTAACTTCCCATCAATAGGCCATTAGTGCCAATATATTTATTTCTATACATTAAAGGGGAAATGACCCATTAATTGGTTATGATGGCAAAGTGACTTGGGCCCGACTGTCGGCCGCAGTGACCTATATATGCTGGCCTTTTAATTAAAAAAGTCAAATAGCCATCAATGTAATTGGAGGATGACAGTTATTGGGCCTTTAATTCCCCTACACAAAATTTTTATTGGGTAGTTTCATAAATAAGCTATGTTACCTTAACGCATGACATTTTTCATTAAAATCTTGAGAGAAATCACTTTTTCTCAGGTTTGAAAATATGAGAGACTATTATTTCACATATTTTCGTTTTCTTCTATTTGTTCTTTTCAAAACACAATTTTTAATACTGACTTGAACAGGTTTGTTTTGGTTCTTTCACAAACTAATTCAGAATCAGTGAATTACACTCGTTCAGCTCAATACGTTATGAAAAATGAATTCGTCAACTGTATTTGAGAACTGGAATTGACGGTTCTGTTTGAACCAAAACCAAACCAATATTTACTGTAAATGAAATTAAATACGATTCAATCCGGCAACGTTGCAAACTAATTAAACGCTTGGACAAAAAAAAATCCATGTTCCATGAGTTTACGTCAACTGTCAGTTCGTTAGTTTACGTTTCGTTCAGAAAAGTTAGGTTAAACAGTAAAAATAGTGGCATTTTAATAATATAAACTAAAATTGCTAATGGGTTCTGGTAAAGGATCCTGTGATGCGAATTTCATAATTTTAGCATTAATATATTGAAGTAACTTACTTTTTATAATATTTTAACTGAAATTAAATATGGAAGAATACGTTTAATTTGCTATTTTCATTTATATTATAATAAAATGCAATATTTTGACCGATTTAACCTAACTTTTCATTATTTCCTTTCATAAAACCTAAAATAAAGTGATACATAAAATTGTCAGTTCTTGACACATGCGGTTATCGAGTTTGCAACGTTGCCATACTATATTGTTGATTTTTATCACTGATAATTTCTAAGTTTAAGATTTCTGTTAGGATGAGAAGAAAAGAAGAAAATATATTTATTGGTTACATGTGAATTACAAAGAAAATATAATTATTGGTTATAGGTTAATTACAAATCAAATATTAAATATATGAATAATTATTACTTTGTTGTGTTTGTATTTGTTAAAAATGGATAAAATAAATATTATTGATGTTGTGGACATTTACAAAAAAACGGATGAAGAATTATTATCATGGTTAATGGACAAAAAATTAATTAAAAAATGTAGGTGTAAGATAGCTACATGTAGGAGAGAGTGTGTGATCCACAAAAGATGTTCTAATTCAATTAATTATGTATATTTTTGCAAAAAGTGTAGAAAAACTTACTCAATATTTAAGGGTTCTTTTTTCGAAAACATTAATGTTAATGTACGTATGATTATATTAATCATGTGGTTCTGGGCCATTGGTAGCCGGGTTGGAGTGACAGTGGCTGCGACGAACTTGTCTAAACCCTCAGTGATTCAATTGTATAGATATTTTAGAGACGTTATTTCATGGAAGGTAATGAGAGATCAAGATTTCTTGTTAGGTAATGATTTTTTTTTTATAATATAAATGAGAGAGAAAATAAACTTTTGTTTTTATAGGGGGCGAGGGGCTCACAATACAAATTGACGAATCTGTCATTACGAAGAGAAAATATCATAGGGGAAGAGTAGTACCGGAACGCTGGATATTAGGGATTTATGACATTTCTTTAAAAAGAGGTTATATCCAGTATATTCCTAATAGAACTCGAGGTGTATTGGAGGAAATAATCCAAACACATGTCCGTCCTGGTTCTGAAATATGGACGGACAAGTTTAAAAGTTATGATAATTTAAAGAATTTAGGATATATACATAAAAGTGTCAACCACTCTAAATTTTTTAAGGATCCGGTTACTGGTGTTTGTACAAATCAGGTAGAAGGGTACTGGTCTAAACTTAAGCAATATTTAAGAAGATTAGGTGTAATGTCCAGTCCCTTTCTACCTGAGTATATAGATCAGTTTATGTGGGAGCAGATATACGGTAGTGATGCTAATGCGAAAATGAATAATTTGCTAACGCAAATTGCGGAAAAATATTAATTTTTTTTTATTTTTGAAATTAATTGTTTATTTTTTAGAATTATTTATTTGTTGTACTACTTTTGAGACTTGTTTATTTTTTAGAATTATTTATTTTTTGGTTTAATTACATGAGAATTATTTGTTTATTTTTTAGTTTTTTTTTTTATTTTTAGAATCATTGTTAATTTTTTGCAAATATATTTTATATAATTTTTTTATTTATTTATTTAAATGAGTCCAGGCTGTACAGCATAGAGACACGAGAGAGACTTTTTATTTCAATTTGAGCTGTGTCCAGGCCGTTGGAGTCCAGGCCGTTGGAGTCCAGGCCGTTGGAGTCTATGCCGGTAGGCGTAGCCAGGTATGGGTTTAAAATTTTTTGGTGGCGGCGAAGCCGCCACGCTAGCGGAAGTCGTTGTTTCGTTTTGAGTGAAAGAAAATTTAAAAAAAAGTTGTCTAGATATTACATGTTAAGTGATTTAATTAAATTCACTTTTTAATTTTGTATGTAGTATTTTTGAGCTGCATTTTTAAAATTAATTTGGTTGATATATTAATTTTTGCATTTTATATACGATTATTACCGTACTTATCTTTTTAAACCAAACGAAAAATTTATGATTATAAATTTAAATAATCCTTAAACTTATAATTTTATTAACAACTTGGCAACGTTTGTTATTTTTAAGACAGAAACGTCAGAAACTGTCATTTAGAGTAATTGTTCTGTGATTATAACCTGTAAAATTGGGATTTTTAATTCAATTTTTTTCGAAAAGTACTGCTTCATCCATAAATTTTTTTTCGAAAATGTACTATAGAAACTAGTTACTTTTGAGTGTTTAAAAAATTTTTGTGAATTTCGCACCTCAGGATCCTTTACCGGACCCTGCTAATGAAACATACTTTTCCGTGTATAATTTTTGTTAAAATATTATAAAAAGTAAGTTACTTTAATAATCTAGTGATAAAACTTCGAAATTCGTGCATCTGGTTATTATGGGGCGGTCAAATTTGAATATTTTAAAGGTATGTGTTATGTATTTAATTTATTATTTATATTAATTTAAAACCCCGTAACGTAAAAATAATGCGACGTATTCAGTATTTACAATTAAATGATGTATATCTTCTCTCTATAATAAATATATGCTTAAAGCCGTCAATATTCAAGTCAAACGTAAAAAATTGTAATCTTTTTTCTAGTTAACAAAATAGTTTTCTACCGCGAATTTAAACATTGAAAATCAATAGTAAACTCACCTTCAAAGTCACCGGTATCGGCAACCACAGTTGTAAGAGCCTTAAGTTGTTCCAGTGAGTTCGACATCTTTATTCTTTTTGACTGGTGTTCTGACATAATAAGAATTTACAGATTATTAAACTACCTACTTAAAAATATGATAAGTATATTTTATTATAATATCTACAAAACACTGTTAATCTTATCACTATAACCTGTAACATTCAATGAGAGAATGATAAGCACTTTCTAATGAACTTGAAGTACCAGTAGAGGTTATCGCATCAAATCACAAAATTAGTTGTACCTAGAGATACTTACATAACCTCACAAAATCGACGATCGATATTTCTAAATGCAATGGAAACCTTGAGAGAGTCATGGAGGAAGGATTATTAAGAGTTGCCGTTTCTTTGTAGAAATTTGGCAACATGTTTGATTGCAACGACCTGTGGGGTGGAGGAGTAGAACTAATCTTACTCTGTTGGTAATGTAGTTACCAGCAGTATTACCATCAACTCTTACTCTGTCGGTAATGCAGTTACCCGTAATTTTATATTTAATTTGAAAATTGGCGGGTTTTTTTAAAGGAGAATTTACTTTTGCAATTATTTTCTAACTAATACGAAATATAGCCATACAAAATTTTGATAGTAATTTTTTTAATTTTTTAGTGAAATAAAAAACATGTACGTGTAGCTAAAATATGTTCCTCTTTCAAAATTTAATCAAATTTTGATGGCAGTAAATCGCAAAATTTTGTTTTTATAAAGATTTCAAAAATTGAGAAAATAATTAAATCAAATTTCGGAATAGTGGCTCCAGAAAAACAGACATTTCACTTTTACCTGAAGGTATATATTTTTCATTCACTAAAAAGTAAAATTAAACTATAGAAATATTTGTGGCTCTATTTCGTATTGTTTAGAAAACGATAATTGCTTAAGTAAATTTTCCTCTTAATTATAATTAAAATTTTCCTTTTTTATTAGCTATTTGTAACAATTATGAAATGCCCAATAAAAATGTAAAATTCTATGACAAATAATTATGAGGGATAAAATAAATATCATACAAAGTTTTATATAATTATATTTACTAAAAATTCCCAAGAAAAATAAATAAAAAATATATCAAAGAGATGGCAATACAAAAAAAATTTTTCATACACTTCACCCCCATACAAGCGAGCTTATGCGAAGCAAGAATGTCTATTATTATTATTATTTACTATGGCGCTCCCGGACGTCTTATAAATGATTCTTTAAGAAAGTTACTCTAATATCACAAACATTACATTACTATTTCGGTACGTTAACAATCTCTGGCTAACAAAAATCAGAAATTGCATAACAAATAATTAATTTACTTGATATGAAAACTAATGCCTAAGTAAATAAATTTTTAAAATAAACAAAAAACAAAACAACAAATTCTTCTTGAATCTTAGGAAATCAGACAAAAGCAACCATCCATATTAACTGAAACAGAAAAAAATTAAATGCAGTAACTTCAAATAATTTTGTTTGTCTTTTAGACATTGCATTATAATACTTTCTTATTATTAATAGTAGACAAGTTTCAACGAAATGAGAAAAGACGTCTGTTTTATGTTCTTTATATGTAAACCAGAGACGGCTTGTGGCCTAGTCTGTGAGGAAGCTGGCTTATCCTATATACTTTATACAAATATATATTTCTATTAGAATACAATGTAATATTTCTGCTTTTTGAATTCTTATAGACATATAATTTTATTAAGTATATAGGGTGTGCCTTTTAAAAGTAGTCTCCTCATAGACTAGGCCACGAGTCGCCTCTGATGTAAACCATTTAAAATAAACATGGTCTGGCAAAAAAGTTTAATTTTTTGAATTATGTTGTCAATATGACCCAAAAGTTGTGAAACTATTTCAAGAATTTTTGAAAGAAATTCAATAACATTTCTTTGTACATAAATAAAATCTTTAATATAAGTAAAAGTATCGATGGTCTTCTAACATGTCTGTAAATTAACTTTACACTCTTTGCAGTCAAAACTATTAAGTTTCTTAATAAACCCTGAAACATAACTAGTGGCTAGACTCAAATTCTCCTTCATTTATTAATTTTGTATATATTATTAGAATGAACTTTATCCTCACAGGACTCTGTTTAGAGGTGTGATAACAATATTACTAAGTACTACCATCTTGATGTATCTGGTTTTGAGGATGCTAAAGCAAGGTAAAGCAAATCTTTTAGCAGTCTTGAACGATTTGTGTTTGTAAACAATTTTGTATTAAAATATGATTTTCACATGATGTATAATGATTGGGGTTGTAAGTGGAATGTTTAAAATACGACACCATTCCGTTCTTTGATCAATATCAGAAGGAAATTTAAAAATGTTCTTAAAATTTACGTTTGGAATGGGCCTTATAAAATGTACTATAACAATTAGAAATTATGCGTTTATAATGAATTCTGCCTGGTAAAGACATGTTAAAGCATCAAAATACCTTTACTTGATTTTAAATAATCCTAAATAACTTATATCTAAAAAAATAAAAGTAGTTCCACTCACATGTTTTTGTCGACAACCAAAAACCAAATCATAACATAACCACACATTTGTTTGATTTTGATGTTATTTGTTGACAGCGCGCGCGGGGCCCGCTATAGCGGGCAGCCAGCAGTCATGCAGCGGACAGAAAGCCATCTTCACATAGTACAAATAACTAAGTGAAGGTATGTTTTTTTTAGTTTGTTGTAATATATGAATTAAAATTTTTGAAACAACACTTTTTGTGTGTTACTGAACGAGATGTTATTAAATTAATCAATGTGCTTTACATTTTAATACAATTTTGCTATTGTAAAACGGACTTCAGAGCACCCAAGCGCGGAGGAGTATGCGCAGAAACGTGTTTACGTATTGTGCATATGATATAAACCCCCGTGGAGAGAGTCTCCAGTCCCCACCTAATATTTTATCGTTCGCGTTCCCTTTTATATGCCGAACCGAAATTTAAATTCAAATGAAACGTTCATTCGATTAAAACCAAACACCGTACTGTAAAGTAAATAAAATGAGTGCATGAGTGTAACCAAAGAAGATGAAAAGAAGAACCACTATCGCAATGGCAATACTACATCGAGCCCACAGTTCCGCTATGAGACGTGGAAGAGCCAATAACAGCGCGCGAACGCCAAATTATAGGCGGGGCATAAAAGCGCGCTCGTTTTGAAAGTAACTGGGGAGGTGGCGAGGAAAACGATGAAGGTGTGCCTATGCTGAAACTGAGAAAATCGTTTTTTTTTTACTTCCGAGCGTTGTCTCATAGGAAGCGCAAATAATACACAAAATTTATTATAAATATTAATTACACAATTACTAATATTTGACATAACTAAATTAGATGAATAATTACTACACTTTTAAAGGCATTTTTCTAAAAATAAAAATCAGATTTTAAAAGCGTTTGATTACGTTTAATAAGCTTTCAACGAACAAATTCACCTAAAAATTACCAACAAATGATCATCTTGACAATTCAAACAATTAAAAACAAAAATTCGATGCGGTTATGACAGGAAATTTCCAACAAAACTGCCGGTATTTCTACAAGGTGTAAAGGAAAATACTTTTGTTTTAGAATTTTACTATCATTTATTTTACGAAAAATATTGTATGTAACAGTGTGAAAAGAGTGCTTTTCGCACTAGTTGCATAAATAACTGTTAGGTGTATTATAGAGATCTTAATCGTTTTGCAGCAACTGTTTACCAGGCATATATTATATACAAAAATCTTTAGATGGCACCATCCACCCCGAATTTGATCGTTTTTCCCGCCAACTCCTCAGTTACGATAATTACTTTTTATGCTACAGCTACATTACCTAAACGGTTTTTAAATTTAAATATTTCATTAGGAATTTTAAAAATAAGCAGTTTAATTTAAAAAAATAGTTTATTTAACTAATAACATTTTTTATTTAGTAGGCATTACGCATCTACTTGTATCATATGTATTATTACGTAATCGTTTTAGTTGTCTTGATGATTTTTTCTTAATTTTTCTTCTAGCTACAGCAGTACTTTGTATAGGAATTTTTCGTCCTCTTCGATTTTGGCCACTTCCTAAAAATGATTATAATTCTAGTCAATGAAATAATTTAAGAAAAGCTTTAGAAAATAAAGTTGTGCACATCCTTAAAGAAATCTATACAAATTTAATTTCAATTATTTGTGTTGCCAATTTATAAATTGAATTGGGACACAAAAAATAATTAATTAGTGGTATATTTTACAAATCTAAATAGGAAGGTTTACATTATAGTATACCTAGTTCATTAAATTGAACTAATACAATTTCAACAATATCTGCTGTCAAGTTAAATTATTTCTAAACATACAAACGATAAATAAAAAAATACATATTATAACCACCAAATAAAATACCAAAACCGAACCAAACCCATTTAATTAAGTTTATAACATACCATAAACATTTCTAGAATGTTTGTTATTGTTTCTCTTTTTTCAGCATTGTACAGTGTAAGATTATTTTCTAAAAACATTTTCGCCTCTGTATCAAATTTCATAGGTCCATAATTTTCTTTAAACTCTTTCATATATAGATCATAACAGTATTTATAGGTTGGACATATATTACGGTCTGCCAAAGCTGTCACATAATCATCCCTGGTAAGCTGAATGTTACATTTAATCATCTCCAAAGCTGTTCCTGCTGTATGGCCATTCTTATAAAGACTTAGTAACTCTTCTCTTACATTCTTAGAAACTTTACGAAACCGTAAAGAATCTGCAGTATTGGTCATATGGTTGTGTGTTAAAATAAGTTTAACCTCACAAGGCGCCTCTTGTAAGAGTTGGAAATTTTCTTTCTTGCCCCTATACTTTTTTCTAATAACATGTATCTTTACAGTTATTTTCGAAGGACAATTGGTGTTTCTAGTTTTGTTTTTTAAGGACGGGTTGTAGGTTTTAGTGCACCGTGTAGAATGATGACACCTAAAATTAAATTTTCCAGGTAACATAATAATAAACTGTAATAAACCTACATGTAACAAATAATATAACCTACATTATAAATAAGAGCATAAACAAATGTGATATTTATTACATTAATTTACTACCTAATTTTTGTAACCTGTAAAATCTGTGTTTTCCAAAGGTTTTATTAATAATAAAACCTTTATTACCTTAGTCTTCTTTTCAGTTTCAATTTAGCTCCATTCTCAACGTCTGTACAGGCGATAACGTATGATGAACTTGTTGAATTTTCAAACTCCATCAACCACTTTCCAAACTCCTCTTCATTGGTGCAATTGATGAAAAAATGCAATTCTACATTCGGGAACTTATCTTCACCCTCTACTATTTTTTTACCAATAATTGTTGTTCCCCAACCAGGTGGAAAAACTGACTGAAAAATAAAGATTTAATTACACAAAAATCCTAGCAGTTTGTTTGTACTTTATGTTTATGAACATACATGTAGGTACCAATTTTCTCAGCAAAAATATTTAATTAGTAGTTATACAAAAGAAAACAAATATGAACTTTTACTTGAAAGGCTTAATTTTCGTCTTAGAGAAACAAGGTACAAAAATGTTATACTTACATTAAATTCATCATTCAAAGAGGGTAGTGGCGCGATATCCATTATTTGGGTAAGCAACTATGGTAAAAGCAAACATCAAAACCACGATTGTACATGGATTGTATGTACACACACTATAACTGTAAATCATGGAGGAAGGATTATTACTGTAAATATTTGGCCGTGAGCAAAACCAAAACAAAAACTGGCACACACTTTTTATTTTTCTATGGGCACACACTAACAAACAAAAATGTTAGGTTAAAAAATCTAACTGCTACGTGTTAATTGTCAATCGATCCCGCCCACAGTCGGGACGTATCCCGTTCTAATTGGTTCTTTTTAGTCCCATAACCAAAGTGAGTGCTGGATGTATCATTGCATCGCAATGGGTCTGGTAATCGCGCCGACGCTGTTCCAACGAAATTTCATGACCTGAGAGACTACGGGGTTTTGATAGTTTAGATATACAGGGTGCTGTTGAAATAACTGTCATAATGCGCTAATTCAGTGATGATGTAATTATGGTTCCACTGACAATTAAAGTGACAGTAGATTTTTTGAGTGCGTTTTGTTTACCTAAATTATATCGTTTTTTTCACTTTTATAAATATATTCCTAAAGTAAGTAGATAGCATGTATTAAATATACAATCGTTTAGTTACCAATTACAAACCTTTAAACTATTTTTTATGACTTGTAAACAATATTTTGAAATAAAATAAAAACAGTAAAAACGTCAGTGGAACCAAAATGACATCACACTGAACTAGCGCATATTATTTTAACAGTTGACATGGGCGTATACGGGAAGGGACAGGGGATTTTCCTATATCTTCTGCTTAAGATACAACTGGAGTAAGAGACGTGTCCTGCTGTTAATTATTTAGATTACAACGCAGTTTTTTTTAGCTTTTCGTGATTTAAAAAGCATCTTATTTGACCAACCGCTGTTGCTAGAGTCAAATTGATTAAAAAGTTCATACCTTAACCGCTAGAGGTAGGAGTAAGTCGGTGTTGTCGCTATTTTTATAAATAGATAGTTTAGCTGTTATTTTCTTGTTTTTTTTTTATGGTTAATATTATTAATTATGTTAAAAACGTCCTGTAAGTTTGAAGCAGAGGATAAGGTAAATAATTTTCTATAGAAACAAATAAATAGAGAGTCTTTGTCGGTTGTTTGTTGTTGTTTATTGCAATTTATAAAATTGTTGGACTTTTCTTAATTACATAATGTTTTTTTGAAAAAGAAAATATTTCTCATATGTATAAAACTGTATATTATTGTTAACAACAATGTTTGAATACACATTATACAGTGTGTTCCAAAAGTTTTATCTTACATTTCGCAAAAACAAATATTCTTGCTAAAAAGTTCTGCATTACTTAGGAACTATAATCAAACATTTTATCAACTATAGGTGAAATACAGGGAAAATTATTGAATACTTAAAATCAAGACGAAAGTAATAATAGTCGATTATGGATTCCTAAGTGTTGCACAACTTTTTATCAAGAATTGTTTTTATAAGAAAACAAAAAAGTTTTTCTCACGTGTATAAAACATTTTGAAACACACTGTGTAATGGCTTGCGACAAAGTGCATTCAGATATTGTTGTTTACGACGTGCTCGAAGAGCACGTCGCAATCTATTATACAGTGTGTTCTAAAAAGTTTTATACACATGAAAAAATGTTTTAACTTACATTTCATGAAGAAAAGAAAAAAAAATTCTTGCTAAAAAGTTCTGCATCATTTAGGAATTGAAATCAAACATTTTTGTAAAATATAGGTAGTATACGGGGAAAATAATAATAGATTTTTTTAGAAATTATTGATTACTAAAATCAAGTTTAAAATAAAGTAATAATACTCGATTATGGACTGCAGAATTTTTTATTAAGAATTATTACGACACGCTGTAGTTTAAAAACGTCAAACTTTACAAATGTATCAGTTGCAGAACGCTCCGTACATTGCTTCCATTGACATACTTATGTTTACATCCCATATTACTTCTATAGGGCCTATTTATTCAAAGAGAAGTTCTCCAATATGCAAGGTGTTGAGGCGGCAGTAATAGGACCGTTGGTGACTGGGGGGCGGCATTAATGGGGCGGCAGTAATACGGGGCTATGTCAGAACAGCATGAGGGCGACTAACGGAGCTTTCCACGGAAGCTAATACGTATTTTTATGCACCGTTTACCCATTGGATGCTCAGTCATATACTGTGTTATCCTTTGACGAGATTTTTTTACGCTTCTTTTTAAGTTAATTTATAATTACAAGGTGTAATAATATGATGATTGTCTGTTTAATTTTTAACACCTAGACTGCTGTGTAATAATTTAATCCTTCCGGTAGAACATAGAAAAATCGCAATAATACAAATTCACTACATGAACTTTATTTAAAAATTATGACAAAAACCTATAAAATTACAATTAGAATGAAATGCCTGGCAACAGTTTAATCATCATCTATTAGTTACTTCTGTTGCTACATCTTCATCAGTTTCATTACATTTTGTGTCATCCACATCCATAAAATTTACAACTATATGATCCTGCCCATTTTCCATCATCGATCTCTGACAAATTATCATTTTCCAACGATTTTAATAGTTATACCACGCCAGGAATTTTATTCACGCAATATACATAGTAAATTTACCTTACAACCATTTATCACAAAGCAAGCTTTGTAAAGGAGAACACGTTCGTCGGTGCACGTTAGGAATTAAGCCATTAAATGCAGAAACAACACATAATTTTAGAGGTTACCCTTATCTTATCCGATAACCTGGCAAAAGGGTAGGATTCGGGCCCTGTGGAAAACCGAATGGCACTCGAGAGATTAAAGCAGCCACACACACCGTGCTTATTTCATATTCGCTGCGATATTAGTAAACTGAATTTTAATTCGTGCAAGAATTCCTAACTTACACATCGAAATATTCAAACTATTACTCGTATGTCTCAGCGACGTCTGATTACAGTGGATACAGAATTATAACAGTTATTAAAAAAGGAAAAGAGTCAATGAAACAAAATGGTTCTATTAAACATTTTTTAATTACACCCCGTATATTGGTAAGTTCACTAGTAGTGAAAAATAATAGCCCACCGGAATAAATTTCACGATATATAATGATCGGAAGAAGGTATTATATATACATTTATATATATATTTTTCGGCATTTTTTTTTCCACTTTTTTGTATTTTACTCAAAAATGATACGTTTTCATGAAATATTTTACCGGAATTTTGTTGAAGAACAAACGATTTTCTGTCTATTATATCCTTATACATTTTGTGTCAAATTTCTTTTTTTTGTCGCTAGAGCGCGCCAAGAAAAACAAATGTATATATTTTGCTGTTCTTTCACATTTTACATAAATATCACTCACTTTGCTGGAAAATTTCATCAGAGCAAAGTTGTACAGTTTTTCTGAAAACCCATTGTTTCCGGAATACGCGGCGAGAATCTTTTTTTTTTTTTTTCAATAAATGATCGTTCATATTTTGTCAAAACTGTCTGCTTGGTTAAAACAAAATGTAGTTGCCACATTATGGATTGTGAGATTTAACTATAGCCTGAATAAAAGAGATGTATAAAAAATTTAATTTTAACTACAAATAAGCATTGAAGGATGATGTATAAATAATATGTCTACCTCTTAAACCTGTACTACGTTCTGCAAATTAATTTACTGCACTCCTTTCTTTTCTAGACTATAGTACGCATCCGTATAAGATTATTATGTAAGAATTGTTCGTAAGGACAGAGAATAGGATTTTAGATGTAATTTGGAGAAATTTTTAACAGAAAAAATCAGAGTTTTTGTTAAATATCTCACCAACCCTAAGTCAAATCATTAGTGGCACTATTACTAAAGGTAGAACATTATTTTTGCTCCAATTTGGTTGAATTTTACCATTTTTTGCTGCATATTTCATCCACTATTTCAAATTTTTGTAAATATAACTTAACATTTTTAAATTCACTAAATTGTATTTTTCCCTCCCTCTGGAAAAAAACCTAGCGGCACCTATGGTGATTACTGTACTTGGATTCGTCCTGTTTTTTATTCCTTATTATAAAATATATAAATGCATTCAGTTTATAAAAATCCAAATCGCGAACTTCAATTTATTAACCAGACTCATAATATTTCATACAATAGTCATAATATGCCGACCATAAACAGTAAATTCTTTCTCAAATAAATAATAACAACAACAGCAAAGATTCTTTGTACTCGGAACATCATTATTTTCCCAGTTTGACACCCGAAGAACAGTTAGCGAATACTTATAGACTTCCTAACATTTAAAATAGATTACATCCTTTGGTTCTGCTTGTGACTCTCCTTTATGTCCACCAAAGAATATTTTAAAACTTTTTTAACCTCCAGCCTTTTTCAAATCTTATTATTACGGACTTCATTACGAAAGTGTGCAAATTGCTTCCTAGTATACCGGGCGTAACATATTGGAGGTAGTCTCTCGAGAAATACTATTTATTTTTTAATTGAATAACTAATAGATTTGATATATTGTTTTGGTCCAGAATTCCGTTCTTTGGGTGTAAGTTACCCCTTGCGGTCACCCATTCGCCGCACCTGCTACGTAGCTATAAAAATGGAAAAAATTCTCGCTCAGAATATTTGAACTTTTTTATTTTTATCCATTTATTAGAGGAAGGGCAGACAGAAAATTTAATATTGAGGTCGATGCGGTTTAAAGACAAGCCCTTTTTAAATCAGTGCCCATCCTTTTCCGTTTTTCACGGTACGATTGGTTTTCCTGTAATTAAGTGACTTATTACATCATACGGTTTCTCTTTTGTGTGCCGTCTATATAGATGCTAGTTAAATCATCCATTGAATTGAGAAGAACAGACTTTGTTTAAAGTTTTATAATCCTGATGTGATAAGTAAGTATATTGTTGCTGATATACAAGGTGTAAATATAAAGTGCATAGCATCGTTATCACTATGAAGAGGAGTACCACAAGGGAGCTTTCTTGGTCCTAACTTGTATCTACTATTTATCTA